AAGGAACAGCAGAGGTAAAGGCCTAGGGGTGCGTTGCAGGGTATTTTACTGCCTGCTTAACAAGTGATATAAAACCCCACCCTTCTTCCCACAAGATGGAAGGCGTTGCCCCAACGGCCCCTGGAAGATGAGAGGCAAAGAGGGCAGCTGCTTCCTTCACTGCAGAGAAGCTACACGCTGGCCACCAGCTGTGTGCAGCCCTGGGCTGTCCTCTGCTTAAGCAGCTGGTGAATGCAGTGGCCACAGAAGGAGAAGTCCAAGGAAGGGTAATGGGGTGGGAGCCCAGTGGAAGATGCAGCAGGGAGGGAACTGTTCCCAGCCACACAAAAATATTGTGGGTGCATTCATATAGACCTTCCTAAAATTCCCAGGTGTCAGATCCGGACTGCTGAGAGACCGTTGGGCAGAATATGCTCTTGCAGCTTGTCCTGACACAGCTGCCCCTCTTGGAATTAACCCGGCAGTGTGTGAAACTGACTTGTGTGTGGAAAGGGGAGGGAGCACCTTGCATGGTTCGTCTGTTCAAGAGGCTCTGTTTCTGCTCCCGTGTTGAGGCTGCCAACAACCTGGGGTTTTGCTTTCTTGACATTGGATGTTTTCATCTGTGCAGAAGAGGCATTGCTAGCTAGCTAGCTTGCCTTCCCAGATGCCTTAGGTATTAATTTGCCCTGGCTGCACGAGACTGGCTTCTGAGATTGAAGGGCTGAGATAGGAGGTCTATTGCTTCTCTGGAGGCAGCCCAGAAGCCTTTAGTGATTCAGGAGCCTCTGGTGAGGTTTTTTTGTATGTAGTGCGTGTGTGTGCACACATGCTTTATTTGCAGTTGGGGGTGTTTAGGTGCTGGCCTATTGTTGATTCTGAGGCTCACCAGTTTTTATTATTTGGCACTGATATTTTGCGATGCTCATAAGAGATTCTTAGATTCCCAAAAGTGCCTCTTGCGCCTGTTCTGTGCTATATTGCTTAATAATTTTATCTTTGATAATGCTTCCCACCCGTTTACTCAGAACCAACATTATGCTAACCAGCTTGTAATTCCCCCCTGCATTCCCATTTTAAAAAGGTCAGGTGGCATCTATAATGCAAGCAACACGGTGGGATTGGCACTGCATGCCACAATGCAGCCTCTTCCCTACCCCACAGGTAAGGAATTCCCAGAAGGATGTCTATTTTAAAAGCATAAGGGCATTGATTTCCCTTTGGGGATGGCAGCATTAGTGGCTTTAGGCATTTGCTCCCCTGGTCTCTGAGACAGCTCCCACCAAAAACCTCAGAGACTGCCAAGTTCAGACCCCTCCCCTGCCAACTCCTCACTCAGTGCAGGAACTAGCGGTTTGTATGTTTCTTCAAAACCAGTGAAATGAACATGGTGCCCATGAATAATTTCTGAGCAATTCAGAGTTTAAGAGTAATAATTTGGAGTACTCCCTGCTAAGGATAGCAGTGATATAAATGTGGGAGAAGGTCTTTCCCAAAGTCTCATCTTGTGTTCTCCCTCCCATATATGCTGTGAAGAGAAACCACGTGTCAACAAAATGGTCGCCCTGCACCGCTCTGCATAGAATTCTGTGTTCTTGCATCTTTACTGCTTCTGTGTTACTTTTATGATAGTGCAATTTGCCATACTTCATCCAACCTGAGACTGCCACTGATGAGCAATTTCCAGACGGGTAAGATCCAGGAGAAATACCATGAGATAGCTATGACAAAATAGGGTAGTAAAGGACTACAGTGGGATCAGGATCTATTGGTTGCTTCATAATTCCTGCAATTTCAGCAAGAATCCCTGCCCAGAGCACACAGATCCAGGGGCAATGCCACCATGTGTAGCAGAGTGTCCTCATTTTGCTGCCACCCCTCCAGCATTGTGGAGAAAGGTTTTTGTTGATGTGCCATAATGGGTTAATCAGGATGCTTGGGATGCAGTACCATCAATATGTTGTTTTGAGCACATCTTTATGAAGTGGGGCTCTCAGGAGCTGCCTAGACCCATATCCCCTGCCATTTTGTCTTCTGCCCAGACCCAATTCCCAGGTTGCCATCAGGTCAGTTGTTTCTCTACAATTCCTATTTAACCTTTCTTTATATGACTGACAACACACCCTTTCAAAGTGACAGCTGAATATGCACATGTATATTTAGAAAACATCATGGACCTAAGAACATTATCTGTTCTGGTCAACTTATTTGCAAAAGCCAGAATTTGTCCAAGTTGTAACCAATGGATTTGATCAGTCCTTACTTAGCCTGTCTACAAGTGCTTTCCAGTTAGCACTCAAACAGCTCTCCAGTTCTGAATACAGGATGGGTGTTGAAAGGTCTTGGCCCTAGGAGCATAGTGGTTCAATTCTCTGAAATGTGCTCTCTTTCTCTCTCTTTACCTATCCTCAAGGCTTTGGGCTGCCATGCTGAAGCTGACCAGGTTAATAGTTCTGGTGATCTTGGCGATACAGGTCATTGCCCTCATCTTCTGGTCTCAGCTTCATGGCAGGAAATGTCCTCTGGCGCAAGAGCCATCCCAGGTGCACATTCTCATCCTCTCCTCCTGGAGGTCAGGGTCTTCTTTCGTCGGGCAGATCTTCAGCCAACACCCTGATGCCTTCTACATGATGGAGCCAGCCTGGCACGTCTGGGCAACCATGTACCAAAACAGCGCCAAGGTCCTGCACATGGCAGTGCGGGACCTCATCCGGTCGGTCTTCAAGTGCGACATGTCAGTCTTTGATGCCTACCTTCCACAGAAGAGAAATGTGTCAGAACTCTTCCAGTGGGAGGTCAGCCGGGCCTTGTGTTCCCCACCAGTGTGCAACTCCTTCCAGCGCAGTGACTTCATCTCCAAGCATGCCTGCAAGATGCTCTGTAGGAAATCCCCCTTCAGCAAAGTGGAAGAGGCCTGCAGGTCTTACAGCCATGTTGTCCTGAAGGTGGTCCGGATCTTTGACCTCAAGGTGCTCTATCCTCTCCTCAATGACCCCTCCCTGAACCTCAAAATCATCCACCTGGTCCGTGACCCCAGAGCCGTTTTCCACTCTCGCAAGAACACAGAAGGTAGCCTGGCCCAGGACACGAGGATTGTGCTGGGACAAAACAGGAATGCAATGGATACCAAGCCCTATGCTGCCATGCGGGAGATTTGCAAAAGTCATGTTGAGGTTTACACTGCAGGCAGGCAGGCCCTTCCCAGCACCCTCCAGGATCGCTACCTCTTGGTGCGGTATGAAGATATTGCCAGCAATCCCTTGGCCAAAGCTGCTCAGCTCTACAGTTTTGCAGGACTGCCCTTCTCTCCTAACCTTCAGTCCTGGGTGCACAACATCACCCATGGGCAGGGCCTTGGCAAGCAGCCCTTTGATGTTGACTCCAGGGACGCAGTGAATGTGTCACAGGCTTGGAGGAAGGCACTTCCTTATCTCCAAATAGCAAAGCTGCAAGAGGTCTGTAAGGATGCCTTGAAGCTACTGGGCTATCGACTAGTTAGGTCTGAGGAAGAGCAGAAGAATATGGCATTAGACCTCTTTTATGCCCAAACACCTCTTGTCAATCAGGAAAGCAAAAGGAGCCTGGAAGCATCACCTGCAATTTCTTGGACTTGGACCAGATGAGACATCAGAAGCTTCCTAACACTATTGGTCCATTCGGCTCACTATTTTCCACACTGACTGGCAGTGGCTCTGCCAGCAAGATGGCAGCTTGACTTGAACTGTTCCTGAAATACAGCAGTCATGCAAAAAAATAATGATGCAACAGCCCACAAGGGAGAAGTCTGCCCAGCTCATCACAGAATCTTGTTACTTCATTTCTGCAAGTTTGCAGCATGTTACAGCTGAAACTTCGCCCAGGGACAGGGATCTGGACACAGCAATGGAATCACCTCTTTCCTTTCTGTTTGAAAAGCTGGGGGAACAGATGGGCTTGCCTTACATTCAGACCCTGAATCCAACAAGCACCCTTTCATAATTTGGTCTTTTAATGGTACTATGGCAGACTAGCACACTTATTAAGGCATAGGCTGTGTTAATTGGATTACCAATGCCAGAATGTTTGTGTGGTAACTAGGTTTTATGGGAATGGCCAGTGTAAATGACATAAAAATCTATTTCTGTACTTTTCTGCATTTTCTTCCCTTCTGACTTAACTGTTGACAATTCCTACTCCTGAACTGTGTGTTTGTACCTGTAACTCAGGATAACACCTTGTGCATCTGATGAAGCCAACTGCAGTTCACAAAAACTTATGCCAAAATAAATTTCTAAGCTGTTAAGGTGCCAGAAGAAGACTCTTTGTTGGTTCTGCTATAAGAGACTAATAAAACTATTCCTAAACACTCTGTGGGAAATAAGCTCAATAACTGTCAGTCTGGCTAACTGGCAGACATCTCATACAAACCTGAGCATAGAGGCACCCAGAGGCTTCCCCAGATCCTACAAAGGCAGAGTCAAGGGTCGTTTCTGTGCAGGGGCCAGTGCAGAAATGTAGCCCCCACAATGCCTTCAACTCAGGAGAGTAACTGAGGAAGATTGGGAGGGGGGCTACAAATGAGAGGATTTCTGTGGTTCTGTGGTCCCCCCATTGAAATTCTTAAAAGAAGAAAAAATAAGATAACTTACAGTTGAAAGTGTTATTTTCTGGTTTATTTACTTAACATTGTGAGCATAAGCACTTAAAATATTTTTTTCCTAACTTTGTTCTCTGCAAATTTTGAAATCCCATCATTAAAATCAATTCCTTTTGCTACTTTGTTTTCAATTGACAAGATGGCTAAGCCAGAGAGCTTTGCCATTCCCTGTGGGAATGTTCAGGGAGGCAGGAGAGGATATATTGTTTAATTATATCCTTCCCAACTTGTGTTAACAAGTTCTATGATTTAACAGAGTAACGTTCCCCTTTTAAACTTACACAGCGGATAGATTTGCCAGGCTTGCATAAGCCTCTAAAATAAGTTTCTTGGTAATTCCCCTTTCTTCCCTCTTAAAAGAATAGACACGACACAGTCTTGTATAAAAGTATATAAAATAGTTTACTCACATTCTGTTCACAGAAGGAACCTAGAAGGCAGACTTAAGTTACAAGATATATACACCTGGAATCTATGCATGTCAATGTCTGAAACATTGTTTAAATATTTTATTTTGTATATTCATAGTCTGTTTTTTGATCTGAAAAATCTACTAGGTGGCTCATAATTGATTTTAAATCCACAGCTTGGCTGGAACTAGAAATGGCTTCAGTCCCCCTGGTGGATTATCTACACTGGGAACTAGATACTGGGAGTGTGCCCCTTTTGGCTCTGACCCTCAATTACATATTATAGTAACCCAATAATTACATTTTATCCTCACAACCACCCTGTGAGGTAGGTTAGGCTGAGAGACTGACCTGAAGTCACCTAGCAGGTTTCATGCCTGAGCAGAGCTATAAGGTCCTAGTCCAACACTTTAACCACTACACCACACTGGCTCATGACTGGATCAGCCAGCGTCAGTCTAGCTAGCCCAGAGTACTGGTTCCAATAGTGGCCAGCTGGAAGGAAGCAAAGAATGGCTTATACAGGAAATGTTGTACAGAGGCTCATGTTTCCTCATGCTATGATTATGAGAATGGAAAAGGCTGCTGAGATGGGGATTTTGTGGAAGGACCAGGAAACAGGAGCCTGTCTGGCCCTATGCATGTTATGCATGTTTGCTGGTGTGATTTTTACAGAGTTACTGGGGCTTACTCCCATTTGCACTCACTTCCTCTACTTTTTCTGTTGCCTCCCTTACTTCAAACTACTATATAGACAGCAAACGCATTATGGCAGGGCAAAATTATCTTGTTACTCTATAATGCTTGATGCCCATAAACAATGCATGGTGCCCATGATGCAGACCCTTCGAGTGTCACTATTTTCCAGTGACAGTCCCAGATTTACAGAAGCCACCCCATTTTCTGATTTGATCCTGGAATGCCCCGCTTTTCCATATAACGTCCCTATTTTCAGTGGAGAAAAGCCATGGAAAGTCATGGGAGCCCCGAGCCAAGGAGATAAGTAACCATACCTTTAGAAAACATCTGAAGGCAGCCTAGTATAGGGAAGATTTTTAATGTTAAATGTTTCATTATGGTTTTTTATACATATTGGAAGCCAACCAGAGTAGTATTAGTATTAGTAGCAGTAGTAGTAGTAGTAATGTAATAGGACATCCCTATTTTCTTGGGAGAAATGTTGTAGGGTATGCATGTCGCTGCATAAACACCAGCAACAAATGTAAGGAAGTTGGCTTTAGTGCACGTGAGAGGAGAACAAGTCCATTTTCTGGGCTGTTTTTCCTCCCGAGATTTGCAGTTAACAGAGCTGCTCGAGAGAAGACGCCCACCTGCCCGCCACCCCCTGAATCTCCCTGGGTGGGGGAAAGGAGAAGGCAGGCAGGGGGAGGGGTGTGGGAAATAGAACAGCGTGCTCCTGCACACGTTGCTCCTGCCTCTGCCTGAGCCCAAACTGGAGGCGCGTTCCCAGTTCAAGGCAACGCATGTGCAGCCAGGCCATCATGCGGCCTCCCTGAGGAGGGGGGCTGGTGTCCTGGAGATTCGGGCTTGCACTGACCTCTCCCCACCCTCAGCCTTCACCCCCACCACGCTCTACTTCTTCTTTGCCACCAGAGCAACCAGCAGTGGTGGCAGAAGGAGCGTGGCAGCGTTGTTTGCCCGAAGTCACTTTCTTTCGGGGGCCGGGAGCAGGCGCGTTGAGCATTCTGTCACCCCCCCTCATGATGGCACAAAGGGCGACCTGCCCCCACTGCCACCCACTTCCTACACCACTAATCCTGAGACCTCTGCAAAGGAGTTGAAGTGTAATTTAGTCTTGAAGAATTCATGGTTAGCTTCTGTGTGAAAAGCCCTCTAATGAAGTTCACACATCTGATCTGTTTCAATAACAAAGTTCACATCAAGCCTGGTTCCAATCAATGTGGTTGCTCTTCTACTTGCTTCAGCGAGGTATGGCTGGATACAAGATGACCAAATTAGCCATTTCCTTTTAGGGTTTATGACGATCCACATGTGCTCTTATTTATATAAGATTTTTACAGTCCAAATTAATTTTGCAGTGGAGACTTGCATCAATCCTAACAGTGCTCCCTTTTTCTGTTTTCCACTACCATTAAAGACCATTTTTGTCATGGTTTCCTGCCATCTCCTTCCATCTCTGCTGATGTTTTCTACCATTTACAGCAGTTTTCCACCTGCCTCATAGACACAACACTGAACGTCAACACCCTGGTTGCTCCCACATTTTCTTTGAGAAGTTAGAATGTTCATGAAGATTTCACAACATCACCATCATACAGGGGCAGGGATGGCCAAAAGTGGTGGTCAGATAGAATGTATTCATTTCATAGCATAACCTTTTGGGGCTGGTGAGTGCCACATCTATTCATAGTAGGAGCCTTTGATAATGCCTTAAGAGCCAGTTCATGGATGAGTGATCAAGTTTAAGAGCATGTGAAAACGTATATACTTTGGCAGTGGCCAGTGTGGCTCTAGTCAGCTGTGTAAACCTCCTTAATCTGGCTGCATTGATCTTTTAGAGCTCCTGGATGTTTGTATTTCACAAAACTCTTGAAAAACCTGTCAAAGAGATGTTACTGTTGGCACCTATAACACTTTTTTGCGGCATGATTTGGACCGAACATTCAGAGGCTGTGGCATTTAATGAGGAAGGGAGCACAGACAGATTCTGTTCACTCATTTGTTCCATACCTGGCTGTTCAGCTATTATTTCTCTTTCCTTACCAACTCAAGGAAGCCAGTGCCACACACAGAGACCTGAATACATACCTATATTTACTGTACCTCTATCCAAGGTGCATTTGCCATGATGTGGCAGAAATTTATCACATACTCCAATACCATCATACAAGTTGTTTGCCCTTCTCTACATCTATTTTAAAAAAATTAAGTCTGCAGCCTCTGTGTCATCGGCTACCTTATTTTAACCAGATAAACTACCCTTAAAAGTTAGGTGGAGTTTTAGGTGGGTTTTTGTTTTTGCTGCTGTTATTGATTTTCAATTTTTGTATCTTACAATGATTTGTGTGGAAATTGTCCAATTATGGATGTGTTTTATTTATTGTTTATGACTAGTTTTGTTATGTTTTTATTATGTATATCTTTTCATGTTCATGTTGTATGAAAGGCGGCATACAAATTAAATGATGATGATGAAATGTTCTTCTACAAGGAATCCCAGGCTGGTGTGTGAATAGCCAAGATGATGAGCAATACTTTGCATTTGCTACAGGACATGTAGGTGCCCCCCCCCCCAGCACTTGTTAGCCTAAATGATGGGGGTGGGGTGTATGCGTATCTATCTAAGTGGGGGTGTTCTGGCTCCAGAAATCATTCCAGTGACTAAGTGCATCAGTGCTACTGAGTATTCTTGACTGGGTGGGAGCACTTCTGGAGAGAGGGATGCGGGGTGGGACGACCCCACAGGAAGACCCAAGCAATGCTCCAACTTTAGGGGGTTGGTTAAAGTTGAGCCAAAAATGTGTGGCTGTCTGTTGCCAAGTACCTCAGAATCAGCCACTGCCACACCTAAGTTCCAACTTAAGGCAAGCTGGCGAAGGGAGAATAAAGAGGCTGATTGTGCCAGGTCCACATAAATCTCCTGTGAAGTAAATAAAGGCTTTGTGTACAAATGGAAATGAGGAGTAGGAAATTCTCAAAGAACGGTATCTCCATCACAACAGCTTGCTGTGCTTTCAGTCACAGAAGACAGTAACCACAGGTTGCTGGCCTCCAGAGACTTTCCCTCTAGCCTGACACTCAGAAAACTCCCTCTGAAGAAATGTGTGTGAGAAAGCAGAGGGCTGTTTGCTGCCCTCCTACAGTAAACCATGGCTGTTGCAACCTAACTTTTCCTGAATGCCACGCGCCTGTTCACATTCTCCGCTCCATATTTTGCCACTAGCTTGCTTCTGAGGTCTTCATCCCCCTTCAGCAAGTCCACATCATCCTGCCTGCTCCAAAGAGGGCAGCCACCCAAGGACTGCCCCGTCTGCAGGCAACATTCCACAGCTGCCACTTCCCCACTGTTTTTCAAAAAAGCTTGTGTCACAGTTGTCAGGTTCACGTCAAACTTCTTCATGAAATACTTTATGTCCTCTACTGCCGTGGCCACCTCCACAGCTGAGGGAGCTGCAGGCTGCTGCTCTGCCACTGGGGGGTGGCTTGGGGGCTCAGCAGAATCTCCACCAGATACAAACTCAAGCGCCCTGATTTTGGGATTAGGAGGTGCTTCTTCTTCAGAGGTCTTGAGCTCCATGTGTTCTGAAAAGGTGTCTTCTGTGGAGCTGGGGCTCTCACTGTCTCCCTGGAAGGAAGGTGAATTAGGACAGTTCAAGATCACTGTTTCTTTCTAAATTTTGTAAGCCTTACAAAGAGCAGATTATCGTCAGTTTCTGGGACCTGGTACTCTGATGGTGATGGGGCAATGCTGTTTCAGTCATTCCATCTCAAACAAGATAGTGAAGGGTTACAGAACGTACAGAAAAGGGAAAAATGACAATGGGGTTGGAGAAGTTTCCCTCTGAGGCTTTTGAATCTGCCGGGTGGACAAAGTTGACCAGGGGCCCCTTTCCCACTCGAGTCCTTCGGCACTGCAGAGGCACTGCTTTTCTCTAATCAGATTGAAGCATATTAAAGGGAAAGCTGCTTGGGTCTTACTCACAAGTAGCCCCACCAGTAATGAGTCAGGCTGGGCTGCAGGTAAAGGTGGGCATCAAGGCTCGAGGCTCCCACTAATGGTTTATAAGCCTCAGAGACAGTCAGGAAAAGGAGCCAGAGCACACCTCTTTTGGGAGCATATAATATGGTAAGCTGTACCAGAGTGTGGTGGAGGTGGGTTATATTTTCCCCAACCCACTCCCACAGTTGAGCAGGGCTTCTCTGGTCTGAAAGAAGGCAGAGAGAGGAGTGCAGCCCTGCTCCTGAAGGCAGCAAGGAACAACTGCTTCAACTCTGAAGAGTGAGAGACCCTACAACTGCAACACTAGACAACACACACTTGCATAATAATAAATAATAATAATAATAATAATAATAATAATAATTTTTTTTTATTTATACCCCACCCTCCCCAGCCAAGACCGGGCTCAGGGCGGCTAACAACCAATAATAAAAACAAGTTGATTAAAATACAATTTAAAAGATTAAGATACAACATTAAAACATTAGGATGCAGCCTCTTCACAGGAGGAGAAAGGAAAAAGAAAGAGGGGGAGGGAATCAAACTGATTCTAAGCCAAAGGCCAGGTGGAACAACTCTGTCTTACAGGCCCTGCGGAAAGAAATCAGATCCCGCAGGGCCCTGGTCTCATGAGACAGAGCATTCCACCAGGCCGGAGCCAGTGTTGAGAAGGCCCTGGCTCTGGTTGAGGCTAATCTAACTTCCTTAGGGCCTGGGACCTCTAGGGTGTTGCTATATATGGACCTTAAGGTCCTCCGTGGGGCTTACCAGGAGAGGCAGTCCCGTAGGTACGAGGGTCCTATAGTGCAGAATGGTCTAGCAATCAGCAAAGGTGAAATAGAAACATTAATCAGAAGCCTCCTTCAGCAGCTTCTACCTCTGAAATGGTTCCTGTTTAGCAGGCTGCATCATTAGTTAATTGGTTAATCCCTGTTCCCCAGGTGCGGGAGGTGGGGAGGTTAATGACTAGTTCCTTCTCTGAAGCTGCAAGGAGCATTTTTCCAATTAAAAGCACATGGCAATTCTGAAATGCCTCAAGGGTGTTTACTGGCATGCACGCACCACAGACTGCCACTGCAATTGGGGGGGGGGGTTGGATTGCTACGAATACGGTCTGAAAAAATTTAAGGGGACAACACTGGAATGAACAGGTTGGCACACAGCACTGCCTATATCACCCAGAAAAAAGTGCCTTAATGAAACCTAGCAATTCCAGGCTATATAGCCAGTGACAAACAAGTTACATTTGCCCATGTCCAAGGCCAAATATGTCAAATAAATGTAATCAGTTCTGCCTTTAGTCATTCTATAAGCTATGCTGAAACACTCGGTGCCATCTTATGCGAAGGCATCTGTACCCCATTGTCTTCAAATTCTTTGTTAGCTGTCTGGAAAATGCTACGTACCTTTGGTCCTTCCGCAGTGTGGCTTTGGTCCTCTGGCTGGGGGACATCCTCGACTTCCTTACTTTGGGAGGCTGCTAAAGACAAAGGTATGTTGAGGTTCACTGTGACAAAAGTAATCCAAGCCACATTTCCCACCCTTGTGATGATGCACCAATTACCACCTTGGTGCCATGGGCCCTTGAAAAATGGGAGAAGGAAATGGGAGCTTCAGGTCCTGAAGCCCCACTGGCCTCAGCTAGCTAATGGAACAGGGAATGATGGGTTCTTCCGACTCTTGATTTATTTATTGCCCGCCCCACCCCCCATATGTAAGGTCGCGATTATGCAGCTAAAGTGAGTGTAAGCTGCAGGCCCACTGCACTGCAAAAAAGCCCTCTTTTCCAGAGGAAATAAAGGGTCAGTTACGCTGGGGACTGAGATATGAAAGCTAGGAGCTAAATGGCACCTTAAACCTAGGTTTAAGAACAGAATGTCTAGGTATGCTTTTTAATAACAAGAATACAAAGCTGAAAATGAATGAACTGCAGCTAAAATATTATGTTCAGTTTTCACATAGTCATCCTTCCCCTGCCCACCCCCCTAATACTCTTATGAGGGTCTATTCTCCAGTCTTCAGAGAATAACTGGATGTGGGGAGGCAGAAAAAGGTCCTGCTTTCCTTCCACTTTGCAGTTTTAATCTGAAATCTTTAGGCGCAGTACTGCACCCAGAGCTCAGAAACTGCTCACGCGAATGAAATTCCCTGTCACAAAATGCACCTAAAACAATGGCAGTTTTGAACACTGGCTGGGGAAGACCCTCACACAAGTGAGAAGGAGCAGCACTGAACAGGCAAGAAGCCCGAGGATTTAAAGAATCCTAAGAGTAGAGTGAATCCCCCTCCAAAGGGGCAGGCAACCCAGAGGCAAGGTGATCATGGACTGGGAAACTGGAGCCTGGGGGTGGGGGGAATACTCAAAGCCTGTAGGGAGTTGAACAAGGGTAGTGGGGAAGAAGAGAGGAGTGAAAGGGGTGTGTGTGTGCATGAAACACTTGCACACTAACAGGGGAAGTACTTGGCAGGTCACCAGCAGGCAGAAGCAGTAGATTGAAAGCATATGAGATGTTATGGCAGGCAGAAGCCCAATGTTGACCAAAGGCAGGACTGAGAAGGAAGGAGGAAGCTACTTTAATATATTTTGAATTATGTCCCCATGATAGGGCTTGGAGGCAAAAAAGGTGTGAAGAGAAGGGAGAAGGCAGGAGGAAAGAACCCCAAAGGGAGAATTTTGCCCGTGGGGGCTCCTTTGGCCAACACTTGGCCAAAGTTTCATTTCCGGGCAATATAGAAGCCCAGAGGGGACAACAACCTGCAAGATGAGTAGTAGTATTTGACAACCAGGAAGGTGGAAGCAGGAGGTGGGCCAGGGTGCCCCAGACAAGCTGTCTCACCATAATGTAGCAGTGATGCCAGATATGGCCGGCTAGTGGCTAGCTGAACCTTGCTGCCTTCTGGCTAGGAAAGCATCCTTCTGCCAGGCCTTACTGGTCCTGACTGGCAGCAGTGACTCTCTGTATGGCTTCAGGCAGGACTCCTTCCCAGCCCTAGATGGAGATGATGCCAGGGTCTGAACCAGGGACACTTTCTGCATGCCAAGCAGGTGCTCTGATCCTGTGCTGCGGCAGAAGGCCTTTTGGCCCACTCCTGCTAAAGCAGCCCTGCTTACCAGCAGCAGATTCAGACGAGCTTCTGAGCTTGCGTCTCTGGGCAGGCAGGCAGAGGTCTTCCTTGCCCCGCAAGTGCTTCAGGTAGCGGTCGCGCATGGCCTGCCAGGAGTGCCGCGTGACCCGGGCCGCCTCCATCTCCTTCCAGACAGCGTTGCCACTGCCGGCTGCCTGCCTGCCGCTGCTGCTGCCTCTCTTGCTCCTCCGCAGGTGCAGCAGGATGGCCTGGTCTTCCACCTCGCTGAAGGGCAGGCGGCCCTCGGCAGCGCCCGTGTCCGCGGTGACCGGCGGTGGTTGCAGGCGGTATGTCTCTAGCGGCAGGAGCTCCTGGCGGGCCACGCAGTCGGCGACGTAGCTGGCGGAGATGAAGACCCCCGGGGTTCTCGGCGGCACCTCTCCCGGCCGGGCCAGCAGCACCGCGCCCGGCTCCTGCACGCGGCACAGGCGCCCGCCGTGGCGCACGATCAGCGGGGCCAGCTCCACCTTGGCCGCCCCGGGGCGGACGTAGAAGCTCAGGGGGCTGCCGTCCTCCCGCTGGAAGAACAGCCGAGGCTGCGGGGCAGAGCCATCCGGCTCACCCTCGGCCTCCGCTGTGCCCAGCATCGTCCGGACAGCTGGGGCTGCAGCGGAAGGACGAGCCCCGCGACCGGCTGCTCGGGCCCCCCAATTCCCACCCGACGCCGCCCACGGGCTGCTTTGCCCGGAAAGGAAATGGCACTCTGCACGCGCTCAGGGGCACCCGCGTGCTCACATTAGGGGCGGGGCGATTTGACCCGTTGCACTCCGCCCACTCCTCCCTTCAACGGCGGCGGCAGCGTACCGGAAAGTTTCCTTTTGCGGCCGCCGCGCTCCAGTTTGCGCAGACGCGGACGGTGCTTCGTCGAGGAAGGGCGTGGCGCCGCTTGCGGTAAAAGCGGCTGCTGACCCAGAAGTGCTTTCGCTTTTGTTTCCTGTGGGGTGGAAGAAGCACCTGTCGGCCGTGAAGATGGCGGCGCCCGCCACGACGAGCCCTCTGGACGGCGAGGCCGAGCCCCGCCTCAGCAAGAAGTGAGTGCCGGAGCCGGCCGCCGCGGCCTCTGTCATGCTCGGCGTGGCGGCGGCAACGTGGCGGCGGCTGCTGGGTCTCCGCCCGGCCTGGCCGCTGCGGAGCTTCTGCGGGAGCAGGCAGGCCCTTGGCGGGCAGGCGAGGTCGGTGTCTGGCCCGCTGGGTGGGGTGTTGGCTGCGGGGAAGGGCCGCTGGGGAGGGAAGCGCCGCTGACTCTCGGTTCTCTTTTAGCGAGCTGAAGCGGCGCCTGAAGGCCGAGAAGAAAGTGGCCGAGAAGCAGGCGAAGCAGAAGGAGCAGGCAGAGAAGCTGCCGCCAAAGCCCGCCGCCTGCGCGGCTGAGGACGAGGAAAACCTCGACCCCAACGTGAGAAGCCGCCTTCGCCGGGGCTGCCCAAGCTGGGCGGGAGCGGGGGAACCACTGAGTGGGTGGCTTGACAGAGAGGGAGCCGTTGTGGGTTGGGGATCTGCAAGTGGCTCTGGCTTAGGGCTTCGCCCCAGAAACCCTTGGGCCGGAGTTTCTTCCAGATAAAGCTCCCTGATCTGCGCCCACGGTTAAGGCACTGCTTGGGTGGCCTGGTGCAAATACAACTATGTTATTTCCAAAGGGATCCTCTCAGGGATCTGGCAGAGAGCTTCCCTTGCTGCTTCCAGATCTTTCACTGGAATACTGATGCTTACTGTGAGGTGCTCCTTTGTCTTATGTTAAACAAGTTTCTGGGGCCGAATCGTCATGTACTAATTTGTACATTGTCAAACATCTTTGTCTCCTTTGTACTGGTAGCAATACTACAAGATCCGCAGTCAGGCCATCCAGCAACTGAGAGGCACTTCCGAAGATCCCTTTCCACACAAGTTCCATGTGGATATCTCACTGTCAGACTTTATAGAAAAGTACAATCACCTACAGGCAGGGGATCATCTTACTGATGTTACAGTGAGACTAGCAGGTAAAGGTTCATGTTGGGATTCTGGGAATGAAAGTGATTGTCAACTTCTCCACATATTTTTTTTTTTATAGTGAAGAATTAGTGCAGTGTTGTGTGGGTAGTTTCTAAGCAAAAGAAGGAGTGTCACTGATTGCTCCTCTTGCGGGAACAGTAAAGCTGCAGTAAGTTTCATGGAGTTGAAGATATAGGGTGGAATCTGAAGTAAGCAAGGTGGCGTTTGTCCTTCAGTTGCTACAAATTCTGCGCAATTGACTTTTGGTAAGGTCTCAGTGGAAGGTTGTATGTTATGTGCTGCCATCCAGAACTCATATGTGTTTTCCAGGCTTTTCATTGTAACTGATGGCATCTGAGGCATTTTTCTTTGTCACTTTTGTCATTTAGGCCGGATTCATGCCAAACGAGCCTCTGGAGGAAAGTTGATATTTTATGATCTTCGTGGGGAGGGAGTTAAGTTGCAAGTTATGGCAAACTCCAGGTAAACAACATTTAACTGCTTTTGTCTGTTATTGCCTTCTGTGAGTCCCAGTGGTGGGGCAGAAAGGAACTGAAAATGAAAGTATGATGTCCTTGGGCCTCCCGAATTGTTCTTGAGGATATTGTCCCAAGGGAACTTCCTTTCTGGCTCACTTTACACATTCTAGAAATCCCCTACAATGGGTTATATTCCAACTAACTTTAATTTGTATTAGACCCATTGATATTAACGGACCTAAGTTAACCATATCCATTCATTTCAAAGGGTCTGCTCTACATATGACTAACTGGGGTTGGGGAAATGCTTGCCAAAAAGAGTTGTTTCAGTAAAATATTTTTTAATCCTCCCCCACCCCCAGAAACTACAAATCTGAAGAGGAATATATGCACATTAACAACAAGCTTCGTCGTGGGGACATTATTGGGGTCCAAGGGAACCCTGGCAAGACAAAGAAAGGGGAACTGAGCATCATTCCGTATCAAATCACTCTCCTAGCTCCATGCCTTCACATGCTACCTCATCTTCATTTTGGGCTGAGAGACAAGGTATCTTATTTGGCGCTGCTGTTTCAATAGCTCACTTGATAACCTATGAGGTTATCCAGTGTACTTTGGTTTTCCTTTGGTATGTTTTATGCTCTAAATCTAGCCATTGTTTGCAGGAAACCAGATTTCGGCAGAGATACCTGGATTTAATTCTTAATGACTTTGTAAGGCAAAAATTCATCGTCCGAGCAAAAATGATAACATACCTTCGAAGCTTCCTAGATGAATTGGGCTTTTTGGAGGTAAGCATTGTGTGCATAGATAGTGCTTTATGTTACTCCTACTACTTCACTTTCATCGTATTCCTAGTTATTAGTGTGTTTTTTTAAAAAAATATGATTGGCTCCTCTGAAAGTGGGATGTTGGACTAAAGGTGCCTCTTTAGGTTACATGTTTTTAAAGCTTGGCGTTCCTTGAGTTGAAAGAGCATACAAGATGACCTTTTCCATTTAATGAAATGTAGAAAAGAATATAGTGTGTGTTGGGCTGTATTCACATGTAACAGTAAACTGAGGTTTGAATCTACACCATAATGTGTACACAGTTTGAGAGCTCACATTTCACTCCTTCCTTTGTTGGGAGTAAAAAAAAGTGTGTGCTAGCGTGGTGTCTGAATTTGTGCTCTTGATCTGTTCCTTTTTAAATAAATGTAGACAAACCACAATGTGAGGCCAAGAATTGTATTTGGTTTCCCATTTGTGGTTTGCGAGAGACAACCCATGAGTGCTGGATAAAGTGTGATTCATGGGTTGTTGCTCCCAGCTGGCTGGAGGGAAGAACAAAATAGCAGCACCATGTAGTTTGCATTTATGCCATAATGCGCACACACTTTGGCTTTGTAGCACTTGGTCTCTTGGCCTTAATACAAGAGAAAAAGCATTCTGAAGAGTTTTTGTTTGAGAGATGTACAGTGGTGCCTCGCAAGACGAAATTAATTCGTTCCGCGAGTTTTGTCGTCTTGCGATTTTTTTCGTCTTGCGAAGCATGGTGTCGGGAAAGTTTTGGAAAAGCTTCAAAAATCACCAAAGTCTTTAAAAACCTCAAAAAAGGCTACCACACCGCGTTCTATGAGTTGCTCCTCGAAGTCAAGTCGCAACTGTATTAACGGCGTTAAGAAAAAGGAAACACACTTGCAAGACGTTTCTGTCTTGCGAAGCAAGCCCATAGGGAAAATCGTCTTGCAAAGCAGCTCAAAAAACAAAAAACCCTTTCGTCTAGCGAGTTTTTTGTCTTGCGAGGCATTCGTCTTGCGAGGTACCACTGTAGTTTTTTAATTAATGCTGTGTTGCAGATGCACCAACTAATAATAATAATAACAATAACAAAAATTGGTAGATCCAAAAGGAAGACGAAATACAGCAGAGAGAGCCAACCCCACCCACGAAATATAAAATTATTTATTTATAGATAGGAGCAGCACTTTCTGAAGTTCACACTAAAAAGTGGGGTAAGATTGCACATTCCCACCTCTGGAACACCCAACTTTCAATCATTTGTCGTCCTCCCATAATACCCATAGAGTCAAAAAACAAAACAGATTGACTGGTGTGTTTACCTTAGTGTGACCCAAAAGGCTTATAATCTCTGACCCTTGTCAGCCAGGCAGCTATATTTGTTCTTGCTTCTCTGTTTCCATTAAACCTGAAGCCTTTGGAGGTTGGGTCAGGAGTCTCAGTTCTCAACTACATGCCTCAGAAAATCAACTTTGAAGGTGGGGGCTACTGTGTTGCATGAGAGAGCCAATGAATCATTTGTAATTCATGTTTGCTTGTTCTTTGATTAGATTGAGACTCCCATGATGAACATCATACCTGGAGGGGCTGTGGCAAAGCCTTTTATCACCCACCACAATGAGCTGGACATGGACTTGTACATGAGAATAGCACCAGAACTCTACCACAAGGTGAACTGTCAGAGACAAAGAGGATAAAATACATTCACTCTATTGGTCTGATGCACCAAAAATGTCTGAATATTTCACAGCATCCCCTTTTTGCTTAATGTGCAAACAGAGGCCAGAACTGATTAAAGTACACATTTCAGAAAGTTCAGAGGAATAACTTCTGCATAAGAATGCCACGAGGATGGAGGTTTTTGAAGGCTGCGCATCTCTCATACTGATGGGCCTATTGAACTGCCCAAGCAGTTGAGTCGTGTCACACCATTGGGTGGACATGGAGACCATCTTGCACTGATTATGACAGCAGATGTTTCATTTCTTTTGTATGAACTGCAGAAAACACATTTGCATCATGTTCTTGGTACTGTCCCCGCACCCTTGTCCTCTCCACTGGTTTCTGTTGAAATATTTGGGTCAGGTTCTGCTGTTCATATTGAGATGCAAATTATTCCATGTAACACTGGATTATATCCCCCCCCCAAGTTATTTACATGTTTCCTCTCAATCTTCTGGATTCCTTCTTACTCACAGATTAGTTATTGGCCCTGGTTGGGGGAAGCTAGGAGAGTCCGGGTGGAGTGGGCCCTGAGGTGGTCTTAGTCACAGGGTTTGCTTCTAAGACCAGTTTAGGTACAAAACAAATGCCCCTTCACAAAGCAGGTGGGTCCAACTGTCTTCGTGTTTTGTAGATGTTAGTGGTTGGCGGAATAGACCGGGTCTATGAAATTGGGCGCCAGTTCCGGAATGAAGGCATTGATTTAACTCACAACCCAGAGTTCACAACCTGTGAATTTTACATGGCATATGCAGACTACCATGACTTGATGGAGATCACAGAACAAATGCTCTCAGGTTGGTGACCACAATATTGAAGAAGGGGGTGGAGACAAGATCTTTGTGAGAATTTGAGCAGTAAACAGACATGGATAGGCATAAAGGGGAGCTCTTCTCTTGCAGGGATGGTGAAACACATCACTGGTGGCTACAAGGTAACGTACCACCCTGAAGGCCCAGATGGTCAGGCCTATGAGATAGACTTCACACCACCCTTCCGCAAAATTAGTATGGTGGATGAGCTGGAGAAAATATTGGGAGTGACTTTTCCTGCTGCAGATCAGTTTAATACAGAAGGTAAAAGAAGACAAATCTTGATTTGTTTGTAGCAGTTCATTTTATGTTGAAAACATACAAGAGAAGTAAAATACACCAGGTGCCAAGGTCCTTATATTGAGTATGAGAACAGGATTGGAGTATGTCTCTGCCTCACCTGGGCTGCTGTTAGGGTTGCGGGGGCTAGTGTAGCAGATTGCTAAGAGGGATGGGTAGTTTTTTGGGGTTAATGTTGTTCTAGCTCTGAATTGATACTACTTTTGCCAATGGCTTTCATACTGTGTTTGCTTTGTAATTGCTGGTGGCCATTACCATTCCCAGTGATGGAAAAATGCAAGTGGTTCCAGCCCTCCTCATGCATCTAGGTAAGGGATTCAGGCAGGGGCGTCACTAATATCTCCATACTGTGCACACAGAAACTCGTAAATTCTTTGATGCTATCTGTGAAGAGAGGGGGATTGAATGCCCGCCCCCCCGGACTACAGCCAGGCTCCTTGATAAGGTAAGGGTCCTTTGTAATCTCTGTTAACTTTTGGGTTTCCTGTTCTCTGTCTCTGCTTGACTTGGCCTAGTCAAAATTCTCAAAGTGTCACAGGAAGGAGTGTATTGCACCCTAAAGGCATGTGAGGCAGAGCCCAGAGGGATGGATGGTTGGAGGTGGAGCTTGTTCTACTAAGCCCAGAGGGAGGCAGCTTTTTGGAATTCTTCTGAGGTTTGTGACTTTTTGCTTCTGGACACAGAAGGGTCCTGCTTCCTGATGTTCTATGTGCAAAGTGAATGTAAAAAGTGGACTGCCTGCTATGGGAAATGGGTCAGCCCGGAAAGTGTGTCCTCAGAAAGTTTATTTTTTGCTATGGACGTGGCTAAATTCATCAGATGATGAAAAGGATCAGCAGGGTTTTTCCATCTTACGCCACTTTCCAAGACAACAATTGTTTAAAGCAACAGTGTGAAGGCTCTCACTCTCTCTTCCATCCCCTCTTGTTTTCCAGTTGGTTGGGGAATGTTTGGAAGTTACGTGCATTAACCCCACATTTATCTGTGATCACCCTCAGATCATGAGTCCTCTGGCGAAATGGTAAGCAGGGAGAAAGGGTGTGTGTGCACTCATATGTTTTGAATGGCTCAGCTGTTTTCTGTGTGTTCTGCAAGCAGGCAGAAATGTATCTTGCTAAGGCAAGTTTTTATTTTTATGGTTTTCTAGTTTGGTGAGTGTCTTGGGAAAGCTGGATTGGGGGAAATAAGGGTGTTGTGCTCCTTGCCATGTCCTATAAAATAGAATGAACTACGCAGACCTGATAATCAGATTGTAGAATCTAGAGAAAGTGCAGAAATGTTACATGCATTATAGAGTAGAATTTGTTTAATTAGTCTGTAGACCATATCAAAATCTTTCATTACTTTTCCCCTGCTGCTATCCAGGTGTGTTTGAGTAGCTTGTGGGTCTAAATCTTAGGTCTCCTGTTGTCCCTCTGCAGGCATCGCCTTCGGCCGGGCTTGACAGAACGCTTTGAGCTTTTTGTGATGAAGAAGGAGATCTGCAATGCCTACACAGAATTGAATGATCCTTTTCTGCAGCGGCAGCTTTTTGAAGATCAGGCTAAGGTGTGAAGTTTGCATAGGTGGCCATTTGAGCTGTGCTTTTTTCTGTGAGGCTCTCTGTCCCTGTGTAATGCTAATGATTTGTATCTGTCAAGGGAGGGCCTGCATGTTGCAGGAACCCCCCGGGGTTGGGGGTGCCCCTTGGTGATTTTTCCCTTGTGATGAGGCCCTGTAGCAGGAGGATGGATCACCCAGTGTTGGGTGGGAGAGCAGGTGCTGATTTCTACAATGTTGCCCTCAAGCACATGAATGAACAATGGATACTTTGTCCTGTCAAATCTAAACAAATGATGTAGGTAGAAACTGGGGAGATGGCTGAAATAGAGTCATCAGGGCAGTCTTTGCCAACCTAGTGCCCTCCAGATATTTTGTAGAGTTATGTGGCCACCAGTTGGCAAAGCCTGCCCCCCCAAATGCCTTCTTAACTCCTGTGTGATGTATTTGACTGTGACACACGGAGCCAACATGAACCCCCAGCTCCAAATAAGAGGCTCCATGAGCATATTGGTGGAGTGGCAGGTGTGGGCTCGACCACATTCCCTGTCCCATTGTCCTCTGACTTTGTAGACCCAGTTGCCAAAGAGAAGCCTTAGCAGCCCATCTCCAGGGGCCTCTTAAAATCTCTTCCCAAGCGAGTTGTATGGCTGCAGACTCTAGTTTCAAGGATGACCCCTTGGTCCAGCTTTTCATTTCCACCCCCTTCCCTCAGGCAAAAAGTGCAGGTGATGATGAGGCAATGTTTATTGATGAGAACTTCTGCACGGCTCTGGAGTACGGGCTCCCCCCTACAGCAGGCTGGGGCATGGGCATCGACCGCCTAACCATGTTCCTGACTGACTCAAACAACATTAAGGTAGGCACAGACTCTTCGCGAGTTCCTTCTACCAAGCCAAGGCCTGCCTGTGCCATATACCATTTGAGGACTTATGCTTGGTTTTACTGATTACTGTTTTTAGCTATATTATGTACGTGTGTATTTTATATGTTGGAAGCTGCCTGGGATCACCATGTGATAAAGGGTAGCCTATTACAATGAGTATGTGTGAGATGTAAATGACTCTCATTTCAAGTGGTCTTAGTTTGGGACTTTCAACTAATCCATCATTAAAAAGTGCTACAGATCTTGCTACAGTGGCTCTTAGGCCTCCTCATGCAGGAATTGTGGGGGGTGGGGAGAGGTGTTGGTGGTCTAAAATGCCTCTTTCTTTTGCAGGAGGTGTTGCTATTTCCAGCCATGAAACCTGAAGAAAAGAAGAAAGATGCACAATCCAATTCTCCTGCTGATGGGACCTCTGTGTGACCCAAAAGGCTGCATTAGGGGGCAGAGGCTGTCCTAGGCCTTTGAACATGCCAGGGCATGCTTCTGTATTTTACAGTCATGAATAAAGGAGCTGTGCTATTGCTGTTTGCTATGAATTTGTCCTTTCATGATTTCTGGGGGGAGCATAGAAAGGCCCCTCCCCTGCGTATGGGGCACAGCAGCTGCGACTGGCCTGGGCCATTATGTCTCCCCTCAGATTCTACTTGTCTTTAACGGTTATTTTGAAAGCACGAAGTGTCTTGGGAATGTCATGCTGTCTTCGGAGCCATATGAAGAATGATGGACATTAGGGAATCTGCTCAGTGTCTGGGCGAATGAGCATAACCATGGTTGCAAACATCAGAAGTAAAATGTCACAGCCCAGCTCCCTGTTGATTTCTAACCAGCATATAGTGAAAGGGCAGGATGTCAAGAAAGAACCTAGCTTAGTTTGCCGTGGCGTCCACTCTGCTGGGGTCACCTGCCTTTTCCAGATGAAAGGCTATGTTGCCTTCCTTGGCATTTATTATTATGTTTCATTCCTCCAGCTGTCTTGCATTTGTTGCTACTTTCTGAGAAATGGCCTGTGGTGTTAGTATGTTGCCATTATGTGAGCCCTGTTCCCTTTTAACAAAACCTATGAGACTTCCCCCAGTCTTCATTGATTTATTCCTTTATACTTATTAGAAGTTGGGAGGTGAACGGAAAGCCACACGGTAGCCCCTTCAAGCACAGGGGAGCGGGGCTTCGCTGCTTGAGTTTTCTGAGCTGAGCGCGTGATGCTCTTCTGAAATGCCTGGGTCGCCCGCGGTGATGTAAAAAATAACCAGGAAGTCCACCCTGCAGATAAATGAGCGGCCACTCTATACCTTATTGCCTCTAGGATTCCCGATAGCAACCTTCACTTGCTGCTTCTGGTCGACTAAAGGGAAGAGCCGCTCTGTCCGGCTCGGTCTCTATGGCGTCTGCCCACGTGGCCCGCTGGGAGCCGGAAGTGCCGCTAAGGCACGGCGGGAGGCATACCGGCTCTGATTTTCCCCGAGCGAGAGCACCTCTTAGCGTGTGCAGAGCGCCTCCTTAGATCCCGGCGCTCCCAGAGAGGGGCGGGGCACCCTCGCCACAGAGTTCTTCCGTCTTCCTCCTGGCGGCCTCCGCCGGTTCGTGAGTTCCTGGTTGGTAGCAGCTTCTGGGGAGGGTCGGTGCCTTAGCGGGGATGCTCGGCCGGGCAGGGGAGGCAGGAGGAGCCCGCCTCGTGCTGCGGCAGGTCTGGGACTGCTGGGCGGGCTCTCTCTCGCTGCCCGCACCACAATCCCCGGCGGCGGCTGGGAGTCGGAGCTCCGCGCTCTCCGGAGGTCCCCGGTAGGGAGTGAGGCAGATCTCGCCGCCCCAAAGGATGTGGACCGCCGACGAGGTGGCCGCCCTGTGCTACAGCCACTACGAGGCCCGGCTGCCTAAGCAAGGGAAGCCGGCGGCTGGTCGAGAGTGGACTCTGCTGGCTGCGGTGCTGCAGGTGGAGAGCGCAGGTGAGGCTCGGAGAGGACCAGGTGGGCTCTGGCTTCTGCGGCGGGAGAAGGCGCCTTGACCAAAGGGGGCGCCTTAAAGGGAAACCCAGCGAGGGCCTTTCGTTTTCTGGTGTTGGTGTCCAGACTTTCTGTGGCCGTTCTTGATTATTAAGCACCCCAGCCTATTTCCATGGGTCTGCCTGATGCACCGATATGCCTTGCAGGGGTAGCTGTGCTGCTGGATATAACCGAGGAGGCTGCTGCTGCCTTCAGCTCCTCCTAGCAGAACTTGGATGCCCCAAGTGAGTCACCCTAGTTGTGTCCCTGGCTTGTGTGGCAGATCACCTCCCCCCTGACTGGAGAGGATGGCATACTTGAGGGGAAGAGTTCCATTTGGGATTAGGGTGTTGATTCCAATGCTTCAAGAGCTTTTGGTCTGTTTCAGAGCACTTGTGCCAGTTACTGTCATTAAAGCTTTCGGTGGATTAGGACCTGGTTACTTTATCCCATATAAATATTCCCCCCCCCCCCGCCCCCAGCACTAAGACTTTCAGGAGAGGGGTTTCACTGTCCGCCCCGTCAGCCCCCTGCAAAAAATAAGTGAGCCTCTCTGTCATTCTGTGAAGCCAGGGTGTTTGGTTCTAGAAAAAAGAAGAGAGACAAGAGCTGTGGGTGGTTTGGTATCTCCCCTAAAGGGCATTGCACTCAGTGGCAGCACCCAGGCTCTGGAACTCCCTTCCCAGGGAGCCTGGGTAGGCTATCCCATTGTGCCTTCAACCCTGAGGAATAGCAAGAAATAACTTTCATGGGACCATCATCTATTTGGACTTAAGTGTGTGTGTGAAATGAGGGTAAGACACTGCAGAGGCAACTGCGGAACTGCCGTTGCTTCAGCCTTGCTGCTCCTGAGCCTGGCTTTGTGTGGGTGAAGCCCAACCCAAAATTTTCCCTACCCTGCTACGGAGATTGTCCTCTTCCAACTACCATTATTTCCCCCTCAGAAATAAAGGCGATCGTTGCCATGGGAACTGGAACGAAATGCATTGGGCAGTCAGAAATGAGGAAGACTGGTAAGCAGCCCCCTTCCCACCTGCTGGAGCTAGGTCCCCCCTCCTCACAAGCCCCTTGGAATGGAGCAAGGGCAGCTGCACACTGGTGTGGCTTCGTGCTTGGCTTCCTCCTGGAGAGGAACCGTGTCGGGCTTACTCTGTTGGTTTTGGTGGTGGTGCTTCTGCAGGAGACATCCTCAATGACAGTCATGCCGAAGTGGTGGCCAAGAGGAGCTTCCAGAGGTGAGCAATGAGCTTGAGGGTGGACTGGGGGCGGGGGTTGGAAGATTCCCTGGAATGGGCAACTTCTTTGGGGGCCTGCTTATTCCAGCTCTGTGGCCCTTTAAGCCAGCTAAACTTTGCCCTTTACCTTCCTGCAATGCATCTGAGAAAAGAGCAGGACTTGCTTGAATTGGCTGATCAATTATTTTAAGAATTTGTAAACTGCTGTACGTTCAAAGAATACATGAGCTGCATACAAAAAACAGAATATAAAATGTAGTACAAATTACAAAGCGAAGTTAAGAACACAAAGTCAACCAAAATTTAAAGCTGCAGAAATAGAATGGACTAATTGAGGAAAGCTTCTGGGGGGGGGGGAATAAGTTTTCAGTGGACATAAAAAAGTGTTTCTGTCTGGCAAATTAATCTCATCCAACAATGCCTGCAGGTGTGCTCCCACCACCATCTCAATCACCCTTCCACAATAGGGGGATTGGCGACTTGGGGATAGTTGTCAAGAACCAGAGTAGACCATCTCTGCTGATTGGACCATCTTCCAGATACATCCCAGTGACAGAATCCAACAGTATGCTAGCAAACATTGACCCACCTGATAATATAAGCCTGCATTCTAGGGTAGCAGCTCACCCTGCCTAGGTTGTCCTCCCCTAACTTAAGCTTTCATCAGAAGATAGGTTAGTCATACACACCCTCCCCATAGGAATGCTTCTCTCTCACCAAAGATTGCCCTCCAACATCAGGTTATTTCAGCACTCTCATAAATGCAAATTAAAACAAGCAAATGAAGTGGCAGTTTTTCATCAGTCCCAGGGAGGATCACATTAGATTCAGGTGCCCCCAGAGGGGTTACTGCTGGTGATGTCTCTTGTAAAGCAGCTGTCCTCTTGCCCCCAGGTACCTCCTTCACCAGCTGTGGCTGGCAGCTGTGTGCCAAGAGCCCAGCATCTTCCATCCAGGAATGGAGGAAGGGAAGTGGATTCTCAAACCACACATCACCTTTATTTTTTTCTCCAGCCACACACCTTGTGAGTATGTTAGAACAGCTCTTTTAGTTGGGGGAATCTCTCCCCTTCCCTTGGTGGCCACCCTTGGAGCTGGGTGGTAGCCTGGTGTGGCTGTACTGCATTGGTGGAGGTGGAAAGTTCCTGCAGTGAAATTGTGAAAGAGCCTGGCTGCCAAATAGCCCAGCATATCACTGAGCACCTGGGCTGGATATAAAGGTAACTGAAACTCACTGTGGGTAAGCTATAAAAAGGGTGAATTCTACACTATGCATTGTTAGGAAAGGGATTGAAAATAAACGGCCAGTATCTTAATGCCATTATACAAATTTATGAGGAGAGCATGCTTGGAAGACTGTACAGCTCCGGTTGCCTCACCCCAAAGGAGGATGGGTTCTCTGCTCCAGGGAATTTTTCCTCTGTGGGAGAGAGCCCCTGCTTGTCTTTGTCTTCTAAGAGCCCACCCCCCATTTCTTCTAGGTGGGGATGCTTCAATTATCCCAGTCTTGGAAATGGAAGCACAGCCTTGCCAGCCCCTGAAGCCATCAAAGGCAGCTAAGAGGGGCATCAGTGACTGTGGGCCTCTGGCAGCTGAAAGGGAGTCTGAAGAGACGGCAGCTGACCATGTCCCCAAGAGACAAAAAGTCTGTGGTGCTGAGCTCCCTGCAGAGGACCGTGTAGGAACCAAGGTGGTGGATGTCCACAGAACTGGGGCCAAGTGTGTCCCGGGAGAGGCAGGGGATTCCCAGCAGCCAGGTGGCGACTACCACACCGTGGGGCTTCTACGGATCAAGCCAGGCCGTGGGGCCCAGACAGCCTCCATGTCTTGCAGCGATAAGCTGTTGCGCTGGAATGTCCTTGGCTGCCAGGGAGCCCTCCTGATGCATTTCCTCCAGCAGCCCATCTACTTTTCAGCCTTGGTTGTGGGCCGTTGTCCCTACAGCCAGGAGGCCCTGCAGAGGGCCATTGTTGCAAGGTGAGCAAGTTGTGAGGATGGGGAGGGTATTAGCCAGGAGGGTGGAGCAGCCCATTGCAGTTACTTCTGGGGATCATGCTTGTTTCCTTATTCCAAACACTGGAACGTGTCATGTTGCTGAACGGTGGTTGTGCTCTTCTGTCCCCCAGGGGTCTGCCTGTTTTGTGTTTGCCAGATGGCTTCCGAGTTCAGGAGGTGGAAATCCTGCAGTCCCAGATGGGCTTCATCCACAGCCGTGAAGCAGTCCAAGCCAACCATGCTCTGCGCCAAGGGAAGCTGGTGCCCTGCGGGGCAGGTGGGTGTCTCCAGGGGTGTTTATGAGGGTGCTTGGGCTTTCCACTCCCCTTCCCTTGCTTGGAAGTGGTGGCAGAGAGACCCTGCTGTGGGAATTGTTATTGTTTGTATGCATTACCAGAGCCATAAAAGTCTGAGGGCAACGTTGGAGGTTGCCATCTAACCAAAGAGACCAACTTGCATTGCAGGGGTTGGACTAGATGACCCTTGGGGTCTCTTCCAACTCTAAAATTGTATGATAAGGAAACTGGAGGTGGGGGTAGAGTGGGGAGCAATAGATTTCCTTCTGGAAGTTTACTGGGTATTTCTGCTGACTTGATTGATAAACAGATATTATCGGCACAGCAAATAAACTTTACTGATAAAATTGCTGTTTGTAATAATAGAAAGCAATGCTGGCTGCATTGGAAGGAATAAAATCACCAGGTAAGAGGAAGGGAAAAGAGGAAAAGGAGAGGCAGCAGCTAACTAATGTGTGTGCATTTGGTGTCAGCGCATACCTGGGCAGCCGCCTTCTTCTCAGGGATATGGCCAAAGCGCTTGTTGAGATGTCTGGTTCTGAGCTGGGGGTTTTAAGGGAGGGGGAAAGATGTCATCATGTTAGTACCTAGTGATAGGGTTGCAGGCATTGGGGCAGGAAAAGGCGAAGCTGGTGATCCACAGCTGGTAACAGTGGTAGGAGCAAAGGTCTGTTGGGCTGCCTGCAAAAGAATAACCATCTGAGTTGGGGGCTTTACAGGATGGCACTTAGTGTTTCCCTTGCATATTTGCAGCAAGTGACTCCTCCTTCTTCTCTTTCCTCCCAGCTATCAGCTGGAGTGCTGTTCCGGAGAACCCACTCGATGTCACTTCACATGGCTTCAAGCAGGGGTCAACCAAGAAAGTGATTGGAAGCCCAAAGTCCAGGTGTGTGTCACAGGTGGCAGGAGCCACAGCTAGGTAGTGGGGGGGTGTGAGAGAGAGAGGCAGGTGCAGTCCTTCGGATGATTTCTGTGTGTGCGCTGAGTGAGCCAGACTTGTTGAATTTCAGAGAAGAGGTGAGTCTCAAACAAGAGCCTGACTCTTTCAAATGACTTCATTCTGTACCACCCCCACCCTGCTTCTTCTGAACTGGTTTCATGGCAGACATTTTGTCCGGTTTTTAACTTCCTTACCATTAGTGCTAAATGATTCAGGTCAGTTGCTTTGTCTTGCCATAGGAACGTAAGAAAAGCTCTAGAGCTGGATTAGGCCAAAGATGGCCCATCTAGCCCTGTGTCCTCACAGTGGCCAACCAGATGCCATAAAGGGAAGCCTACAAGTAGGATCCAAGCACAAACAGAGCATTTTCCTACTCAGGATCCCACCGGCGACTGGTAATCAGAGGCATGTCGCCATCTTGTCTAGTAGTACGCCATCAACATGCCTCCCGCTGTTGAAAGTCATTGTGGCCAAGTGGGCTGTGAAGCATTCTCCGTGTGTGTGTGTGTGTGTGTGTGTGTGTGTGTGTGTGTCTAAATGCTGGGATCAAGCAACAGAACTGACACACTTAACATACATTAAATGAAAAACAATGCCTGAAACACACAGTTTACATGAGCTGCAAATGAACATGGAGGGTGGCCCGAATTGGTTGGAATCACCCTGGAAAGAAATCTCTGCCACGGTGTGGAGCAGGAGCCTGAAGTGTTGCAGATGTAATCGTAACAGTACCAGCTGCATAGACAATGAGACCATTTATTACTGGGCTGCTTCTAAGGAAATGGGGAAGGAGGCTTGGCATCTCAAGGGAAAGTTTTTAGTCAGCAGCTGATCAGCTTACAGCCTCCCAGGAGACAAAGATCCTCTGAGTAGAAGAGGGTGGACAGTTGTCATTGCAGGGTGAGTGGAGGTGTCGGAGTGTAGCACTTTGGCCCTACAAGGATCTATACTGAGAGTGGTGAAATAACCTTGAGAGATGGTGATGATTAATGAGGGAGTGAGGGTGGTGTTTTCTTCAAATCTACTCAGGGCAGTAGCATTCCAAGCAAGACACATGAGCTCCTCACGGGTATGTGTGCGCGTAGGAAGTAGGCAACAGAGTTGGGACGCTTAACATACATGGAATAGAAAATAATCCCCAATACATACAATCTGTCCCAGGGGGCTGAGTTACCTGCAGTCATCCTAGAAGGGAATCTCGGCCCCAGTGAAACGAGGCATGTGTGTTGCTAAGGGCCAGAGTAATTTCATTACAGGCTTGTTGACAGGCTTGAGGCAGGCTGATCATATAACACTTGGCATAGCTGCAGCGGATGCTGACACATTTCAAAGTGCTGGTTTTAACCTGGAAGGTCCTTTATGGCTCAGGATCCCAATATCCTTCAGAACTCCTTTCTCGATACAAACTTTCCAGACCCTTTGGCCTTCACCTGTGGGTGGCAACAAGGGCAAGGTTTTTTGGGGGGCTTCTCCATCTATGGAGGTCTGTCCTGGCACCATCATTAAAATCCTTTTGACACCAGGTTAAAAATTAAGTCATTTTCTCCTAGGCTTTTGATGGATTGTGACAAGGTGGTTGATTGCCCGTTGAATGAAAAATTATTGTTGCTGAAGCTTTTGTTGTTGCTTTTCTGCTGGGTTTGTTTGTGGATTATTGGAATTGTTTTATAATTTTTCTTTTTGGCTTTTAATCTTAAGTTGCTTAGATACTTTTTTGGTAGTAGATGAAAAATAAGTCACTTAACTAATTATATTAATAATGACATGTAAAAGAATCAAAAATCAATACCATGTTCAGTTTTGGCAGCCCCACGTGAGAAAGCATAGTCAGAAATGGGAGTCTTATGAGGCAGGATAGCTACAACTCCTGGATTTTAGACATAAACATTGTTGAGAAGCAAGTGGGAAATACGATCCAGTGTGTTGTAGTGGGCACAGCCTTGAACTAAGACTTGGGAGACTATGATGATGTACCAACACAGGGCACTTTACAACATCAAAACAAAAAAATACATAACTTAGTAACAAACAAACTTTAAGAGGCCATGGATGGTTTAATTAAACAAAGGCCTGGAATAAGAGGACTGGTTTTGAATGGGGCCTAAAGACATGTAACGAGGATATGTAACAAAAGGCACCAGGTGAGCCTCCCTGGGGAGAGCATTCCACAAGCAGAGAGCCACCGCAGAAAAAGCCCATTCTGGTGTGCCATCTCCCATCATCAACCACAAATCCACAGGCCCACCAGAATGAAGCTACGGAACCACTGGAGGCCAATGGGCCACAGTTTGGGAACCCCTGATATACACCATCTTGAACTCTTTGGAATATAAATGTACTTATCATAATAATGATGCCATTTGTGTACCTTCCCCAGTCATCTGATTTTGGGGAGGTGAGATGCTGTGCTAATTCAACTGATAAATCCTGGCAGTTTTAGTTCCTTGAATTTCTCAATCCTTAGGCAGCATGCCTCTATTTTTAAAAGGTTTTTTAATATAATTATCATAAGAACTTGAGCCTCTTCTTAAAACACAGTCACACAAGGAAAAAAGCCTCATGATGGCAGATTCCCTCATAGATTGCCAATTGCACCAGTCTCCTTTGGGCATTAGGTGTTACGAATCCCTGCCAACCTGCAGATATCAATTTCTGAAAAAGCAGAGGTCTTGCAAGAAGCTTTTTTGCAGTGGCCTTTGTGGACAGAAACTTGTCAAAGCAGCGCTTTAACCAACAAGCTGGCACCCTTGTCTCCTTTTGCAATGAGACTTATGATCAGAATTTGGTCTTCTGTTGCCGATAGGTCTCAAATCTGCAAGGTGGAACTCTTTCATGCATTCCTGAAGCTGGCGGCCAGCATTCCACAGGAAAAACTGCCAAAAACTCTCAGGTGAGGAATTCCCCACTGTCTTTTAACTGCTGCATGCTCCACTTCTCTGACAGCAGGAGGGCCCCTGTACCACCATGGGGTTGGCAACTTTTTCCTTTGAAAGGTAAATTGACCAATGGGAAAAGTGAGCTAGTGGACAGAGCTAAAGTCCAAAGCAGCTGGCATTTGTAGGACTGCTGAGTTTGTTTTCTCTTTCTCTCTCGCCTTGTACTGCTCCATCCCTTTAGGCTGCCTGCAGCAAGCCTGTGAGCCACAGTTTTGAAACTCAGTTCTATGGGGATTGTATCCTGTCTTTCTAATAGAAAACACTGTATCATTGTTCTTTCCCAAGCTTTCCCTCCTGTATGCTACCCACTTCCCGTTTAGCTGTATCTCCCTGTACTGAATGGCTTTCCCCTGCGGTGTCTTACAATCTTTGCATTAATGCTATGTTTGCTTTGGCTGTATTGAGGTTGCGTGCAGACACTTCCAGGGCCAGGCTCTCATCTTCCCTGTTCTAACACACTCCTGCCAGCACCTGCTTCTGCAGGCTGCCTAGATGTGCTGTGTGTACTAAGAGATATGCTGGCCCCCATACTGCTTGCATAACTTCTCCTTCCTCAAACATATTTTGGGCTTTGCTTAGTTTTGCAATTTCCTGGGGTTTTGTTTGCACTTTGCCTGTTTCCTGTCTCTCTGTACCCTTGAGGCAGAGACTGGTGCCCAGGCAGCTGGTTCTGATTTGACACGGTTGTCCCTCCCTGTGGGCAGGAGGGGGCAGTATTTCTATATTCAGGTAACTTGGCCTTCTTCCTGCACACTTTGATGGGGCAGGAGCTGCTGAAGACAGTGGGCCTCTGCCCTGTTCATCTTAGGTGCTTAACTTCCCTTCTTGTTCAGCCACAGAGTGCCCAGAGAGGAGCAAAAGCTGCCCTTCTTCAGCAAAGTTGCTGGCAAGAGCAGGGCTGGACATAGCTAAGTTGGTGTGCTGGATACAGTTGGTGTTTTGATACTCTGTGGTAGGCAGCAGCTGCATGGCTTTAAAAATAAATAATGGTTTATGTAATAAACATCGGCTGAGTGCAAAGCTTTTGTTCTGGCCTCAGCCTGCCTCACAGCCTTTCAGATGTCCACAGATATCCCCTCCCACAAAACACAGCCAAAGCTGTCAACAGCCTACTCCAGTCCCTGCAAAACACCAGGTTTCCTTTTATCCTGCTACCCTCCACCTTCAGCAACTTGCCAAGTAGGTGGTATGTCCACAAGCTGGCTCCTGCTGCTGAGTGTCCCACTTTGTGGGTGTTCGTATGGCCTCCTCTGGGCCTCCCCCTTGCAAGGCAGACACAGGCAGAGCTGCTTGTGACCATTTCTACACCAAAACGTTTTGTTGCAGCCCTTGGCCATGAAGTTTTTGTGTGGTTGTTGAATGTTTGCTATTTGTTGGGCTAAGCATGGCCTGAGTGGTGATGATATCCTTTGTTTACAAAGAGCTGGGGGGGGGGGGAGCAAGGCAGGACAGTGACCCATTCCAGGACTGTTTGTTTCTCCTCAGAGAGAAGAAATTAAAGACTTACTGGGAGTATAAGGAAGCCGCTGCCAGTTACCAAGAAGCCTGGAAAGCACTGCACAGCCAAGCTTTGGGCTGCTGGGTGAGGAACAGTCGTGATTACCTGCACTTCACGTGAGAGGAGGAAGTTGCACTGTGACACCTGGCTCAGAGCCAAGACTGCCTCACCTAGGGGGTGGGATGTTACTGGTCCCTCTTGTGACTGACAGGCATAGAGCTGCAATGATTGAAACTTGAAAGATAAATATTCTTGAAACTTATTTTTAAACCACCACGACTGCTACGTCCTTAGCCACCACCACCCTTTACATTTTAACAAAAGGGCATACAGTGGTACCTCGGGTTACATATGCTTCAGGTTACATACGCTTCAGGTTACAGACTCCGCGAACCCAGAAATAGTACCTCGGGCTAAGAACTTTGCTTCAGGATGAGAACAGAAATTGCGTGGCGGCAGCGGTGCAGCAGCAGCGGGAGGCCCCATTAGCTAAAGTGGCACTTCAGGTTAAGAACAGTTTCAGGTTAAGAACGGACCTCCGGAACGAATTAAGTACTTAACCCGAGGTATCACTGTACTAAAACAAGGTAGCAGCCCATGAACCCTGTTACTTAATTGTCGCAGCATGGTCTTTTCTGTTTTTGTCTTTCTGTAACTTGGGTGTGACTGAGGTTATCAAGTCAGGCTGAGATTGCAAACAGCTCTTTGCAAATCTATTGTTAATTAACTGTAGTAGACAAAAAGTGGGATCTCCAATGGTGTAATCTTTGCAGTTCTGGTGCTCGATATGAATAATTTTAATTGTATACTCATGTTAAGAAGTTATTATTTAGGCTTTTGTTGACAGAAGTTTTAGAAACTTATTAAGTACAGTAAGCCTGCAACTTATGCATATTTAACTTGTGTGCATTCAGCTTTATGCACTTTGCAATTAAAAAAAAAAAAAAAGACTTTGGCAATCCCACCCACTGTTGCACCCAATGTGTTTTGATTGTACAGGATTTTTGGCTTTAGGTGTGATTCCTGGAACGTAACCCCAGCATAGATTGCAGTCTTACTGTACAGGACAGATTGAAAGGGACTGTTGCATGCTGGTTATTTGAACTGGTTGGAGCTCAAACATAAATGCTTAGAGCAGGGGTCATCAGTGTGCCCTCAGATGTTGCTGGACCAATCCAGTCATCCTTTACCACTGACCATGTAGTAGTGCAACAATCTGGAGGGTCCCATGTTTGTTTTCTCTGGCTCAAGAGCCTAGTGCTGTTAAAATAAGCCATTTAGGAGTTGTTCTACTGAAGCAAGCTAGGCTACTTTGTATAGTAAACAATTCCATTTAGCTTTATCAGCTTTTAGAGAATTTTGAGGTCAGCACAGCAACTGTCTTAACTGGATTGTGAGGATGAATGCATTATTGAAAATGTATCCTGTGACAGCAATGGATTACACAGCTATGTTTTAGTATGGCTCATAGAGGTGAGTGTAATTGATAGACCTGTGCAACAAAGGCACCAGGGATGAACACCAAGGAGAGGAAGTCGATTGCTGCTGCAGGAAGGGGAAGGAGGCCAGCTCACTCCTCAAAGATTTAAAGAGCGGCCTGATTTTCTCATGAGTGCCAACATATTACTGCATAGGATTATGGGGCCAGCCATCATTGTAAATGCAGCCTTGGGGAAGGTGAAGAATGTCACAGGGCTTGTGAAACTTCCTCATGCCCATCCTGCTTATTCACTGAAAACCTACGTAATTAATTGATCCAATCTGCCATAGTTGGCTGCCTCTTTGTTAATTATAAACCAAGCCGGATAGATGACTAATAACATGTGATGTAATGCTAGTTTTCATGACATCGTTAAGGTGTGCTTAGAACAGAACTGGCTACATCTGGCATCTACCTGCTTTTTGGATGTGGAGAGCAAATATGACCACCTCCATGACTGTAGCTAGATATATCCGTCTTTGCTCTGAATAGTATAACTACAACATGGTTATTGATTTGTTGTTGTTTAGTCATTTAGTCGTGCCCGACTCTTCATGACCCCATGGACCAGAGCACGCCAGGCACTCCTGTCTTCCACTGCCTCCCGCAGTTTGGTCAAACTCATGCTGGTAGCTTCGAGAACACTGGCCAACCATCTCGTCCTCTGTTGTCCCCTTCTCCTTGTGCCCTCCATCTTTCCCACCATCAGGGTCTTTTCCAGGGAGTCTTCTCTTCTCATGAGGTGGCCAAAGTATTGGAGCCTCAGCTTCACGATCTGTCCTTCCAGAGAGCACTCAGGGCTGATTTCCTTAAGAATGGAGAGGTTTGATCTTCTTGCAGTCCATGGGACTCTCAAGAGTCTCCTCCAGCACCATAATTCAAAAGCACCAATTCTTCGGCGATCAGCCTTCTTTATGGTCCAGCTCTCACTTCCATACATCACTACTGGGAAAACCATAGCTTTTACTATATGGACCTTTGTTGGCAAGGTGATAATCAAGGTTATTGATTAGCCTTTGTAAATCAAGAATTATAGCCAGAGCAAGCCTCATGCCTATTGTATACCTTGAAAGATACATCCATGTATCTTCCAAATAAAATGGAAATAAGACTGTTCCATAACTGCCAAATAATTGGGCATGGGTAGCATTCCGCTGACAGCTGCAAAACATTGTTACATATTATTATTATTTAAAAAAAAAAAATGAAGACCGGGTGGCGCTGTGGGTTAAACCACAGAGCCTAGGGCTTGCCGATCAGAAGGTCGGCAGTTCGAATCCCTGCAATGGGGTGAGCTCCCGTTGCTCGGCTCTAGCTCCTGCCAACCTTAGCAGTTCAAAAGCACGTCAAAGTGCAAGTAGATAGGTACCGCTCCGACGGGAAGGTAAACGGCGTTTCCGTTCGCTGCTCTGGTTCGCCAGAAGAGGCTCAGTCATGCTGGCCACATGACCCGGAAGCTGTACACCGGTTCCCTTGGCCAATAAAGCGAGATGGGTGCTGCAACCCCAGAGTCTGCCACGACTGGACCTAATGGTCAGGGGCCCCTTTACCTTTATTATAAAAATAAGACTGTCCACCTCCACCACCCCTTGTTAAAGAAAGGAATGCAGGGACCTGTCTCCAGATATTAAATAATCCTACAAAGGAAAGTCCTGTCCAATCACTCTTCAAAGTCCCTCACCAAAAGCTCAAGGAAACGTATCTGGCTCCTAAAAAGGAAGAGTGTGAAGCAACTTATTGGAGGTCTTCTCACAGTCTGAGAAATGCCTAGATCTGCAAAAGCAGCTGCTTCAGTGCTCACAGCTTATGTCATAGGACAGATGCAGGATCACCCCTTGTAAAGCTTGACCTCGTAAGACTGTGTGTTAGAAAGTGAGGCTGAAGTAACATAGAACTGAAACATATTTGTGAGAGGAATTTTAATCAGTTTCCTCTAGCAAAATTCATCAAGAGGAAGACACTAGCCAAAATCAACATATTAGCATCTTGAGACTGTTTGTAACAATCTAGAAGCGCCCTTACTATGAAACTAATAATTAATAATTAGTCAAACCTTCATTTCAAAATCCCCCTCCCCCCTCACTTTAATCCCTCAACTACCTTGCTTCAGTATTTAAATAATGTCAGTATATGTGTTCCAGAGGAGAGAGACTATGGAATTTACAGCTATGAGTACAATGGGGAAATAAAACTTTCATAAATTACCAGGCTAACAAAAATCTATCCATATATTAAATCAACCCAGTGACAGATGCAGGATGTGCCCCGGGGTCATGATCACAAACAAGAGGCTATTTACAAGACACAAGAGGGAAGGAGATGCAATCAGATGCCAAAGGTGTTTTCTCCACTATAGGCCACATACAGGAAGCCATCCTCGTCCTTCTCCTTCTCGTAAAGCTGTCCCATTGTCAGGCTGAAGGTAAGAAGACAAGACAGTGAGGAACTTGCTAGGGTATCAAAGGAGTCTACATAGCAACTAAGAGGGAATGCAAACTGAATGGAAGCCCAGGCCATTCTTTAAACAGGACCTTTTCTACTTGTACCATGTGTGTCTGTAATGATTACTATAACCACTTGCAGCCTCTAGAATTTCTGGTAGCAGAATGTTATCAGAATATCCCTTCGCAAGAGAGGGGAAGGGATAGCACCCTGGTTCAGGAGGTTATGAGAGAGATGGCTGGAGGCAGAGTGTGGAAGGCTACAGAACACATCTCTCTCTCATCCTGTGTTTTTGGTTGCCCGGGATCTTATTGTTTCATCTGGTATTTTATCTTCTGGTGTTTATATTTTGTGTGTGTGTGTGTGTGTGTGTAAATAATTTGCTGTCTTTTTTGTAAACTGCTTAGAGGCTGTTCTGGTATTAAGCTCAATATAAATTCCTGTTAAGCTGCAACATTTTACAAAGACTGAAGTTCATGACAAAAGATTAAAATGTTATCTACCGCTTGAGAAATTCAATCTGTAATCTAATAAAAATATGAAGGTTAAAAAAAAAGCCTGGCAAAAATAAATGAACAGAAGCACATTAGATCTATACTTGGGCTGCAATCTTAGAAGTTATGCCTACAGAATTCTAGTGGGCTTACTTCTGAGTAGGCAGGCATAGGATTGAATTAATTGTTTAAAACCATAAAATACTGATCCTCTAACATCATGAATTTGGCATAAGGGGTTAACTTCTGACTTAATACTAGGGTCTGGGTAAGATGTAGTCCTCAGCCTTATTTCATGTGAGTAAGGGAAACTTTGAGGGAAAAAATGGCAGAGAGATTAAAGAAAAAGAATAAACATTTCTACTCCCAAATCAGTTACAAGCATTACAGATTTTTCTATAGCAAGCACTGTGTCCACCTGAGTGATCTTGCATATTCCTGTGTACACAACTCAGTGGCGTAGCGTGGGGGGTGCAGGGGGGGCCGGCCGCACCAGGCGCAACACCTGGGGGGGGGGGGAAAGTGCGCGCTCGCACTCGCAGCTCTCTGCCCCTACCGGGTTAGGGGGCGCAAATTACTTGCCTTGCCCCGGGTGCTGACAACCCACGCTACGTCACTGACACAACTTGAGCTCTGCTATTCACGCTGCTCTGAAATTAGGAACATTTCTGTATTCTAAACTAGCATAGTAATTTCCTTTTCTTCATGACTGTAATTAACACTAGTTCTGTCTCTGAACAGACATTGGCTGCAGTAAGCAAAAGTTATGGATTGCTGGGGTGGGGCTGGAGCAAAACAGGAAAAGGAGCAGAAATGGTTTAGAAAAAGTATCTTATCTGAGAAAAATGCACTAAATCATGTTTTAATTCTATAACCAGACACTTTGTGGAGAGTTGAGGAGGAAGATTAGAACACCACAACTCAACAAAACTCAGCTATACATAGCCTAACATAGTTAGACTACAGTAGCACCCCCATAGGAAAATAAATATATGAGAGCCCACCTGTATGATGCCTCAGGTTCCAGAACAGAAGAAAGGCAGGAGGTATATCCATGAATAAGAAAACCACATACACTCTCAGCTGGCCCCACCAGCCAGCCAGGTATAAGCTGCAGCCATGGGCCACTGGAGGAAAACTGCTGCTAAAACCCACAACAAAAGAAATTCTTGCCCTTATGATGACTAAGTAAAAGGGTTAAAGACTACTTGTTTTTTTAAAACTGGGGAGCATATTTCTACATCCCCTCTTAGCCAGCGGAAGGTGCAGCCAAGGCAAAAGCGGGGAGAACCACCTTGCCCTCCTCCCTCCACCTGTAGCAATTAGCTAGAAATAAAGATTTAAGCTTTTATTTCAACCCTAGTTACCAGAAAGGAGAAGGAGCAGAAAAGGTTAACTCCTTCCCTGACAAGCTGCACATTCCATGAAGATTTTATCCCCACACAGGCTGTGGAGAGGTGGCAGCAGACTTCTATTAGAGTCAATATAAAGCTTTCTGGAAGCCTAATTGCAGTGAGAATGTGTTTCTTGAATGGGGTGGGGGTATCACAGTGCACAGGAAGGGCAAGGCTAGGATGAGGAAAGGACACCAAGGCTTGGATGCAGAGGTCCTAAGGATGGATGGATCCAGTCTTTGGACCAAGAGTTCCCCACCTCTCTTAATGGAAGCAGAATATTCAGGAGATGCCTGGGCAATCTCTCACTGCTTGGCTACGAGTGTATGATACAAGCATAGCTCGCCAGGAACCGGACAGCTTACAAACAATTATATGAATATAAGAGCTGTCTCAGTCAGTAGGGCATGAGACTCTCAATCTCAGGGTTATAGGCAAAATATTCCTGCACTTCAGGGGATTGGACTAATGACCCTCATTGTCCATTTCAACTCTGATTCTGGATCAGGCCAAAAGGCCATCTAGCCTAGCATCCAAGTGCCTATGGGAAGCTCGAAAGCTGGACCTGGATGCAACAGCACTCTCCCCACCCATGATTCCTCTGAGGAATGAATAGTCATTCATACTCCAAAATCAGAGATGGAAAAGATCTAGCCATCCAGATATTGCTGGATTACAACTCCTTTCAGCCCAAGCCACCATGACTAAGAGTGAGGGGTGATAAGAATTGCAATTTAGCAATGTATGAAGGACCACATGTTAATCACCCCTGCCCTAGATCATCTCAGCTGAGGCTGCAAACCACTTCCTTTCCCTTGGAGTGAAGAAGCCAATTTCACATTGAACATACAACTACAAAGACTGGAAACAGCTATTTCAGGACACAAGCTGGTCATCAGCTTTGTTTTCCATGAGAAAACGGCAGCTGTTGTCCTTGAAGAAGGAAGATCCTCACCTGGATTGCGGGACAGTCTTGTCTACAAAGAGGAATATTGCCTTCTCAGATGGCAGTTGAATCCTCTTCCGGATGATCCACATAAACTGAGCCACAGTTATGTCAGACGGAACCAGGTACTTCCGCTTGTCAATGTCCACAATCTGAGAGCCTGAGACCTTTTCAACAATCACCTGCCCAAAGGACAATGGAGAGGGATAAAATGGAGGGGGACAGGATACATCAGAACATTAACACCAGGACAATATACACAATGGCAGTTGGAGAGGCTCAGCAGAAAAAATGATAGACAAGACCAGCCACAGCATGTCACCACCTCTTCTCAGTTCTCTGAAATGCAAAGGGAGGGAGGACTTTGGCACTCAAGGTTAAGCCACAAGGGCCTTTTCCCAAACTTCAATCAGTGGCTGCCCCAACCATATCCTTTCCTGGAGGGCTCTGATACAGCCAGTGTTACATAATCCTTGATGGCATTAAGGCTAGATCACAGCCATGTGTTCTATGAGGTGTTTGGAACTTCCATTGTTTCCCACTCTCTCAATATTGGAACCCTGTAGGGGTAATCCGATGAAGATAAATGCTAGAAGATATAGGACAGACCAAAAAAAAGTACTTCTGCACATAATCCATAGTTTAGCGATAGAATTTGCTCCCACAATATGTTGTGGCGGATTCTCCTTCATTTGAGGTTTTTAAGCAGAGGTTGGATGGCCATCTGTCATGGATGCTTTAGTTAAGATTCTTACATCACTGGGAGTTTGATTAGATGACCCTTGGTGTCCTTTCCAACTCTGCAGTTCTATGATGGTAACCAACTTGGTTGGCTTTAAATGGAATTTAGACAAATTGATGATGAATATAGCTAGCTATCAATAGCTACTAGCCACAGTGGTTATGTGTATCACCAGGAGCACAGGCCTTAGGCCTTTGATTAAAAGATATGGTGAATCACAAGTGGCAAGAGGACTATGGCTCCCATATCCTTGTCCTGGGCTTCCTATTGGAGCATCTGTTTGGCCAGTGTGCAAACTGTTATTTGAGTAGCCAAGAATCTATGGAAAAGTAAATGATATTTTTCCAATTCTAGCATATTATTCTAGCAGCTGTTAACAATTTATTATTTCCCTTGCCTTTTTGTGATAAGTTATCCTTAAGATAATCAAACAACATTACCATATGGTCTTTGGGAGGATTATAGTTCCCCCTTTTTGGTACAACTAAATCTCAGAATATCTGAATTTCTGTACACATCCGCATAAAGGGGAACCCGTTTGCTTGTTTGCTCTTATGACTGAATACCCCGGCTCATGCCGGGAATGGAAGATCCAGGGGAATGTCTTCCCTCGCTCCCTCCCTCCGCTTTACAGGCCTAAATCAAAGATTCCTACCAACCGGGCGAGGCACTGGGCGGACAGAAAAAGGGAAAGATGCTCGGGCCAAACAGGCTGTTTGTTGCTTCGTTTCCGCAGGGCGGATTTCGAACGGGAGCCAACCTGCACCGATGCTGAAGAGGCCCAGCCCACCGAAACCCCACCCCGCGCGGACCTTCCGGCCTCCTCCCCGAAAGGCGAAGTAGCGGCCGCGAGAGACTTACCGGGACGCGGTCAGGGTACTTGGCCCGGATCTTGGCGGACTCCACGCAGCGGTGCTCTGCGGAGACAAACGAGGGAGGCGCGTCAGGAGGGGCCGAGAGAGACTCCGGCCGGCGCCAGAGCCCGGCGCCCCCGCCCCGCCCTTCCCACCCCCCGCCCCGCGGCGCTGCGCGTGTGGCGAGAGAGACGCCCTCCCCCCGAGGCCGGGGACCAGGCCAGGCCTCATCCCTGGAGAAGGCGGCGGCGGCGGCCTCCCTCCTCCTGGCCCCTCACCCAGCGCGTGGTCCTCCTTGAACATCCACTTCATGGCGCCGGTGCGGGCGGGCGGGGGAAGGAAGGGAGGGGCCGGCCTGTCGGTCTTCCTCTCGGTCCGTCGGGCCCGTAGTGCCACCGTCACAACAACAACAACGACGACGAGCAGCAGCAGCCACCACTACGGCACGGCGGGCGGGACTTCCGGCTCACCGTTTCCCGGCAACCACTCGGGAGCCAGGACTTCCAGAAGGTGGGGCGAAGCGGGACGGCGCAGTGGTCACGTCGCGAGGCCCGGCCCTCCGCGCATAAATCTTCGCGCCCTTCCCGCGCTGATTGGTTGACAGCGCCTGACCCGCAGTGGCGCGCGGCTCGCGGCCGTTGCCTGGGTGACGGGCTGTCGCCTGCCATGGCCTGGCTAGAGGTGGTCTCCGAGAGCGGCGGGCGGCGGCACCGGGTCGCGCTGTGCTCGCTGACGGCGCTCGGGCTGCTGCTTTTGGGCGTGCTCACATACGTGCCGCCGCTGCTGGTGGCCTACCGGAGCCACGGTGGGTAGCGGAGGGGCACCAGGGCGTCCCTTCCCTGTCCTGCTCTCTCCTTCCCTCTGACCGGCGCTGCTGCTTCTTCCCTTCCAGGCTTCTGGCTGAAGCGGAGCAGCTACGCGGAGCAGCCCAGCGTCCGCTTCCGGCACGAGGTGCTGCTGGTGGGGCTGATGGAGGGCGGCGACTTCGTGGGCTGGAGCTCCTTTCCCGCCTGCAACCGCCTCCTAGGCGACCGCCTGCGCGTCCCGCTCGTCTCGGTAGGCGCTTCTGAGCGCATGCAAAGTGCCTCTTGCTGGGGCGGCCAGTGGGGGCGACTCTCAGGGCATCGGCCGCGGACGGGTTCCCTCCCTCCAGTAGCCCTTTAGATCCGCCGGTAAATAGGAGCCGGGCACGAGCAGCGTTGACGATGATGACTGTTGAGCTTAGGCTCTCTGCGGGCTCGGAGTTGACAGCAACTACAGCCACAAAAGAGTGACTCTTTGCCCAGCTGGAACCCCCGCCCACCTCCCAGTACAGTATGTTCTCTCTACGATGAAAGGCTGAGTGGAGGTTGCTGGTCTACAGTAGCCTTTTTCCTAGAAACACTTCCTGGCTGCCCTTTCTCCTGGTTTCCAGGTGCGTTTGGAAGAACATCACCTGCTCCCATATCTCCTGCTAAGTTAGGAAGTGATAATGGCAGACTTAAGGCTGTGCTACTCCTGTACTGTCTAAATGAGAATGCAGTTTCCTCAGCCAATAAAGACCCCTAATCTCTTCCTAACCCAACTGGTTTTCAATAGCCAGGGTAAACTTTTGCCCAATTTGCTGCTGGTAGCCAGTTCATTGGTGCCAGTTCTCTCCTGTTTGAATCAGAGTGCACGTTTCCCATATCAGAGGATGAAACAAAGTGACACTGATTGAAGTTGGAGATGATTGAATTTCTGACACCTCAGACTGGCTCTGTGGTCAAAGCTGTGGCTCGCAAGTTGAATAGATGAGTGATTTTATCCATAGAGTGTATTGCAAAATCATGGAAGTGGGTAATCGAGGCTTCAAGTGGGGTTCACCACCTAGGATGACTGCACTGGGTGAGCCAAGACGGAGATGGTTGCTGCCACAACATAGTCCTTTAAAATGAATCTGTTTGGCTGTTGGTGTGAGGCAAAAAGTGTCTGTGCTCTGCTTTGTCTGCCTACAGCAGGAGACTTGCTAATGAAGCAGTGGGAGGAAGTACCTGAGAGCAAATGGGCTCATGGCTGTCATGCCACTGGTTAATTAGGCCATAGATCTTGATGGGAAATCAGTGACTCTCCAGATGTTGCTGGCATCACCCCTCGATGAGAGTCCTGTAACATCTGGAGAGTCAGTTTGCTCCATGGGTCTTTGGCTTCTAGGTCACTGATTTCAGCAAATCTGACATGATTATGGAGGCCCCCAAATCCCAAACTTACTCTGAACAACCAGCATTAAACTGGATGACTTGAAGGCTGCCTCAGAGACCAATTTGAACCTGAGCCTTTTGTGGCCAGGCCAGAACAGAGGTTCTGGGCAGGTGGGGGCCTACTCCAAGTTCCCTAGCAAAGGCAAAGGGGAAACCTTTGGTAAAGAGTATTGAGCATTTCCCATCTGGCCTGGGCTTATCATCAGTTTTGCATGATCCTGTAGGTGGCTGTATTCTGCCATTGCAACGGTGCTTTGGTGCAGGCACCTTGGCCTATATTGAATCTAGCATCTGTATTGGGGTGCGTGTTTCCTCTTTACCTGGCGTCGCATCTGTGTAGCTGACATGTAATTGAAATTATTGCTAAGAAGTTTGCTTTAATAAAAGTTCCTGTTATGCTTGCTAGGCTAGAGAGGAGGACTCAAATCAAGATGGAATGATGGACCTGTTAAATTTTCGCCTGGAGCTTCCACTTCAAGCTACAGAGCAAATAGTTGGGATCCAGCTCATTCTGACATTTACCTATCAGTTGCAGGTGAGTGCCACAAGCCATAGCTTTCTGGGTGCCACTCAGTGTTTGAGGACAGGCAGCCTAATCCTCTTATTTGCTGTGGTGATGGCGGCTGCTGTTTCATTTACTCAGTATCCCATGCTCAGCTAGTAGAACAGCTTTCTATGCAGGTTTTTTGGTGAGGGGAGGTCATGGTTGGGAGGAGTTAAGCCTCCCTTCCCCAGCTGTGACACATGCACACAAACTGCAATTAAGCTTGAAAGAAGTTTTATGCTGGCTATTGTGGGGGCGGGGATGCTGCATGTGCCAAGAAAGGGCTTGATGGGTCATGTACACCTGCAGCTGGCCCATTGGTGACTCTCAGCAGCAGGGGAAGAGGACTTTGGGCCACACGCTTCAGGGAAGAGATGCGATTTCATGGAAGGACTTGCTTGGGACACTACATGTGTTCTTTATTGCTTGGTTTAGTTCATGCTATAAATAATTTTTTTTAGGTGCAGTCCTAATGCATAATGCAATACATAATGCAGGCCATCAGTTAAAAAGTTGTATTCCAGTGTGGTGTAGTAGTTAAGAGCGGTAGTCTCGTAATCTGGGGAACCGGGTTCGCGTCTCCGCTCCTCCACATGCAGCTGCTGGGTGACCTTGGGCCAGTCACACTTCTTTGAAGTCTCTCAGCCCCACTCACCTCACAGAGTGTTTGTTGTGGGGGAGGAAGGGAAAGGAGATTGTTAGCCGCTTTGAGACTCCTGAAGGGGAGTGAAAGGCGGGATATCAAATCCAAACTCTTCTTCTTCTTCTATTCCCTCCTTTTCTATATTTGATTGTTTTGATCATTTGTTTTACATACATCCAGCCCAATGCTCTGCCTACCAAATAGGAAGCTTTGGTATTCTGAGTGTTGTGTTTGTATCACTTGTAGAATGATTAAGGCTGAGCCATAAACCTTTCCTTTTCTCTCTCCCCCTCTATGCTCCCATTTCAGAGAATGTCTACATTCGTGATGCAGTGCATGGCCTTTTGGCAGGCCTCTTCCCCTTTGCCAGGGTCAAAGGTCTTTGTGAGCGGAGACCTGAAGCTTCACCAGAGGCAGCCGCTTAGCCATACTGGGCTGGACAGCAGATATAATGTGAGTGGCCTTTTACATTTCAGTCCTTTCAAGCAGTTTTGTTGCCCTTTGTGATGTCTTTTCCACTGCAACTGATGCTGCTGGAGTCATGCACTAATTGCAAAGTGTGATCATGCCAGTGAAATGTGCACTGTTTGATATTCAGGTTATACAGCGGAGGAGATACTAATTTCACATAGCGTTCACCTAGGTAAAGGTAAAGGGAGCCCTGACCATTAGGTCCAGTCGTGACCGACTCTGGGGTTGCTGCGCTCATCTCGCTTTATTGGCCGAGGGAGCCGGCGTACAGCTTCCGGGTCATGTGGCCAGCATGACTAAGCTGCTTCTGGCAAACCAGAGCAGCGCACGGAAACGCTGTTTACCTTCCCGCTGGAGCGGTACCTATTTATCTACTTGCACTTTGACGTGCTTTCGAACTGCTAGGTTGGCAGGAGCAGGGACCGGGCAACGGGAGCTCACCCCGTCACGGGGATTCGAACCGCCAACCTTCTGATCGGCAAGTCCTAGGCTCTGTGGTTTAACCCACAGCACCACCCGCATCCCTAGCGTTCACCTATGTCACAACAATTCACCTGTACTGTGGTATTGCCAAGCAACAATCTCATAAAAGGCTAAAGAGACTTCAGAAAGTCTAGTGATCTCTTTGACCACCACCCATTCTAACTGGAGCATGTCTAACCTGAATAGGAAGGGGTATTATTAGGGCTGAAGCAGGCACGTGCCCTTCTGGTCTGCATAACTCTTATCTCTTGCCTGAGACTTATATTGTGTTGTCTGCCCCAACATGTCTGTTCTTGTTTTTTAATGCAAAGTGTTCTCACTGTGACAGGTATCTGTGATCAATGGTACAAGCCCTTTTGCCCAGGACTATGATCTTGTGAACATTGTTGCAGCATATCAGGAGAGGAATGGTGAGTTTGCATTATGCACAGTCCTTTCTAGGTTAACTGATACTTGTTTTTCACCAGCTACTTCAGAATTATGACCAAATGCCTACAAGGTCTTTGTTGTTTCCTTTGCAGTCACAACAATTTTGTCTGGTCCCGGCCCTATCTGGGTGGTTGGAAGAGCACCTGATGCACCGTTTGTGGTCCAGACAACCATCCACTACCCAGTGGAACTGATCCTATATCCTTTGGCTACCAGGTGGTTGTAGTTTGGCCCGCTTGGTCTCAGTCTGGCATGAAAGTGATGGAAGCTGTTTTGAGCTGTGCTTGGCAATCATGGCACTTGGTAGGTAGTGTGCTACAATCTGAATGTGGAGAATGTAGCTGCTGAGTTGGACCAATAGAGAAGAATGCCTGATGAAGAATTCCATGAAACTTGCCTGGAGGCAAGGTGGTGTCACTGTAGGCCACCAAAGGTGGTTGATTGAAAGAAGATTATCTTGAGTAGAGGAATGAAATCAAGAAAGCATCCAAAATAGGAAATGTTGTAGCTGTGGTTGACTTCAACTACCATCACATAGACTGGCTACATATGTATTCCTGTCTTGACAAAGAGATAAAATTTCCAGATACCTTAAATGACTGTGCCCTAAACATGGAATCAACTAGAGGGGACAGTGACCTGGGATCTGATGGTGCCCAGCACCCTTGTGCAAGATGTAAGTGTTGTTGAACCAGTTGGGAACAGTGACCATAGCGCTATTAGTCAGTTGCCAGGAAAGTCCAACACACAGTCACTTTTGACTTCAAAAAAGGAAATGTCCCTAAAATGTAAGTATTGGTAAAAAGAAAGCTGATAGGCAAAGTCAAGAGGGTCAAATTACTCCAAAATCCTTGGGAGTTGTTTAAAAGCACTATATCAGAAGTTCAACTGGAGTGTATATCACAGATCAGGAAAGGTACCCTGAGGGACAGGAGTATGCCGGCATGGCAAAGGAGTCAAATGTATGTCAAAAGAGTATGAGATGGTGGAGAAGTTGAATAAATTATTTATATCTTCGTAGAGGAAGTACAGGAGAGATCCTAGGGTATGAATTAAGTCTTAGGTACTGAGGCAGATGGCATTGATGAGAGATGTAAATTTAATAGACAAAATAAGAACTGACAAACTCACCTCAAAAAGCATAGTATAGATTTGGAAAAGGTTCAGAAAAGTGAAACCAAAATGATAGAGAGGATGGAGCAACTCCGCTGAGGAAAGGTTGCAGCATATGCATAGCATGGAGAAAGTGGATAGAGGAAAGTTTTTCTTCCTCTCGCCTGAACTCATGGGCATCTAGTGAAGCTGAATGTTAGAAGATTCACGGCCGATAAAAGAAAATACTTCTTCACGCAGCACATCATTAAACTCGCTCCCACAGGAGGCAGTGATGGGCCCCAATTTGGATGGCTTTAAAGAATTAGGCAGATTCATGGAGGGCAAGGCTATCAGTGGCTAGTAGCCTTGATGACTATGTTCTACCTCCACTCTCAGAATCATTATGCCTCTGAATACAATTGCTGGGAATCACAAGTGAGCAGCGTGTTGCACTGCTGTCTAGCTTGCAGGCTTCCCACACGCATCTGCTTGGCAACTTTGAGAACAGGATTCTGGACTAGATAAGCCGTTGACCTGTTACAGAAGGCTCATCTTATGTTCGTAACTTGTACTTACATAGGGATGGGAGTTTTCCTTGTGTCTCCTATTGTTTATTGAGTGTTCTCAACCACCTTTCTTCTAGATGCAGATCTAATCTCTCACTTTGCTGGTCATATGTGTTTGAGGTGTGTATTCTGAACTTTTGTGAAGACACTTGAAAATCAAATTTTCCTTGACTCTTGCTACATATCAGCCAGGTTTCTGGGAGATGATTAAGTTTGCCTGGATTCAGTATGTTGCCATCCTGCTGATCTTTCTTTGGATTTTTGAAAGAATAAAAATCTTCCTTTTCCAGAATCAAGTGCTAAGCACAGTACCAGTGACACCAGTTCCCCCTGGATTGTCATATAAAGAGCACCAGTCCTGAACATGCTCCTAAAAATACCTAAAACTCCAACAGGATGAATAAATATCCCATGCTTTCACTTTTTTCTTCAGCAGCTTTGCACATTGAAGATGAGGAGGCGCCTGTGTGTTTGTGATCAAGGCTTATTGCAAGAGTGAAAAGAACTCTGTATTTCAGTTCTCTCTGAGCCAAGTATTTCCACTTGAAGTGCTATGTGAGCAGCACATTGGGAACATAATTTGCTGCCTTGCATTTTGTCTTCAGTTGTATATGAAACACTATCTGCACACACCCAGATAGTGGCTGAAGGAGCTTCAGTTGATAATGAGATACACTGTTTTAAGTAAATTCATTCTCTTTAATACTTTTATAATGGATTATGTTTTGTTATTTCTGCACTGAATTTCAGGCTTGCAGGTTTGGTTAATCCCCTGTTGTTGTAATCCTACATAGGGATTTTAACATAGAAACAAACACAGCCGTATGAAAAGGCAGCAATAAAATTGCATTTCCAAGAAGGCAGCATTAGCTGGTCTGTTCAGTCTGAGAGGACAAGGGTAGGGAGAAGCCTGCCCACCTCCCACAGCAGAGCAAGCATGCCTGTTTGTACAGTTTAGTTCTCACTCTCCAGCATGTTCCTAGGGTGGTTTACAAAAAAAGTTAATGTTAAAACAAATGTTAAATAAACAGTGAAACACCACAAATTAAAAGCATTTAGCAGATATAAAACAAATGCAAATCATGAAAGTAATTAACAGAAGATTTTAAAAGCCTGGATTTTGTTTAGGTTTTTTGTGTTTTTTTTAGCAAAACTGTCTTCCCTGGGTGTCAAAATGACATCCTGGAAACTTGCGCCTGGACATAAAATGGTGTATCCTGGTGAGGTATTTTCAGTTTCTTATCCCCCAGAAGATTCCTATACATAGCTAAATAGTGCAAAGGAGGCAACTGTGGAAATTGTAAAAAAATTGTTCCAGTAGGCAAGGGAAGCATCATAACTTTTATTAGAATCGACTAAAATGTTACAAAGTAGTGAGTTCTCCAGAAGTCTTCTGTAACAAAGTCATTTGCCACTAGAATGAAAAAATTAGAGGGGGAGCAGGCAGTGTTTGTAAAACAGCCTTAAAATGTAATGTAGGCTCAATTAGGCTACAACTGTGCATTACTGGAATCAGCCAGCACTCCACCATAGAGCAGAATTGGGTCTTCAGTAAAACCAGCCATCCAAGCCTAAGAGGCAGGTTCTGACTGGGGCCAGTGGTGTTTTCTAGGAACCATAGGAAGCTGCTTTATATTGAGTCTGATTCATCTAGCTTGGTATTATCAACTGGAATCTTTCCCAACCCTATCGTAGAGAGGCTGGGGACTGATGCTTTGCGTACAAAACCATTTGTGATGCCACATCCTTAGACTGTGCTATAGTTTAGCATTTCCTCTTTGCCTTTAGTCCATTTTGCTGTTAATGTTTTATGGCAGTTTATGAGAAAAGTCAGTCTCTGCTCTTATTGGTTGTAAAAAAAAATGACCGGCGTCCCCCCTCCCCCAAGTTGAAGGGCATTGCTGTTCAATTGTGTGTATGTGGGGCGGGGCTTACCTCCCCCCCCCCCTATTTTATTCAAGTTGGCACCCCTGCGAGAAAGTATTTTATATACTTTTATAAATAAGCAGTGGGGGGCAGGAAGAGAGTGATGGGCAGCTACAGCTGCCTCGTTTACATTGCGGGGGGAGAGGCGGCAGGCTGCACTTTGCATCGCTGCCTCGCCCCCGTCCTTTCACCGACTGCAAATCAGGCGCCAAAGCGCTGGCCCAGCGTCCTAAGGCCTTCGCATGCATGAGGCCCTTAGGAGGTCTACAAGCAGCCCTGCAAGGTAGACCCGATCAGTGTCGAGTCTGCTTCCTAGTCCACTACAGGGCGGGGGCTACGGCCGCAGGCTGCACAAAGCAGCGGGCCTGGTCTACGCGGCTCCTTCTTGCCCTTAAAGCCGCGGGACGGGCGCCTGAGCGGGAGCGTGCGCGAGAAAGGCGGGTCAGCATCCCGAGTCGAGCAGCCTGGTCGGGAGCGCACCGACGCGGAGTCCGCCTCCCCGCGTGTTGGTAGCGCCGTCGGGTTCCTCCCCCCTCCCCCCGGTGCGGCATCCCCTCGCCAAGCATTGGGGGGCCGAAAGGCCGGCCACGCGTCGTAAGCGAGAAGCAGCGCCCCCGTCGTCCTTGGAGCTCTCGGCTGATGGGCGGAGATGGAGGATGGCGGAGCCTGGACGGCGCGCACCACCTTGCAGGGGGCTGGCCTGGGCGCAGAGCCCACCTCCCGCAGAGGGGGCTGCTCGGCCTCCCGCCCTGGACCGGCCCCTCCTTGGCGCCTCCCTCCGGCGGCCGCTCCGGGACGCGGCGGCGGCCACGTCTGAAAGCGGCTCATTGTCTGTCTGCGGAGCGGCGGCACCTGGAGCGACCCGGCGAGGGCAGCAAGCCAGTCAGCCAGCGGGTCTCAGCCCCCAGGCCCCGCCTGCCCCCTGTTTTCCAAATCCCCCACGTCTCCGAGGAAAGCGCTGGTGAGTCTTGGCCGAGGTGAGGAGCCGAAACGGGGCAGCCGCGGGGACTCCGGCCCAGGACGGCAGCTGGGGGTTCTGCCTCCCCCACCGGGTTCTCCCGGGGGCAGCAGCAGAGTCCCTCGGCTTGGCCAGCTGCCCCCGCCCGCCCGCCCTCGCTCTCCTCCACTTCCACTCATCTCGTGCGGGACCGGAGAGTCAGGCCCGCGCGGCGTCGAGGGCTTCGAGGTCTGTGCGCCGCCGGACTTGGAGGCGCGGCAGGCGTAACTCAGAGAACGAAAGAAGCCGCGACGGCCTTGGAGCGCGTGCAGAGTGCGCCCTTATCCAAGCAGCGTCCTCTTGGCGGACGCTGGCTGAAGCCCTGGCGCATCTCAAGCAGCCGCCCTTAAGCTCTCGGGTCGGGAGAAACGTGCATCGCTCTGGGCTTCCTCCTGCAACTGCCTGCCTCGCTGCTTGGCGGTGGATGGCTCACTTTGGCACAGCTCCGGGGTCTCTTCCTCCTCCTGGCACTGTTTGCAGTTGGTATCTTTTTGCACAGGCTCTGCTTGGAAGTTGACTCTGAGTGGGTCATATGTCACGGGAGAAGTTATGCTTTACTTGAGTTTGTTTTTAGGGGGGGGAGTGATGGTTACTTGCATTTTCTGCACAGATTGTGCAAATGAACTAGAACTGTACCCTATACTCTGCCTTGAGTTCCTTGGAATAAAGGTGGGATAGAGCTATGGACAACAAATAAATACTTAAAAAACAGATTTGTCCATCTCTGTATCTAATGGTCAGGGGTCCCTTTACCTTTACATTTACTTGCCAATCAGAAGGTTATCCCCGTGATGGGGTGAGCTCCCGTTGCTCGGTCCCTGCTCCTGCCAACCTAGTAGTTCAAAAGCACAAAGTGCAAGTAGATAAATAGGAACTGCTCCGGCGTTTCCATGCGCTGCTCTGGTTTTGCCAGAAACGGCTTAGTTATGCTGACCACATGACCCGGAAGCTGTACACCGGCTCCCTCGGCCAGTAAAGCGAGATGAGCTCCGCAACTCCAGAGTCGTCCGTGACTGGACCTAATGGTCAGGGGTCCTTTTACCTTTGCCTTTTTACTCATTTAGTATAACTACTTCAAAGCTAAAGGAGACGAGGCTGACCTTTAGCTCTTGTCCCCTCCCCACAGCATCTCCAAAATTAGGCTGAGAAAGACCCCTGTTAGTAAACTGGTGAACCTCTATGGAGACCAACCTTTGCCAGTCTGGTGGTGCCTTCCAGATGTTTTGAACTACAAGTCTTTCACCTTGCCTATGCTGGCTGGGGCTGATGGGAGCTGCTGCAGTCCACTAGTCCCTGCACACTTTCCCCTGCAGATTAGAAGACAAGACACATCTAACTGTTTCAAAAGATAACTTGAGATTTTCAGAATGCTAAATTGAGCTTTGGGTCTTGCATTCTGTCCTTCCACACACAGCAGAATACAATCAATGTGGAATAAAGACTGCCTCCATTGCCCTGTTTCCCCCCCACCTGAACAGCAGTGTGTTTGTTCCAAACTCTTTTGTACTCTCTGAGCATCACTATTGTCTCATCCTCCAGCCTGCTGTTTTTCATGGCTCTCACTGACATGCATATCTGAACTGGTTAGTCGTTTCCGGGCATTATCAATACAATATGTATGGCAACCCAGGCTGTTACTTGTTTGCATGCAAGGTCCTTGTGTGTCATCGTCATCCTACTGAAAACTGAACAGCTCCCCCTCTCTTTTTCCTCCAGTTGTGCTCTGCTTCAGCCAGAATGGTGAGGATCCGAATATCCAGCACTACAGTTGCAATCTTCCTTGTGATTCAGACAGGATTTCTACTGTTTTTGTGTGTTCAGCATGGTGGCTTTATGTCTCAGTCTGAAGAGAAACCACCCCAGGTGCACATTCTCATCCTCTCCTCCTGGAGGTCAGGGTCTTCCTTTGTCGGGCAGCTCTTCAGCCAACACCCTGATGTCTTCTACTTGATGGAGCCAGCCTGGCACGTGTGGGTAACCATGTACCAAAACAGCGCCAAGGTCTTGCACATGGCAGTGCGGGACCTCATCCGGTCAGTCTTCAAGTGTGACATGTCAGTCTTCGATGCCTACCTGCCATGGAAGAGAAATGTGTCAGATCTTTTCCAGTGGGCAGTGAGTCGTGCCCTGTGCACAGATCCTGTTTGTGAATTTTTCCACCGCACTGATATCACCAGCGAAAGTGCCTGCAAGGCTGTCTGTGGGAAGTCCCCCTTCAGCAAAGTGGAAGAGGCCTGCAAGAGCTATAGCCACGTTGTCCTGAAGGAAGTCCGGATCTTTGACCTCAAGGTGCTTTATCCTCTCCTCACTGACCCCTCCCTGAACCTCAAAGTCATCCACCTCGTCCGTGACCCCAGAGCTGTTGTGAAATCCCGGGAGCAATCAGCAAAAGCTCTTGCCCGTGACAATGGGATTGTCTTGAGCATGAATGGCACAAAAGTGGAAGATGGCCAGTACAAAGTCCTGCAGGAGATCTGTAGAAGCCACGTTCAGATTTATGAAACAGCAACCCTGAAACCTCCAAGTTTTCTGAAAGATCGTTACTTGATGATCCGGTTTGAAGATCTTGTACGAGATCCTTTAGTGGAAATTACAGCAATGTATAAATTTTCAGGTCTTCAGCTGACCAGCAAACTTGAAAACTGGATCTATAATATCACCCATGGACAAGGGCCAAGTAGGAAGAGGGAGGCCTTCCAAATCACTTCCCGAGATGCAGTCAATGTCTCCCAGGCATGGAGGACTGTTCTTTCGTTTCAGAAGGTCAAGCAAGTGCAAGAGGTTTGCAAGGGTGCCTTAAATATACTCGGATACCAACTTGTAGATTCTGAGAAAGAACAGAAAGATTTGTCATTCAATTTAGTGTTGCCACATCGAAAAAGTCAATTCAGCTGGGCATCCTTTAGTGAAAATTAGGGGAAGTATGACTATCTGTAATCTCTTCCCCCCCACCCCAGGTAACTGGAAAATATTTATTTTGATTGCTGAATTCTGTGCTTCTAGTTATCATCCTTTTGCCATTTACATAAACTAGAGCAAATGGAATAAAGGGGTGATATGTAGTTCGCAGAAATATATCCTATTGGATCAGTCATTGTACCACACTGTCCTGCTATATTTGTAGGTATCAGGAATGCCTTTTTTTATTTAATAACAATGTAGAACTTCCAGAAACTGCATTATATTTGACATAACTCTTCAATACAAAATACTTTCCCTTTGCTTCTGAGAAAAGGGCAAGAAAGTAACTATGGTATTCTGGGTTCTGCATTATTTTTTAAACAAAATATGTTCACATGCTGGGCTGTCAAATTACTGATAAATGAGCTTTGGTCTTCTTTGCTCATGTTAGCTAACCCTCTGAATAGCCACCTTGTTTAGGGTGGAGGAGTTGAAAGAAAGCCCAATGTTGCTGTTCAAATGAACCATTTGGCTGCTGTCTGCTCTGGTGACAGACAATGGGCTGGTCCCTAAAATCATTATATATGTGTTATATATACGTGTGGGAGAAATCTCTGTATGCAGCACTGAATGCTCACTTCTAATGAAGGCCATCACTGAACATGTAATCTTTTGTGCTTCATAGCTGCTAAAAAAATAGCGGGGAGAAAAGGAGGATTCTGCTAGAGATACACAGAAGAAACTTGGGGCTTATTCTCTTCTTTCTCTTCAAACTTAAAATACTGCCATTGGATTGGACAGATGACTATGCAAAGACTATGCAAATTGGACAGATGACTATGCAAAGATTGTTCAATGCTTCTTAATGTGGCTGCCATATGCAGGTACTTTGGAATATTTCTCCAGAGGCACTTGCTGGTTGCTTTCTTTCTAACTTTGGCTGGGGTCCTAGCATCTGGTTGTAATGTCATTGAGCTGACCATGGGCCTCAGATATTTCCCCAGAAGGAGAGAACCTGCACCTATTGGAGATTTCCTTCCCCATGAATGGAGTTCCTCAGCCAAAGGCACCCTTCACTGTGCAGAGCCTGTACTCTTAATCCAGAATCCAAATTGCAGAGATGTGGGAATGGGTCCCACCATCCAGGATCCAGAAGTGTTTGGGGGGAAGAGCAGTGGATAGTTTCTCAAAAGTGGAGTGCTGGGAATCAGTTCTGCCTCTGGAAGCCCCCGCTCCCCACAACAAGTCATGATTTGGAAGCTGTACAGCTGAACCACAGGCTGGGATGGGGGTTGGGGGTGTGTGGGGAAGGTTGTGTTGGGAGGGGGAGTAATCTTTTCCCCTCACACATTTATTCTGCCATTAGAATGGGCTCTGGGGCTCCCTTCCAGTTCAGGTTTGCGTTGGGGCTGAATCCCACTGCTTTGTACCTTTGTATGTTAATAAAAGTTCTATTTCCATATGTCTGTGGTGAATTCTCACTTAGAGAACCATTTGCTAATCAGGTTTCCATGAGGAAGGCCAAGTAGATGTGACCCCCTTAAATGGGGGGGGGGGGGTTCCCAGACTGAATGGAGGGGGGATGCTTCTCAAATCATAGATACTGCAGAGATAAATGATTAACACTCTGGTAATATTTGAATGTGGGGCATCCAACACAATCTATAGCAGTTTCAGAAGACACGGGGAATTCCATCACACACTAATCAATTCTCCTGTGGAACTGTTTGCCACTGAATGTTGTATATATAAATTCAATAAATGATGATGATGATGATCATTTCTGGCTCCAAGAGAATTAAATTGGTCTTTCAGTGGCCTCAATAGACAAGGCATTGCAAAATGCAGCCAGGAATATCACAGGCTACTCTCAGGGTTGTGCTTTTTCTACATCTCTGAGTGATCTATAAAGAAAAGCTGCTTCAAATGACAATGTTGGGGGACACCTTAAAGCATGGCTAGCTGTGCTGTGGATCTTCAGGTGTTGTTGGTCTACAACTCCCAGAGTTCCTGATTGTTGGAATGGCCATGCTGGCTGCCTGAAGCGGAAGGGATTTGGGAATCTCAACAACATCTGGAGGGTCATAAGCCAGCTACTTCTGCTTTAAAGAATAATAAAAAACATTTCAGTTTCACCTTTCCTAGATTAAAACTCATGAGAAGGTCTTGCATGTGGAAGCAAGTTCATGCTGCAGAACAATATATTCATTAGAAGAGGATGGAGCAGCTGGGTTAGCTGAGGCTTTGCCTTCCTGCCTGTCCACCTGAGCTGCTGGGCTTTGGCAGGAGCAGGGGGAAGGAGACTCACTGCGGCCACGACTTGGATAGCATCTGGGACAGGAAATCAGGGAAACTTGGAGGAATGCTGTCTTTGTGCAGTCAAGGGGTTGAGGTTGCAGAGATTTATTTATATTTATTCCTTTATTTAATTTGTATCTTGCACATCCTCCCAAAGGAGCCCAGTCCTGTGGGGAACAGCTGTGCCATTGCTGTGGTGGCTGGCTGCTTCTTCTCTCCCATTAATCTTTGATCCCTGAAGGTGGGTGTGCTCCCCTTGTTTGTGACAGCTCCATCCAGCACTTTGGGCAGGCCCTCCAAGGGTATGTGGGACACTGTTCCAGGACAATGAGCTTGTGAGCTGTCCATGGTGTCGACAGTCCTGCTCCTCTTCTCTGTGCATATAGGCATGCTGCTCCTCTGCAGATCAGCAGCCACCATAGATTTGGTGCTTACCCTCCCAACAGCTGCCTCTCTCAGTGCCATCTCCACCATGCCACAAGTACCCCTCCATAGGATACTGAAGTGCCACAACTCCAACCTGAAGCACACCCCCAACTGGTGCCCCTGCTGCCCCCAAGGCCACCTTCAAAGTTGGGCCTTGGGATAATGGAAGAGAATCTGGAGGAGCTGCCACCTCCAGTGTGTGTGAAAGTCTTGGGGGAAGGGAGTTTCCACTCCTAGCAATTTTGGAGGTCAGCCCTGCCTAGTTGCTGAGGATGACAGGGCGAGTGATGCTGCTACCCTGTTAGAGACACAGACGGAGTCCTTGGCAGGTAGTGTTGGCAAGGAGGAGAAGGAGATTGGAGGTGGTGGGAGCCGTAGGGTGGAAAGTCTGGTGCTAGTGTATCATGCACTTGTAGTGAAGAATGTGGGTGTCTTGGTGGTGGAGGTCACTGTCCAGCTGTCCACATGTGTATGTTCTGCACCCAGAGCTGCCGCTGAGGTCTTGTTGCTTTGTGGCAACTGTGGAGTGTAGGCGGCTGGTTGGTGCATGTGGCCAGAGGTGGCAGTTGCTTCACCACACTCCAGGAGGGTATTAGAGATCTGGTGGTGCAGGTTTGCACACTCAATGCTGTGGCACCACGTCCACAGGCACTGAGAGACTCTTTGCTGCCTCCTTGGGCTGGAGCAATCAGATCCTGCATGTGGTAAGAAATGTGGGGTCTCCATCACAGAGGAATTTGGTGAACTCTTCCTGCTTCTCTATAAGCTGTCGCAAGTGGCTGGTGATCACAGTGGCCTCGCTGGCACGTCTGCCTGTGTGGATCTCCCTGGTTATGCACTCTTCTTGCAAGGTGCCACTGGTGCACTTGGTCTTTGCACCAACAGCAGGTCTGATCTGGCATGCATTCCTGCCCCCAGCTGTCTTTGCTCATGCAACTCTACCTGCCTGCCAAGCCCTTGGTGTTTGACTGCTCCTTGTCGTGTCTGGACCACTGATCTATGGGGTGCCCACTGGGGGTTGGTGGGGAGCGAGGATTGCAGAAATCTTTGCTACTATGAACTCCTTTTCTCCTTCGGTATGTTGCTTAATTGTTTCTTTCATGTCAATAAGGAACAGTTTTTTGCCCTGTGCTCTCTGGTTCCATGGTATCATTGGTGTGTGATGGGGCTGCAGGCATTTTTGTGTGTTGGGGCAGTGATGATCCACCTGTGGTTGAGATGCCACAAGCTGCTGCTAAGTATAGTTGCTTATGGGGTGTGGGGAGCTATGCAGCATGTGTTTTGGTTACTAATAGGTCATGTGTGTGGTGCTCAGTGTAGCAGTGCATTCTGGGAGCTAAGTCTGGATTGGTTTTTCTGGGCGAGATTGCTATGGACATGGCAGCCATTGGGACATGCCTACACTCCTGCTGCTGTGACTATTTTCCCTTTCCTAGCACTGGCCCCTCTCAGCAGACTATTACAGAATAGATAGTGATGCTACCTTGCAGGGCTGTGCTATATGTACATGCTGAACTTAAATTGTTCATTGCCTCTTAAATTCAGAAAGGGTTAGGATGTCTGCTTGTCTGTTTGGGGGATTCCCCCTGCCTCACCCCTCCAACACAGGCACACTTCCCTCAGAATAAAACAGAATAAAATTAACTCTATTAAACTAATAGAGTTAAAGAGTCGCTAATATAATATAGACTATAGCTTAAGGTTCCCAGATTTTTTTCAATGATTCCGGGGACACTTTCAACTTCAATAGGAATCATAGAATTTGTCAGGGGACTGATTTGTAAATCCGGGGACTGTCCCCAGGAAATGGGGAGGTCTGGTAACCTTACTATAGCTCCCAGTATTCTTGCCTTTATCCCTGTTGGCTGGGGTCTCTGGGAATTGCAGTTCCCCTCTTTCTTTGTTGTGTATTAAAACTTAAGTCAGTAAGGTCCTTAAATAGTACTTTTCTGTCAGCTGGTGACAAAAAGTATAACTGCAGCCTCTTTCTGCCCACTGCAGGCATAGTGTGGTAAACTCCTCTAACTGTAGCCTGTTTCTACCCACTCTGCTGCCATCTGGTGGCAGAATAGTGTAGCTGCAGCATATTCCAACCCACTGGTGGCATGAGATGTTGGAGTTATCTATCTAAAACAAATTTACAAACATATGAAGTATGACTAAACAGGATATAAAAATTGAATAAACAAAATATAAATATCAAAGTAAACAAAAAATATAAATCTGCCTCTCTTCAATTGACACACGCATAGACACTCTCACATGTGCACTCTCTTGCTACCTCTCCTAACACCTTAGGGCAGCATGACTGGTTCCACTGCACTGGGCCCAAACCTTTTAACACAGTAGAAAACTTATACCTCCCAATTTCAGAAATGCCTATAGCACAGTATTAGATGATATGCTTTGCATGCAGAAGGTCCCAGATTCAATGCTCAGCATCTCCAGGTAGGGCTGGGAATGCTCCCTGCCTAAAACAATGGAGAGCAATTGCCAGTCAGTGCAGACAGCGCAAAGCTAGATGGACCAATAGTCTGAGTAAAAGGCATATCCCTGTGTTCCTCTATTCCTGGAGATGTCTGGCTTTTGCTTTTGTTTTAAACCTGAACTTTTTGTTTTGCACCACGTTTGACTGAATAAATTCTAGAAGAATATTCAGTACCTGAGGAGGACATGAGGAGGACAGCATTGTGGACTACAATTTCATATACAATTGTGTAAATGAGGGGCAAATATTGCTAACATCCCTCAGGCAGTGAAACCTCTCTGCGCTCACTTTGAAGACTGTGTCAGTGAGTTCTCTCTCAGGACCATTTTCCTGCCTTCCATTATCTCACAGATATCTTTCTGCAATACGGTATGCAGAGCATCCTCAAGGTGCTGGATAATTGATCATTACCACTGACAGGAGCCTTTCAGGAACAAGAAGGGAACATTCTCTCCTGGTGAGGCGACTCCTCATCTGAGCAGTCTTTCTCATCTCTTTGGTGGTGTCAGAGCTGCTTCCAGATCCTAGCTCACAGAGGATCACGCTAGCCAGCGATCATTAAACAAAAGTCTTTATTGAGTTACAGTTTCCATTCTCAAGCTGCTGCGTGCAACTCTACGTCTCATGGTTAGATCGGCGAAGCTCCGTCTGAGTCTCCGCCCCTTGTACACCAACTTAATATCCTAGCCCTGCTCCACCTTTTCCGCCTGACTGTTCTTCTCTGGGTCCCTCTGCTCCCCGGGGTCTCTTCCTTCCGGGATTCCTCTGACGCTGACGCTGACCCCCCTGACTCTTCTCCCTCCTTTCGGCGGGCTTTAGGACCTGGCTCCCTTTCCGGGCTGCCTACTGCGCCACCTTCCTGTGCATTTGAACTTGGCGCGCGCGCCCAACCTTCCACCTTCCGTCTGACCGTTTCTTCGCTCCCCGATGGAGGTGTGGCCACTCCTGACTCGTGCCCTCCCCCCTGTTGTGAGTTGCCAGCGCTTGATCCCTGGCGCCCTTCCTCTTCCCTGCTCTCTGGCGGTGACGCTGGTCCCGATTTCCAACTGCTCCCCTCTGAGTCCCCTCTGGCTCTATCTTCCTGGGGTGTCCCCCTAGGCTCCCCCCTTGCCCTGGCCACTGGTGCTCCTTTCTGTGAATCTTCTGATTCACTGGAAAGACTCGGAGATCTCGGGTCGTCGTCATCACTCATCTTTTCTTCTGCCTCCCCCTCGCTCTCTGTTTCCTCCCTTGCACTTGCCTATGCTCCTGAACCCCTGACATCCATCCCCCTCGAAGCCCCCTCTTCCCCCTCCCCTCCTTCCGGTGCGGGATCTGGGTGCTGCCGTGTCAGGGGGACGAATGTCGGATACAGTTCGCTTCCCGTGGCGGGCCGTCATCTGAAGTCTTCCGGTTCTTCCTCCCTGCTCTCGTTGACGACGGTCACCTCCGCTTCCATCTCTGTGCCGCCGTGCTCGAAACCCGGGTCGTCCCCGAAAAAGTCTATGTCCGTCTCTCCCTCGTTGCCTTCTGGAGACGTTGCTCGTCCTGGACCCTCCAGCCACCTTCTACGGAACTGCTCCTCTGGTCGATCATCCCACCAATACGAGGGTTCTGAAGCAGATCCTGAGGGTGACCCCTCCGGGAACGGGCGTCTCGTGTCGGTTCCTCGTCCGAGTCGAACCCCCGGACGTGCTGGCTGAAAGCGTGGGCGTGAAAAGCCGGTCGTCGAAAAAGTCTGCTGGCATTGGCCTATGTGGGAAGAGGGCATGAAACTCTTCTTTGAGCAGAGGTTCGTCTAAAGCGTAGCCCGGCACCCAGCTGTTGGCACTGGCCGGGGTGCCCTCCTTGGCGAGAAGGTATTCTACCCCCTCTTCCCCCCATCTGGAGTCCAAAAGCTCCGTGACTTCGTTGATGCGCTCCTCCCGTGCCACTCCCCCCTGCCCGGTTCTCTCTCGGAGCGGACCCGGTGCCGTTCCTGGTTCCTGAAACCTGTGAGGTGCCTTGTAGGGAGTGAGCACCGATCTGTGGAACACCGGATGCATTCTGGAACCCTCCGGAAGAGCCAGCCTGAAAGCCACCGGGTTGACCTGTTCTTCGACTTGGTAGGGCCCCAGTTGTTTATGCCCTAGTTTCTTCTTCGCCAACGACCTGGCCGGCACTGCGTGGGCTGCTAACCAGACCCAGTCTCCCACATGGATCTCTTCGCCAACCCTTCTGTGTTTGTCCGCTTGTACCTTGTATGCGTGTTTAGCCAGCTCCAGGTGCCGCCGCAGCTGATCGTGGACCTCCTGCAACTCTGACGCGAATGCATCTGCTGTCTGCGGCTCCCCCTCCCCCATTCTTTCCAGTCCCGGGAAGGTTCTGGGGTGCCTCCCGTTGTTGGCGAAGAACGGCGTGACCCCCGTGGACACGTGCTTCGTGTTGTTGTAGGCGAACTCGGCGAGAGGCAGGTAATCCACCCACGTCGCAGGCTGTTGATTCGCATAACATCTCAGGTACTGCTGCATGATGGCATTGACCCGCTCCGCTTGCCCATTGGTCTGCGGGTGTCTAGCCGACGCCAGGTTGATCTTGACGTTCAGGAAGCCCATCAGCCTCTGCCAGAAGTTCGAGATGAACTGTCGCCCTCGGTCGGACAGAATAGACCGCGGCAGACTGTGAACCTTGAACACGTGGTCTATGAACAGTTTGGCGGTTTGTTCCGCCGTGGCCACCTTCGCACACGGAATGAAATGTGCCATCTTGGAGAACAAGTCCACCACCACCAGCACAGCCGTCTTGCCCCTCGAGCTGGGCAGATCCGTGACAAAGTCCAGGGCCACTCTCTCCCATGGTTCGAACGGAGTTTGCAGCGGTTCCAGCAGTCCGGCCGGCGGTCTGTGCACTGGTTTGGCCCTCTGGCAGGTGTCACACCTCGCCACGTAGTCCGCGACTTCCCCTCTCATTCCTGGCCACCAGAAGTCTCTGGCTACTAATTCCACCGTTTTCTCCTTGCCAAAGTGCCCGGCAGTGGGCGCGTCGTGCAGCTGCTGCAGTACCTTGGCGCGAAGTTCGTCTCCCGGCACGTAGATGGCCCCTTTACGGATGAGCAAACCATCTCGCAGCTGGAACTCGTCGGTCGCTGCCGTGCCCCTGTGCGCCTCTGCCATCTTTGCTTGCGCGAAGGAGTCATCCTGCAACGCTCGTCGCACCGCCTCCAGGTCAACTGTTGCCGCCGTGCACGCCCACACTGTCGGTGCGAAGATGTGCATGGCGGCCGCTGGCGTTGCCTCCTCCAAATACTGTGGCTTACGGGAGAGAGCATCCGCCATGATGTTGGTGTCCCCCGGGACATACTCTATTCGGAAGTCGAAATTCGCAAAGAACTCAGCCCAACGTATCTGCCTCTGGTTCAGGAACTGTGCCGTGCGCCAGTGTTCTAGATTCTTGTGGCCCGTGCAGACCTGCACCGTGTGCTTGGCGCCGATCAGGAAGTGCCTCCACGCTTTGAACGCTGCATGAATGGCCAGCAACTCCCTGTCCCAGATGGTGTAGTTCTGTTCGGACTTGCTGAGCTTCCTTGAGTAAAACGCTCCCGGCCTCCAAACCCCCTGCGGGTCCTTCTGCAGCAGGACTGCTCCCACGGCTCTGTCCGAGCGTCTGTCTCCACCCACATCGGCCTGCTGGGGTTGACATGAAGCAGTTGCTCTTCCGACGCGAAGAGACGGCTTGAGTGCCTGAAAGGACTGCTCCGCCTGCTCTGTCCAGATGAACTTCTTTTTCTTGGAGCTGAGCGTGTCCGTGATGGCCGCTGTCTGCATGGCAAAGCCTTTGATAAACTTGCGATAGAAGTTCGCAAAGCCGACAAACCGTTGGACCTCCTTCCGGTTGCGTGGGCTTTTCCAATCCAACACTGCTCGGACCTTGGTGCTGTCCATGGCGAGCCCTTTATCAGACAACTTGTAGCCCAGGAAATCCACCTCCGTCACGTCGAATTGGCACTTCTCCAGCTTGGCGTAAAGCCTATGTTGCTGTAGCCTGCTCAGCACTTCTTTGACGTGCCTGTCATGCTCCTGCTGCGATTCCGAAAAGATCAGGATGTCATCCAAGAAACAGACGCACGTCTTGTAGAGGAGCCCCGCCAACACGTGATGCATGAAAGCTTGAAAAAACGTGGGAACCATTTTGCAATCCAAAAGGCATAACTCTATATTCGTAGGTGCCCAGGGGCGTGAACATGGCTGTCTTCCACTCATCTCCTTCCCGCATGCGAATGAGGTTGTACGCCCCTCGCAGGTCCAACTTGGTGAACACGCTGCCCTTCCGTACCTTCGCGAGGAGGTCGTCGATTCGGGGCATGGGGAAGTCCGATGGCTTGGTCACGCTGTTCAAAATGCGATAGTCCACTACAAGTCTTTTTTGGTGCGTGTCCCGCTTCTTAACAAAGAATACCGGACTGCCCCCCGCTGCCGTGGACTCTCGGATGAAACCGCGCTCCAAATTATGATCTATGAACTCTTTGAGTTCCTGCAGTTCGTCCTCAGACATGGAATACAACTTCCCTTTGGGCAGCGCCGCCCCGGCAGCAGGTCAATTTTGCAGTCATATGGTCTGTGGGGGGGTAGCCTGTCTGCCTCCTTCTCACAGAAAACCTCCAAAAATGCTGCGTACTTGTGGGGAACCGCTTGCAGCGTGCCGAGCTGCAGCTGTGACTCCTCTTCCTCTCCTTCCTGCCGGGGCACGATGCAGTGTTCAGCGCAAAAGGAAGAGCCGAAGGTCAGCTGCCTCTGGTACCAAGCCAGCGTCGGGCTGTGCTTGTCCAGCCAACTCATGCCCAATACAATGGGCGTGTCCGATAGTTGAGTGACATTGAAGCTGATGATTTCCCTGTGATTCCCAAGTCTCATCACCATTGGTGGCGTCTGCTTCACCACTTGCCCCCCTAGCAGCTCCCTGCCATCCACCGTGACAACCTGCAGGGGCAGCGTGGCAGGCAGCAACTGTATAGCGTGCCGGTCGACAAAGTCCTGCCCTATAAAGTCCGCATTGCTTCCGGAGTCAATGGTGATTGGCACGTCCATGGTGATGCCATTGGGCAGCTGGAGCGACGCGGTGAGCCTCACTACTGGTTTGGGCGGGAGGGGGTCCATGGGCTGTAAAATCGCTGGGGACTGCTTCACTGACACGTCTGGCTGGGCCCCAGTGCCTCTTTCTCCAGCCAGACTCCGTCGTTTCCCTGCCGTGGTTCTCCTTGCTGCGTTGCTGCAGTTACCATTGCTGAGGCTGCAGTGTGCTTGTGGAGCCTCTGGGGACACTCTTTCGCCATATGCTGTGGATCATCGCAGATGTAACACTTCCTGTTCCCTCTAGGAGGCTTCGCTTTCACTGCTGCCGGTGCTAGGGCTCTGGCTGCTGACTGAGCCCTTGCACCTCCAACCTCCATAGGTTCCGCTCCTCCTCCTGGCGGAGGCGTGGATTGCGCACGCGCTGCTTCTCTGGGAAGGAAGGAGGAGCCCCTGGCTGGTTCGCGCCCTCCACGCCCCTCGTCCCTGCTCCACGGACGTTCTTCCAGCCGCACCCCCACCGCCAGCGCCCTCTGAACGATCTCCTGCGTGGTCCGGGGTCTCTCCCCCCTCGCAATTTCATCTTTAACCGAGCCGTGCAATCCCTCCCAAAACAGGTCTCTTACAGGAGCCGAATCTCTGTCCCATTCCAGAGCACTGACCAAAGCGAAAAGCGGGCATGGTACTGCCTTACGCTGGCCCTCCCTTGCTTCAGTCCATGTATCTGCTGCCGAGCAAGATCCACGTCAATGCTTGATAAAAGCACCCATCCATCGCTTTAATAAAGGCATCCGCATTTTGGAGCGCCGGATCCTTATCTCTCCACAAATTGCGCAGCCATGCTTTAGCATCTCCATGCAAATGGGACATGATGAATCCCACCTTCTCTTGCTCATCTCTAAAGTCTTTGTTCAGCAGTTGCAGTGCACACATTACATCTGCTCTAAAGTTGAGGTACTGTTGCAAATTCCCATCGAAGTGAGAGACCAGACCGCCTGTTCGTCTCCCCAACCCAATCCCCTCCGGTTTGGGTGTCAGTTGCCCTTGCTTCGTAAGCACTTCCAACCTGACCTGGAGATCCCTGTAGGCGGCAGCTGCGTCCTCCTCTCTCTTCCTGGATGCAAGAGCCTCGGCATTCAGTCGTGACACTGCTTCTCTGAGTTCCGCTATCTGCTGTTCGGCCGTCATATTGTCTGCCGTTCGTGAGCTCGCTAGTAGGCACCCGCTTTCTTTCCTCTCCGCGAGGCCGTAGATGCCCACAATTTAGGTGACGGAGCTTACTGTCAGAGCTGCTTCCAGATCCTAGCTCACAGAGGATCACGCTAGCCAGCGATCATTAAACAAAAGTCTTTATTGAGTTACAGTTTCCATTCTCAAGCTGCTGCGTGCAACTCTACGTCTCATGGTTAGATCGGCGAAGCTCCGTCTGAGTCTCCGCCCCTTGTACACCAACTTAATATCCTAGCCCTGCTCCACCTTTTCCGCCTGACTGTTCTTCTCTGGGTCCCTCTGCTCCCGGGGTCTCTTCCTTCCGGGATTCCTCTGACGCTGACGCTGACCCCCCTGACTCTTCTCCCTCCTTTCGGCGGGCTTTAGGACCTGGCTCCCTTTCCGGGCTGCCTACTGCGCCACCTTCCTGTGCATTTGAACTTGGCGCGCGCGCCCAACCTTCCACCTTCCGTCTGACCGTTTCTTCGCTCCCCGATGGAGGTGTGGCCACTCCTGACTCGTGCCCTCCCCCCTGTTGTGAGTTGCCAGCGCTTGATCCCTGGCGCCCTTCCTCTTCCCTGCTCTCTGGCGGTGACGCTGGTCCCGATTTCCAACTGCTCCCCTCTGAGTCCCCTCTGGCTCTATCTTCCTGGGGTGTCCCCTAGGCTCCCCCTTGCCCTGGCCACTGGTGCTCCTTTCTGTGAATCTTCTGATTCACTGGAAAGACTCGGAGATCTCGGGTCGTCGTCATCACTCATCTTTTCTTCTGCCTCCTCCCCCTCGCTCTCTGTTTCCTCCCTTGCCCTTGCCTCTGCTCCTGAACCCCTGACAGGTGGTGACCCTTTTTGTGAACTGAAGGGAGAGAACTCTTCTCTGGTGAGCATAGGTGCCAACTCCCTGGGGCCCTGGGTACGCGAGCACCCACAACATTCCCCATGAAGGCACCAGGCACCCACAAATTTCAGTGCCAGGGCCATACACGCTGCATGGCACTCCTGCTGGTGAGACGACAGCTTTCCTACTTGTTTGACACTGTAGACGGAACCCATTGCTAGATTCAGTGTGTGGATGTTTTAACTATGGGAACCTCCAAACTGTCAATTTTTTTGTGGAAGGAATTCAAGCACATACTTTTTGTGCAATTAAAGCGGATGAACTGCCATAGGACAACAAGCCCACTTTTGAGGGCTTTTTAAGAAAGTGACAGGGAAATGTGTTGCAAAGTGAATGAGCAAATTCCTTGCAAGCGAATTAGGATGAATGTTTGAATCCTGTGATAGGAATTTTGAGGTCTTAGATATATGTTAAATGTTCATAAGTGTACCAACGAAGCACGTACATAGATCAGCACAGGAAGACCAACCTGAAACCATTTTTGATTCCCAAACTGACCAGGTGTTTTCTCTGCAAGGAGGGAGGGGGTCAGGGAGCCTTCAGGGAGCCTTCCCATTGTCTCAGGAATTGAGTAATCAGCATTTTAATGGGTGACAGACTATCAGGAAAGGCAATCAGGAAAGGCAAACAGATAACCTGGCAGAAAGGAAAAACAACATTCAAATTTCTGTTTTAGACCACCTTTCTGTGATGTAGGTGTGTGGGGTGGTGGTCTTGGGTTTACACCCCTCCTATGATGTATGTATGATGTATGGAGGGGTGGTCAGGAGCTCCAGGGCAGGGAATTTAAAATGTCTATACAGTGGTACCTCGGGTTACATGCGCTTCAGGTTACATACGCTTCAGGTTACAGACTCCGCTAACCCAGAAATAGTACCTCGGGTTAAGAACTTTGCTTCAGGATGAGAACAGAAATCGTGCTCTGGCGGCACAGCGGCAGCAGGAGGCCCCATTAGCTAAAGTGATGCTTCAGGTTAAGAACAGTTTCAGGTTAAGTATGGACCTCCAGAATGAATTAAGTACTTAACCTGAGGGACCACTGTACAGTATGTTCTCTCTGAGATGAAAGGGCAGGCACACCTTGGTTCTGGGTTCCTCCTCCCTCCTGCATGTGGTGAGTGAGGACCCTGTTGCAACAGATCTATAAAGATCAGGCTTGCTAGCTGCTTTGCTTCTCATTATTCTCTGGTTGGCCTCTGTTATTTTCTCCTACCAATAGGGAACCTATGTAAGGACTCTATACGCGCTCTTGGATACAACATAAGGGGCGGGGGGGAGGCAGATTTTTGTTTACAACAATCCTCATTGTCATGTAACCACTCCATAAATGAATCAGAACAGAGACTGCCATTTCCCCCTGCATTCTAGCTCAGGCATACCTTGTTGTACAGTTCAAGGAAGCACAATCCCACGGTTAAATTCTAATACAAGTGTTACATAACAGACCAGTTTCTTAATTGTAAAAGGTTATGTAGGTCCCAGCACATCCCATGGGTTTGGTTTCCTAGGATTGAAGGTCGCTGGAATCTGGTAGCATTTCTTCCCTCCTTTATATTTGAATTCCCCCCCCCCCCCCAAAAAAAATCTGTACCCTGTATAGTGTCTTCATGATCACAATCCCATTACACTGTGTAACAGCATGGAGCCAACTCCTCTTCCAGTTGTGGCTATATATCAGTCCAGAAATATTTCTGGTGGGTGGATGGAGCAATCCGAGAGGACCCCTTGCCCATACACAGCAGGGCTGGCGTCTGTGTGTTTGTAGGCCTGTGAGACCGCTGGCATTTCTGTCACATAAAGCTTATTCACACAAAAGTATGGGCTGAGCAAGAGATGGAAGACTCACAGAATTAACACTTGAACAGATCAGCCTCCCCTATTAGGATTTTGCTCCGCACAAAAAGCAAGTTAGATCTCTGTGCTCCTTTTTAACACCCTCATTTCAAGGCTGACAGTTTTGTTCTTTTTCACATGCAGATACTTTGATGAAATCACTTCCAGCTAGAGAAGAAGGGGGTTCAGAAGGATCTCCAGTTATTGAATTTCTGTGCCAACATCTCACTTGCACTTGACCATCCATTCTCTCACCAAAAGAAAGTATGCCAAGCCATGGGAGTAGCCAAGGCAAAGTAGACCTAGTTAAGAAGATCCGTCACTAAGAAACTCCCTTTGAGAGCATTATGGAATTTTTATCTACCTCCCTGGCCCTACTTGGCCAGTTAACCAGAAATGCTTAATCTCTAACAAGCCAGAACAAGATCTGCCTCAGTTAACTAAGGGCTCTTCCAAATGACCTACTTAGTAGCATTCATGCTGATTTGGTTGCATAAAGTTTACACAGAGATTAGATTACACCTGATCTTTATTGACCCACTTTATTTATTTATTTATCTTTATTTACCCACTTGAATCCTCCCTCATAAAATCATGATGGTGTGGAAGGGCCATCATACTTGCTCCTAATTATAGCTGCAAATCCAAAACAGAAGCAGTTGGGTTGTTGTTTTCCTTTAGCCCCCTTCTATTTTTCCAGTTGAGGGAAAGGAAAGGGGGGGGGTGAGCAGACACTGATCTCACACATTGTTGCCAAGCCTTCCTTGGCACACAGCTCTGGCAAACCCTACCAAATCTCCCCTCTTGAAATTTGCAGTGAGCTACTTATTCCCCCCCCAAGCTATGCAAGAGCCCTTGAAGACCTCTACAGCAGGAATATTGTTTTTCCATTAGGCTCAGAAATCAAGGAATTGATGCAAGATCTGCTGGGGGGTGGAATGGAGGGTTAAACTCCAAACGGCAGGCAAATAACCTGCACACTGTACAATTCCAAAGTTTTCAGGCAGTCTCTGCCTGTCTCTTGCTCTCTTACACATACATTCCCCACCCCCCATTTTCTTTTTCTCCCAAATCAAATCCCCTTCGTGCAAGCAATTCTGCTGACTAATCATGCTTTGACTTGTTTGTAGAGGTATTGTACGCTAAACCGGTTCCTCTTTCTTTTTGTTGTGATGCCAGCAGCTGGCAAAGCAGACCTGGTTTAGGAGACCTGGTTTAGGAGGACAATCATTTGTGTGAACTGCAGCAGAGGAGCTGGGGACTTAGGCAAGCAAAACGTTTCATCCTTTAGAAGATGTCTATGCTGAATGCACGTTCCATCCTGGTGACTGGGTCCAACCGGGGCATTGGCTTAGAACTGGTCAAGCAGCTGGTGGAGAAAAGCAACAGACCAGAATGGATCTTTGCCACTTGTCGGGACCCAGAGGGACCAGGTGCTCAGGTGAGCTCCAGGGAAGGGCCAGCAATCCTGTAGAATGGGTGCCTAAACTAGTGAATTCCCTCTGATGCCAGGGAAATTGTGCCTAGGGTTTATGTGGAGCTGTCTGATAAGATTTCTTAAGCTTCCTGTTGTTCAGGCACTTCTGCAGAGCAACAACAAATCAAGATATACATCCCCATAGAGAAAAAACTTGGATGATGTGTGTATCAGAGACCAGGTCAGGTAGTTTTTTTCTATTGTGATAAGAATTTTAAGGTCTTAGATATGTAATAAATGTTCATAAATGTACCAAGCAAACACGTACAGTGATACCTTGGGTTAAGTACTTAATTCGTTCCAGAGGTCCATTCTTAACCTGAAACTGTTCTTAACCTGAAGCACCACTTTAGCTAATGGGGCCTCCCGCTGCCACCGTGCTGCCGGAGCACGATTTCTGTTCTCATCCTGAAGCAAAGTTCTTAATCTGAGGTAATATTTCTGGGTTAGCGGAGTCTGTAACCTGAAGCGTATGTAACCTGAAGCGTATGTAACCTGAGGTACCACTGTACATAAATATATAAACCACATGTCTGAAAACCCCACAGAAAAAAAGTCCTGAACAAATTGACCTCAATTATTTCTCTGCAAGGTCAAAGTGGGAAACCTCCCCATTGTCTTTTTCCTTCACAAATCCTGTCTTAAGGGCACATTTAAGATATGAATATGGTGTGGGCCTATGACCTGGCTCAGGAACTAAGTATTTATTATTACAAAAGACTGGCCAGGCTCCCCAGGCAATCCAATCAAGTGAGCATTAAACAGGTAACCTGTCAGACTAGATAAACAAGTCACTCAGATTTCTGCTGTAGACCGCCTTTTCTGGGATGTAGGTATGATGTATCTGGGGGGTGGTCTTAGGTTACACCCCTTCTGTGATGTATGTATGATGTATGGAGGGATGGTCTTGAGCTCCAGGGCAGGGAATTTAAAATGTCTATATAAGGCCAGCATGAGTTTGACCAAACTGCGGGAGGCAGTGGAAGACAGGAGTGCTTGGCATGCTCTGGTCCATGGGGTCACGAAGAGTTGGACACGACTAAACGACTAAATAACAATATAAGGCCTTGAGCGCCATTGTTCTGGGTTCCTCATCCCTCCTGCATGTGGTGAGTGAGGACCCTGTTGCAACAGATCAATAAAGATCAGGCTTACTAGCTGCTTTGCTTCTCAATATTGTCTGGTTGACCTCTGTTATTTTCTCCTACCAATAGGGAACCTACGTAAGTACTCTATATGGGCTCTTGGATACCCCATAAGGGAAAAAAGGGCAGATTTTTGTTTACAACACTATGCCTGTCTTTCCTTTATTCCAGGGTTTGCATTTTTATCCAGCTATGGAGCATAGGAAGGGGGAAGAGACTAGATTTCTTACTGCAGGCAAAGGAGAGAGAAGAGCAGCAACCCTTGCCAGCAAGAGCCTGGGAAAAGCACAGGGTGGCATGGCAGCTTCTGTAGCTCAGTTGGTTACAGAATGGTGCTGATAATGCCAGAGTTGCAGGTTCAATCCTCATATGGGACTGTTGCACATTCCTGCGTTGCAGGGGGTTGGACTAGATCATCCTTGGGGTCCCTTCCAATTCTACCATTCTATGATATCAGAAAGGTACGGAGTGGGAAACCTCCCCATTCCATAGAGGAAAGTACTAAATTCTGCTATTGAAAAATGGGTACCAGGACAGAGACAGTAGCCTGAGAGGACTCTCCCAGTGCAGAGTCAATAGTGTGGGAGTTTTGAAGAACATTTATGTACTGGGAGAAGAAGCAGACAGCCCCGTGCAGCCTCTCCTTGCTGGAGGGGTTGCGCGCAGCTATGGAGCAAGCCAAGGCAGGGGGCGGGATGGATCCCGCTCGCTGTTTTGGCTTCCCCTTTAGCCCCGTGCAGCCTCTCCTTGCCGGAGGGGTTGCGCGCAGCTATGGAGCAAGCCAAGGCAGGGGGCAGGATGGATCCCGCTCGCTGTTTTGGCTTCCCCTTTAGCCCCGTGCATCCTCTCCCTCCCGGAAGAGGCTGTGTGGGGCTAAAGAATCCATAGCCCCGTGCAGCCTCTCCTTGCCGGGAGACACTGCGCAGGGCTTTCCTGGCTTTTCTGGGAGGTGGGGGGATTCCCTCACCTTTCGCAAAACCGGCAGAAGCCGCGCACACTTTAAAAGGGCTGCACGGCTTCTTCTGGCTTTCCTGGGAGGTGGGGGGATTCCCTCACCTCTCGCAAAAGCCCGCAGAAGCCGCACAACCCCTTTAAAGAGATCGCGGCTTCTCCTGGCTTTTCTGGGAGGTGGGAGAAGCAACTGATGCGGCCAGTCAGTCCCTTCTCCCTCCTGGGGAAAAGCCCGCAAGAGCGCACGGAGCTTGTGTGCGGCTCTTGGGGGCTTTTCCCGACTGCCTCCCCCCTGCATTCGCTCCATAGGACGCACACACATTTTCCCTTGCTTTTTAGGAGAGAAAAAGTGCGTCCTATGGTGTGAAAAATACGGTAGGTATCTTCCCTGAGCTGTCGTCGAAAGGATAGATTCAGGCATAATATTTATAACATTTAACAGTTTTAAAGATGTGCCCCTCCCTGCCCCTGTAATTTCTGTAATACTTCTTACATTGTTTCAAACAATTCAGTCCACGTTGCTGTGTTTTGTTATCTTTCAGGCCTTGAAGAATTTGGCTGCCAAGCATGAGGGAGTGGTTATCAACCCACTGGGTATGTGCCTCTCATCCCCTTGATTCTCTCTCCTTAATGGAGAAAGGTGCTGTCATTTAAGGCCATTTTACAGGATCTCTGTTTCATTTGTATTGGTTCCTCATTTGTAGTTTGCCGTTCCCATGTCTTACCCAGGTTCCTGCTCTGTTTTGGGGGCATCATAATTTTTGTTGGGATCCATCTGCCTCGAGAGACAGTGAAGTAGACCAACCTTTCTCCTCTTCTTAAATGCAGTTCCTCCTAATTAAAATGTATGGAATTTTAAAACAAGCTGCTACACAATCAACCACCAATCATGCTCCTGCACAAACAACAAAGAGATACGGTATGTCAGAAGAAATGGAGGCAATGCATAAAAATGAAACTTGGGAACTTGTACCTTTACCTGAAGGGAGAAAACCCATCAGTTCCAAATGGGTGTTTAAAATTTTTTAAAAAGGAAGAAGCTCAAGTACAGATATTTAGAGCTAGATTGGTTGCAAGGGGTTTTGCACAAAAGCACAATGAAGACTATGAATTAATTTTTGCTCCTGTAACATATTCTAAGACGGGACGCGGGTGGCACTGTGGGTAAAACCTCAGCGCCTAGGACTTGCCGATCGCATGGTCAGTGGTTTGAATTCCCACGGCGGGGTGAGCTCCCGTCGTTTGGTCCCAGCTCCTGCCCACCTAGCAGTTCGAAAGCACCCTTAAGTGCAAGTAGATAAATAGGTTTCGCTTTATAGCGGGAAGGTAAACAGCGTTTCCGTGTGCTGCTCTGGTGCCGGTTCGTCGGAGCAGCGTCGTCACGCTGGCCACGTGACCCGGAAGTGTCTGCAGACAGCGCTGGCTCCCGGCCTCTAGAGTGAGATGAGCGCACAACCCTAGAGTCTGTCAAGACTGGCCCGTACGGGCAGGGGTACCTTTACCTTTAACATATTCTAATGTTAGGCTATTGTTAAAAATGTTAGTTTATTCAGCTCCGGCCCATCTGGAGATGATATGGCTCATGTCGTCCTGAGCCCAGCAGAGTGTAATCTCGTAGTCCGCAACGAAAGGATGAGGCCGGTATGGCTACATTGCTATTTTATTTCGCTATACCGAGAACACACAAATGTACATCTTGGCTCTGTGAGAGCAGAGAGCAACTCGCAACAAAGAAACGACAGAACAAAGAAACAGGAAACCAGTGTACGTCACATCCAGTAACTGAACTGTGGAATGAAAACATTGTCTTGTGACATGCAGCTGCTGCTCAGTGAGGGAAGCAGAAACCAACAAAAAATAGCAGCAAAAAAGAAAATGAAGGTTTCACATTTTGATATCAAAACTGCATTTTTATATGGTGAACTTGAAGAAGAAATATACATGATTCAACCACAGGGTTTTGTGAAAGATCCAGATCTGGTATGCAAACTGAAAAGGTCCATTTATGGTTGAAACAGGCAGCTAGATGTTGGAACAAGAAATTAGACAGTGTGTTGAAAAATCTTGGATTTGAGCAAAGCAAAGCTGATCAATGTCCGTACACTTGTAGAGACAATGATGGAATTACTTATTTGGTGGTTTATGTTGATGATCTTTTATTGATTTATGATTCAGATAAGCAGAAAAACAAGTTTGAAAAAGGTTTGAAAACACAATTTGAAATTAAAAATTTAGATACAGTGAACAATTACCTAGGTATGCAACTAGACAGAGATGAATTAGGCTCTTTCTGATTAGTCAAAGCAGTAAAATTCAGGCTCTGCTAGAGTCAAATGGCATAGATAATTGTAATCTAGTTGCTACTCCAATGAATCTCAAATATCAAAAGCAAGATGATAAAAAATAATTTGAGGATATTGACAAATACAGAAGTGTAATTGGAAGTTTGCTTTATTTAGCAAACATATCCAGGCCTGACATATCAAATGCAACTAACATACTTAGCAAATAAAATAAAATAAAATAAAATAAAATAAAATAAAATAAAATAATAAAATAAAATAAAATAAAATAAAATGTAACAGCTATTAATTAATCATGTACAGTAGAACCTCAGATTTCAAACTTAATCCATTTCAGGAGTCCATTTGACTCCCAAAATGGTTCGGGAACCAAGGCACTGCTTCCGATTGGCTGCAGGAGCTTCCAACAGCCAATTGGAATCTGCACCAGACATTGTTTGATTGTTCTAGTTATCGAACGTTCTTTGGAAGCCAATCACGTTCGGGAGTCAGAATGTTCAGCTCCCAATGCATTTGGGAGCCGAGGTTCCATTGTATATTACTGAGTCATTTCTGCCCTTAAGATAGATGTTCAACCTTGTTAGACCTTACTAGTTACTGGTTAACTCGGTTCAGCAGAATCACCTTTACAATAATTTCTTTGTTGCTATAGACACTTGTAAGCCTAATAGCATCAAGGCTGCTGCAGCCAGAGTCACTGAGTGTCTGAAAGGAGCCGGGTTGAATCTTCTGATAAACAATGCTGGGATTGTAAGGCCAGCTTCTATGGAAGATGAGACACCAGAGAGTATGTCTGAGGTGTATAGGACCAATGTGATTGGGCACATGGTAGTCACTCAGGTAAGGCTATCCCTGGATACATGCTTCTTCACAGACATTGCTCAGCATGTTGTAGAGCTCTTAAGTTATGGAGAACAGAATGATTTATACAAGTGTTTTCTGGTGAGGAGTTCATTGTTTGCAAAGTGTTTTTTGTTTAGTTTTTACACTTGAGCAGTATAGAAATTTCATGAAATAAATAGGCTTGATTTCTCGAATGTACAGGACCTTTAGCAGCTGAACGAAAGACAGATGTTCAACTGACACTGATGTGGCAGTGGATGGGCTGGACTGTTGTTTTGCTTCAGTGATGGACTGGATGAGAGCCAATAAACGGAAGCTCAATTCAGATACAACTAAGGCACTGTTAGTGGGTAATTCCCTAGACCAGAGGAATGGGAGGGGGGCAGCTCTTGATGGGGTTACACTTCCTCTGGAAGGAGCAGGTATGTAGCTTGGGGGTACTCCTTGATCCATTGCTGTCACTTGAGGCTCATGTGTTATATGTGGGGCTGCCTCTGAAGACAGCTTGGAAACTTCAGCTGGTGAAGAATTCAGCAGTTGGCTTGTTCACTGGGGCAAGACAGTCTCAGCATATAACCAGTGGTGGAGCTTCAAGCTCTGGCGGGTGTGTGTGTGTGGAGAGCAGGCGGGGGCATGGCTGGTGTGTGTCCCAGAGGCGTGGCGCGCATCCCAGGGGCATGGCTCCTAGTTTGTGGAATGATCTCTTCAGGGTGGCTTGCCCAGCGCCCTCATCACATACCTTTAGGAGCCAGGAGAAAACATTCCCCTTCAACCAGGCCTTTGGCTGTTAAACAATCTATGGCCTTTTAAGTTTGTGTTTTATTATTATTTTTTATTAGTTTTATTAGGATTTTAATATTATGAATTTTGTGTTTTACATTGTAAACTGCCCTGTGATCTTTGGATGAAGGGTGGTATATAAATTTATTAAATAATAATTATAATAAAGGAGGACCAGATCTCCCCACATAGTATAAGGTTGTCCCTTCATTCCACTCCTTCTCCAGGCATTCCTGCCCTTGCTGAGAAAGGCATCTCGGGAAAGCCCCCAGAAAGGAATGAGCTGCAGCAAAGCTGCCATTATCAATGTATCCAGTGAAGCTGGTTCCATTACAAATCTACTTGGATGGGAAGTGGGACATTCCATCAACTACCGCTGCAGCAAGGTACAGAGGTATTTTATGGTGATGCAAAGAGGGGCGCACTGAGCAGTTGGGCAAAGCTGACCCCTGCCAGGGGCACACTCAGACCAGAAAAGACTCAAACTCCAGGCAGGATTTAGCAGATGCACCTCTCTCCTCTTCTTCCACCTCTTACACTCCCCACCCACCTCCAGGGCTCCAGTAGCGGCACATCTCAGCCACTCAGTGCTGCCGTGGCACTGGGCGGTGGCGGCGGGCTTTTGCTGGGGTTGCCCCTGTCAGCTGCCTGATTTCTACGGGAGGCTGCCTGACTCGGGAGAAGCAGCAATAGTCGAGGAGAGAAGCACGCCCCCAGCACTTCTGGGTGCAGGGGCAAAAGCTTTTGTGGACTGGAGCATCCACTTGATGCTCCTTTTTTAAAAAAAGAAGTGAACCTTTCTGTTGAATCTCCCAGTACTGCAGGTAAGTGATTTTAGAACCTGGACTTAATTGTTTCAATGCCCCCCCCCCACGGCATGGCTGCCTGTATTGTTTCAGTTCTGAAGTGCAGAATCAACACGTCCGATACAGCTCCTCATGAAGGGCACAAGGGATCCTAGGTATGCTTCTGGATGCAAACAATGAAGGGCACCTGTGCTAACATGTAGGAAGAAAGTGTCACATTATCATGCACTCTTCCCCAGCTTTGCACACAGCCCTCCATTTGTTCTCAAAGATATCAGCTTGTTGGAGGGCAGATACTCCGTGCTCCTCGTTCTTTTCATTTGTTTTTGTATATCAAACTATCAAAACATACCTTGACAGCATTGTAGAATCTGAAATAACAGGAAGCCTCTGTTAACTTATATTTCTAACATTTAAGAAATAATTACCAGTATTTTCTCTCTCTCTCTTACATTTGTTCTATGCTGCTGAGGCAGTGTCCATGTTGTTCCCAGGCAGTCACCCATGCAGGCACTAACTGTTAGAATTCCTGCTCCATGATTGCAGTCATGGGATTGTTGTTTATCACATGATCGTGTATGTTTTGACTCCACAGTGTAGGAAGTGACGGAGACAGGATGTTTGTGTTACTGTGTTCCATGAAGTGGGACTATTGTCCTTTGTCCTTTTTCTCTTCGCTGCCTGATACTAGAGAGGGAGCCATGTTGCAGTGCTCCGTGTGTGTTTATATGTAAATAAAGTAGATTAGCCAACATGCTGAGTTGCTGAGGTCTGTTACGCAAGCTGCGAAGACTCTGCGGATGCCTAAGCGTGCCGATGTCTGTTGGCATCGGTCGCTGTGATGTTCGGGCTGAAGAAAGCTTTTGAAGCTCCCAAATGATCGACCAGGAGGGAGAGAACATGCCAGTCGGGCATGTGACTCTACCAGGGTCCTACTTGAGTGTAGGACGAGCTCCTGACACTAACCAGATCCACTCCTACTTTAAAAAGTAAAGTAACATAGCCGAAGGTTGGAGAACCTTTAGTTCTTCACATGTTGTTGGATTGTAGCTCCTATAATTCCTTTCCCTGACCGTTGGCCATGCTGGCTGGGGCTATTGGGAGTTGCTGTCCGGAAATATCTTGAAAATCACAGGTTCCGTGGCCCTGCCTTACTCTTACAGATGCCTCCTGTTAACTAACTCCTGCCAGTGGGGCAGAACATCAGTTCAATTTGCTTTTAAAGCCCTTCCCACTTCCCAAAACAATGCATGAACCAAAACACAGCCACCCTCCAAAATTCATACTTCTCCACATTTTGCAATGCAGGTCTCCAGCCAAGTAATATGCACAAAAATGCATATATTCATGAATTACATAAACGTACATTATATTAGGGGATATTGCTGTGCAAAAAGGTGTATATTAGGCAAAACTGCATACAAACATGTATATATCATTGTTATAAGAAAAATACTATTTAGGGCAACCTACAATTTTACACAACACACAAAAGGAGTACTTCTCACTGCATTTCCCTCAATGGTTCCCAATTTTACATAAATAAATTTGAATAAGGTTTCCAGTGCAGGGCATAACTTTGTCAAACAACTAGTATAGCCTCTGTACATATACAAAGTTCATGATTCAGCAAATCTATTATGCCTATTAAAGTGTTGCATCTCTTGGCTTAATTACCATTTGAATAAAGCCATGATTGGCTTTTCTTACCAGGGACTCAAGGAAGGTAAGGGGTCAATTAAAAAAAAAAATCAGATTTCCCAAGGGCAGAAACTCAAAGGTTTTCACCAAAAGCCAGTACAGTGGTACCTTGGGTTACATACGCTTCAGGTTACATACACTTCAGGTTACAGACTCTGCTAACCCAGAAATAGTAGCTCGGGTTAAGAACTTTGCTTCAGGATAAGAACAGAAATCGTGCTCTGGCGGCACGGCAGTAGCAGGAGGCCCCATTAGCTAAAGTGGTCTTCAGGTTAAGAACAGTTTCAGGTTAAGTACGGACCTCCGGAACGAATTAAGTACTTAACCTGAGGTACCACTGTACTGTAATACAAAGTTGGCCAAATTAAATTTCTACTAAAGCCTCAGTGCTCATGGATCTTGTTTCCTGGATTAAACAGATATATCTGTGCCCCAGGCAAAGAAAATTGGGAGCTACATGCCTCCTTTATCTACAGGAGATATTCAAAAAATGTGAGTTATCATTATTTTGTGTGCCCCGGCCCCGGTCATTAGCAGAACAATCACCTGCTCTCACATGTATGATTGAAATGGCCAGACAGTCAGAATTCATAAATTTCAAATATATTCCTAGTCATTTCAGCTATGAGCAGACTAAATTTTCTGCCCCCCCCCCCATGTACAGGAAATTGGCCTAGGCCCATCCATTTAAATCAGAGATGTCCAACAGGTCAATCAGGATTGACTGGTTGATCCCCAGGAAGTTCCAGTCGATCATGGGCTCCTTTTCCTTTTTCTGGGTAGCCTGGCCATTCCTTTGAGATGGTAAATACTTAGTTCCTGAATCTCTTACACATACTGATATCAATTTAACAGATACTTGCCAGACTGTAAGCACCTACAGTCCAAAGACAATTGGAAAGCTTTCCCCATTTCCTTCCTCCTCGCAGAGGAATATTTGAGGTCAATTTGGGAGAATCAAAATAGCTTCAGGATTGTTCTCCTGTACTATTTCAGACACGTGGTTTATATACTTATGTATGTGTTTGCCTTGTACATTTATGAACATTTATTTTATATATATAATACCTTAGAATTCCTATAACATCATTCACCACCTTCCTGCTCCTGGCATATTTCTCTCCTAGGCTGCTCTGAACATGCTCACACGGTGCCAGTCCCTGGGATTTGCTGAAGACGAGATCCTGTGTGTTGCGCTGCATCCTGGGTGGTTACAGACAGACATGGGAAATTTTGAAGTAAGTGGTTCATGGTGCCCTCCACTTCCCAGAGGTCATCAAATGCACTGAAACACTGGGCCTGCTTCCAACTGAGGCTCAGAATGGATAATACCATATACACTCGAGTATAAGCCAATCCAAATATAAGCCGAGGCACCTAATTTCAGCACAAAAAACTGGGAAAACTTATTGACTTGAGTATAAGCTGGTTCACCACACCACAAACCTGTGGTGGCGGCAGCGGCAGAGGAAGAACAAGCAGCCCAAAAGTTTGTACTTACTTGTACTGTTCAGTTCCCGCCCTATACCCTAGGATCACACATGTTCTAAACTCTGTGCCTGGCAAACACCAGCCCAGTGGCAGATATCCGTTGCTTCCAAAATGCCCAGAGTTTGAACGTTGGAGCATTTGTCAAGAGAATGCTTCTCTGGTTGCCCTTGATACGTGAACTTGGTGTAAGTGCAAACTGCCCTGTGATCCTCGGATGAAGGGTGGTATAGAAATGAACAAATAATAAAAATAAATAATAGTGTGTTGCTTTCACCCATTTGTCATCATTACATATTTGCACAGTGCAAGAAATATATCGCTTAACTCCTGTTCTCCTTTTCCAGGGTATACTAGCCCCAGTGAAAGTGGATGAGGGTGTGAAAGAGATCCTAAACACCCTTGCGTGTCTCTCAGAGAAAAACAATGGCACTTTTGTAAACATCGATGGGGAAACCCTTCCCTGGTGAAAGCACAATGTTACTGTCCTCACTGCAATGGGAAACCAGCACCACGGGCAATCCAAATACCTGATTAGATGAACTTCAATTTCAATAAATGCAACAAGTTCTGCTGAAAATATTAAAACTTCCTTCTAGCTGCTCTGTGTGGCAGAGATTCCTTCTGGTTGCTTTATATGACCTAGCCTGTCTGTTAGTTGTTTTTGTCTTATGTCACTATTGTGCCTTCTCACAAACATAGTCTCAGAGTGATACACAATGTAAGGGTCTTCTCAATCCTGAAAAAAATGCAAAAGGGAAAAACTTGTTCTCAAAAGTGCTAGCCAAGCAGATTTCTTACAGGTCAATGTGTGTTGGAACACTGGTTCCTTTTTCTGGGGAGATCTACACAGAATTAAAAATATAAGTTTAATGCTGATCTATGAACAAAATTACACACAATACTAATTAGAATAGTGAAACGTAACTAATCTGAGTTACCAACTGAAATTAGACAAATGCCACACATGTTGATATTTAGGCAGCTATTGATTTTTTTGTTTTTAAATAAGGCTTTTAAAGACCTAGTCATTTCATGGAATAACAACTGTATAATCATAGAAATAGTTTGAATGTGTTCAGTTACTGAGTTTGTAATCTTTCATATTTCATATTTGATTTTATTCTACACTGCTTTGAGAAGTTTTGATTGTGAAGCAGTTTATATACCTGCAAGTAAATAAAATGCAATTAGTTACATTTACTTACTTTGTTTGTTTGCTTGCTTCTTGATCCTAGCTTCTGGTTTGCCCTGTGTTCTTCTGACTTCCTCTTTGGCCCCGGCTACTGGGTCATGGCTACTGGACCTGGCTACTTGGGAGCTCTTGGTTCCTGGTTCCCCTCACACTGCTACCTACAGCAAAGTGCAGTACTCTTTCTGCAGTTGGTATCAGTGCTGGTCACACCTGCAGGGGTCAAATGAAAAGGTGGCCAACCCTCTCATGTTGTTTGCTCTTCATTTTATTTATTTATTTCTAACATTTATTCACTGCTTGACTATTTAAAAAACCTCAAAGCGGTTTGCAAAAAGGTAAAATAATACAATCAAGGCTTCACTTGACCTGATTATCTTCCTGTGTAGAAAATGCAATTTGTCTGCATGGGAAGAACTGATTCATCTGCTGCCACAACCGAAAAGAAAAGTAGCCCCTCAGTCTCAGTTTAGGAATTTGTGCATCTTAATTTTTTATATTGTAGGGTCTATCAAACTCCCTGCCACCAAAACTTAAGAGTTCCTCAATGTGACCCTTTTCTACTGCTACCATTTCCTTAGAATGCCTTTGAAGCTGCCTCCAACCATGATAAAATACAATTACCGTAGGTATGAAATGGACACCAACATCGGATGAACTAAATTATGTTTACTAAAGGGATACATGACAGGACACTGATATTTATAAAGGCATTTTAAATGAACACAATTGCAATTTCTAAGCAGTTAAGATACCGTTACTGACACTAGCCTCTAAGTGGCTTTTATCTCAGTCCAATTTCCCAAAGTCTCCACTCCAGCCAAATCCACACGTCACAACCCAGTCCAGTTGCTGGGACAGGGCCGGATTTAAGTTTGATGAGGCCCTAAAAGCTGCAGAAGGTAATGGGGCCCTTTATGTGTCCAGCTGTCCTTTGTCAACAACAAATTGCCGCTGTTTTTTGCGTTGAATATATGCTATATGGTAATTTATGGACCTACACAACACAAAACACTGTTGCTGTATGTAGGTTTTATTTTATTTTATCTTATATTTTGGAAATGTACATACAGGTTTTTTTCCTTTCAATTTTTTTGGGGGGGCCAAGAGAATGGGGCCCTAAGCTATAGCTTGTTTAGCTTATACATAAATCTGGCACTGTGCTGGGGACAACCTGCCTGTGGTCCCAAAGTTCCTCTGGCTGTAGTTCTGGCTGCTGATTTAAAAAGCCTGATTGCACAGCCTTCTTCAGCTAAGACCTTTACATAGGGCAGCCACTTGACCTACTACAGCCACCAGCTCTCTTCTTCTGAATGTCACCAGCAAAGAATAGCTACCAAGCTGGGTAAGAATAGCTTCATCTCCAGAGCTCAGCTACCTGCTCTCCCCTCAGTTGCTTCTGGTGTTTGCTCAAATCTCCCTCATCAACTGACTTTCCCAACAGTTAACTGCCGTTTCTTCACTGACTAGCATCTCCAGCCAATCAGAGCCTCTTGCTTCCCAGACCAATCAAAATGGTGTTACTTGATCCATACCCCCTTCTATAAATATTAAAGCTATCAACACTCTTTCCTTTCACAGCTTGTCACCAAGCAGATAGTGTTAACCAGGCCCACAACTTAGTAACAACACAAGGCCTAAAACTTGGACAGTTCCATTCCGACATCAACAGGGGTCCTTCGCAAAGCACAATAGCCAGCCGGGCAGACCTATACGCACAATATTTTTCCAGAGTCTGAGGGAAGGGTTACAGCTAGGCTTCCTCCCTGACAGCCTAGGTTTTCTGTGTAGGGGAATGCATACCCTCCAACATTTCTCTGATGAAAATAGGGACACCCCATTTCATAATGATAATTTTACTATTTTTACCCCACACATCTTACTGGGTTGCCCCAGCCACTCTGGGCAGCTTCCAACATATATAAAACATTTAAAAAACTTCCCTATACTGTATAGAATTGCCTTCAGACGGCTCGAGGGTTGGATAACTATACCCTCCAACCTTTCTCCAATGAAAATAGGGACATCCTAAGGAAAAGGGGCATTCCGTGATCAAATCAGAAACCAGGATGGCTTCTCTAAATTGGGGACATCTTTGGAAAATATGGACACTTGGAAAGTCTGGAAATGTTTGGGGAGTTCTCATGCACAGTTGAAGTGATGCAGTCTGGACAGGCTGACTTTGGAGGCAGGCCCATGAAGAGAGGTGGGAGGCAGCTAGGTATGCTTGGCCCAAGCCTTGGAGGGCTAATTTGGATGGAGCCCCCCGCTAGGGCCTGCTGGACTTACACTGTCATGTCAAGAATGTGCCCCTCAAACGACCAGGGACTTAATGAGTGAAACGACCATGGGCAAAATGCCTGTCCATACGCACTGCAAATCTTTGATAGTAAAATCTGGACCTGTGTTACTACATACTAGTGTGTAGCATCAGACTAGGGCTTCAGACAAGCTCTGCACAGACCTGCTTGTAGGGATGCCAAACTGGCTTCCAACTTCCAGCATAACCTCACTGTGCTTGGCTGCCTTCAGATGCAGTGGAAGATGCTGTCCCATCCCCAGTGCTGAAGTAAGATTCAGTTGCCAGCACAGTCATCTTCTGTATTTGGAATGGAAGGGAGGGGAGCCATTTACTTTTTCAGCGCCAGCAGTAAAATGTCTAAGACCAGGCATGGCTACTTAAGACCATCATCCCTGGGGCTCCTTAAGACCTGTGTGTCTCAAGGGAAGACAGAGGTGGAGAAGTCCAGGCCACAAAGCTGGTACTGGCAGCTCCTGAAGTAGACCTGATAATATTTTGTACTGTTCATTTGTGTTAATATTTTTAAATTGTGGTTTTGAAGAAAGGCAGTATGAAAATGCATTATAAAAAGAAAAGAATGAAAGGAGCTGGAAGAGGTCAGTGGGTGAAGGGCAGTTTTTGCTTCCCTCCATCCCCACTGTCATTTGCATATCAGATGTAGGCACTAGAGCCAAAGGTTTCTCATCCCTGGGCCAGAGCACGTTTGTCAAATGTTAACCAAGTCCCTCAGAGACTTGGCATTGGCTGCATTGGCAGGATACTGGTGTGTGCAACCAATGCAGTAGGATTTAATTCCCCCCACTCGTGAGCTGATGATTGGGGGGTGTTAAATGCTGCTGCATTAAGCAGGATTCGATGAAAACCCCTTTCTGATCAAAAGGTGATTGATGGGTGGCCAGCCACCTGTGAAATTCAGCCTGTCACACCAATCCTGATAGGGATCTGACTCATGGAGCTAGATAGGTTCCTCACCTCTGCTTTAAAATGTTTTAAAATAAAATGTTTTAAAATAAGTATGCGTGTCAAGGAGCCCTGACCTGATCAATGCAATGTGTGAAATGGCCCTGAGTCACTCACACACACACACACCGCCCAAGAGCAAGACAACCCAAAGCTAGGTAATAATGGCAAACACAGTACTGTAGTTCATTAAGGGCTTATTTACACCTACCTTTTACCCCGCTCTTTCCAGGCAGAAGTCTGTGGTTCAATGCTCCATGTCTGCACATTTGTTTGGGGTTGTTCTTTTTTGCCCTGACCTTTCCCTGCAAAAACCTGCTCTTTAGTGCTCAGTTAAAGCAAACATCAATTCGGGTTTTCCACAGATTCCTGTTTTCTCCAACTGAGCTTTAAAGAGTGGGCTTTTGTGAGGAAAGCTCTGGAGAAGAAGAAAAAAGGTCAATTGGACACACAGCTTTATACTGCAGACTGTGCTGGAAAAAGCGGGGGAAAAGTAAGTGTGGCTAAGCTCTAATAGTTTCGACTATTTTGACCAAAGTTGTTTGGGTTTGTGTTATTTTATATGGGACCCAATACAATCTTGTAACACAGCCTCCCTTCCCCACATTAGAATTCTAGAGCCCTCCCACCTTGTTCCCAAAGCTGAGAAAGTATGAACTAGGCTTTGAGAAGAATGCGGGAGGACTCTAGAACCCTGCAAGAGCCCTCATGCCTCCTTCCTTCCCAAAGTCCTGCACCCACAATTACTGGGCTTTGAGAGGACACCCCTTCAGCTCAGTGCCCAGTGCATGCCCACCACTCACACTGCCCTAAATCTGCCCCTGACCCCACCCAGGCAAGCCTGTCTCAGCAGACAGCTACATGTGGGATTTGCTGAGGATCTACAAGTAAAGCCCAATGTTTATACACCTGAATATCCTGACTGTGTCTCAATTTCATTTTTCTTTGATTTTTAAGTTGGGCTTGTATTATTATTATTATTATTATTATCATCATCATTATCATTATTAAAATTATTATTATTCCTTATTTTTCAGAGTTACATTTACACACATCCCAACCTCTCACCAAGGGGCTCAAGGTGGCATTTGTGGGTCTCCTTTTCCCTAGGTTATTCACACAACAACCCTGTGGGGTGGGTTAAGCTGAGAAAAACAGTTTTGACTAATATATACATTTTTGTATGTTACCTTCACTAATATATGCACTGTTATGTGCATATGTATGTAGATGCATATGCATTTTTGTAAACTGGTTTGAAGAACAGCATCACAAAATACATATAAGTGCAAATGTTGAAGGATGGCTGTGTTTCCATTCTCACATTGTTTCATAAGGTTTTAGATAGATTTGGCTCTAAATGTGAAATGAATTTAATTTCTGCATCATTCCTACTATGTAAATAAGCAGGCTGTTAGGTTGAGTGGGGTGGTCATCTCAGGCAGTTGATTTGGGGTGTCATGAAAGGGCAGCAGATTGTTAGTTATGTAATTTATTTTTATTGCTTTTGTTCTTCCAGGCAGGGGGAGAGGGCAGATTATCTGTTTCTGGTGCCAAAAATAACTTGACCCAGTTCAGGGACTGTGTACCTGGCTGCTCCATTTCAGGCAGCAAAATATCTTGGGCTCACCAAGGAAGGGTGTTTCCCTCCCAGTTCACAAAAGTGCCATTGTCTTTCTCAGAGAGACGGGAAAGGGTCTTCAGGATTGCTTGCACACTCTCATCCAATGTCAGTGGCGCTTGTCCCTGGGGGGGAAAAAGAACAGACTAGAGTGATACAAGGACTTGTGAGTATATTTTTTAAAAAGAGTGACAAACAGCATGGGTATCATCATCACAAAGTCTGACACCAAAGTCTCCTAGGGGACAGGTAGAATTCTTGTTCCATTTTCTTTGTCCCACTAGCAGCTGATTTTCTTTTCCCAGGGAGCCAAATTCATGGGAGATATGTCTATGATTGGAAGTGAGAGCTGGACCATAAAGAAGGCTGATCGCCGAAGAATTGATGCTTTTGAATTCTGGTGCTGGAGGAGACTCTTGAGAGTCCCATGGACTGCAAGAAGATCAAACTTCTCCATTCTGAAGGAAATCAGCCCTGAGTGCTCACAGGAAGGACAGATCCTGAAGCTGAGGCTCCAATACTTTGGCCACCTCATGAGAAGTGAAGACTCCCTGGAAAAGACCCTGATGCTGGGAAAGATTGAGGGCACAAGGAGAAGGGGACGACAGAGGACGAGATGGTTGGATAGTGTTCTCGAGGCTACCAGCATGAGTTTGACCAAGCTGCAGGAGGCAGTGGAGGACAGGGGTGCCTGGCGTGCTCTGGTCCATGGGGTCACGAAGATTTGGGCACGACTAAACAACAACAACAACATGTCTATGATTAGGCATGTGACAATGTCCAGAGGCAATTTAACCTGAATGCCAGTTGCTTGCAGGGAGGGGAACAGAAAGAGAAGGCTATTGCCCCTCATGTCTTCCCTGCTGATTTTCTGGAGGCATCTATAAAGCAGAATGTAGTGTAACATAGTTATTCAGTGGCAAAGGATGTTTTGATAGCTACTAGTTTTTATGGACAAGGCTTATCCAGCTAGCAAAAGCTATCAGCCGCAACAACTAAGAGAATAAACTCCTTGCCCAGGGAGCAACATCTGCAGATAATGGTAGAGCACTGCAATCCTTAAGTTACCTGGAGTATCCTTCTACAATGATTGGGTATCTGCCAGACCTTAAACTTTATTATAAATCAGCTGCTTTTTGCTGGCTGAGAGAATGGCTGCTTCTTGAAAACACTGACATGTTGGATTTAGAAGGCTTCAATAATGCATTTGGCTGGCATGCATATTTGTGGTACAATAAGGTAAAAGCACACAAAGCGTTTAAAAATCATATTGTTAGAAAAGCATTGTTTAATGTTTGGATAAGATATAAGGATTTGTTAGAAAAGAAAACCCCAAGATGGTTGTCACCAATGGAAGCGAAGGCACAGAAAAAACTCAATATGGAGGCCAAATGGCCGAAATATTGGGAAATTCCGGAACAAGATGGAGACAGATTAAAATTGCAGAGCTTTGAAAAATTGAAAAACAAAGTGCGAAATTGGCTCCATTATTATCAAATAATGGAGGCATACAATCTGGACAAAAAAGTTGGTTTCCAGGTGGAAAAATCAAAATTGGAAACAGATTGTTAGATCCAAAAATCAAGAATTTGTCAAGAATGTATAACTTGCTGTTGAAATGGAACACTCAGAATAAAATGGTGAAATCAGCTATGATTAAATGGGCACAAGACGTTGGACATAACATAATGATGGCTGACTGGGAACAGTTATGGACCACAGGTATGAAATTCACGGCATGTAATGCCCTAAGAGAAAATTTAATGAAAATGATTTATAGGTGGTACATGACACCAGTCAAGCTTGCAAAAATTTACCATTTGCCCGTCAATAAATGTTGGAAATGTAATGAGACTGAAGGTACATTCTTTCACCTTTGGTGGACATGCCCAAGGATTAAGACATTCTGGGAGATGATTTATAATGAAATGAAAAAGGTATTTAAATATACCTTACTGAAGAAACCAGAGGCCTTTCTCCTGGGCATGGTTGGCCAATTGGTGCCAAAGAAGGATAGAACTTTTTTTATGTATGCAACAACAGCAGCAAGAATACTCATCGCGAAGTATTGGAAGACACAAGATTTACCCACCCGGGAAGAATGGCAGATGAAGTTGATGGACTATATGGAATTGGCGGAAATGACTGGCAGAATCTGAGACCAGGGAGAAGAGTCGGTGGAAGAAGACTGGAAAAAGTTTAAAGACTATTTACAGAAATACTGTAAAATTAATGAATGTTAGAAAAATGTTGGAATGAAGTTATATGGCTTTAGTAGAAATGTTATAAGGAATTAAGTATAAATAGATTAATACTCTAGGGAAAAATAAGGTTAGAATGTGTTAAGATAATTATAGGATAGAAAGCAGAGGAAGATGGAAAGGAATTGCTGAAACAATTAATAGAAGTGGAATACAAAAAGGGAGGTGTGAGGAGGTCACTGAAATAAGTGAATGAAAGATAAGATATTGAAATTGTTTGATGTGTTTTAAACTGTTTTTGTTTTGTTTTGTTAGTTTAATGTGTTAGTGTTATGTAGTGTTTTTGTATTGTATTGTATTGTATTGTATTGTATTGTATTGTATTGTTCTTTTTTTTTCCTTTTTGTAGTGTTTAAATTGTTGGAAAAGTAATAAATATTATTTTCAAAAAAAATAATAATGATTGGGTATCCAGCCAGAATTCAGCAGAGACCCGGAGTTTGAATTTAAGCACACCTAATAACATACTGGATTGTAGCCAGTGTTTGTGACTCTATTTCCTTCCTGGAGTAGACCATTGGTCCAATGGCTTTCCTCAACTTTTTTTAAAAAAAATATTCTTTTGAAGCACCAAAGGGAGGGGGGTTATTGCCATTCATGTCTTCCTTGCTGATTTTGAAACTAATTATACACCTTGATTCTTACTTCAGTGTAAGGCCAAATGAGTTAAATACAGTAAATATGCATAGAGTTCAGATTCCTCCACAAATCACTTACCACTGAACTTCCCATATCTGTCTGCACAAATCCAGGATGCAACGCAATGCACAAGATTTCATCTTTGTCAAATCCCAGGGACTGGCACCGTGTAAGCATGTTCAGAGCAGCCTAGGAAAGAGACATATCAGAAGCAAGGGGCTGAAAGATGCAGCTAAGTATTGGTAAGAATTTTGTCCCCATTCTCCATTTTAATGTGAACCTATCTGATTTCCTGAACCAATATTTAAATTGAAATGCAGCAATCCTTTGACATTTGTGATTCTCTGAATTTTGTGATGCAGTTGTCCAATTAAAGCATGAGTACCATAAAGCATATATTAGGGAGAATGCATACAATAATGCTTTGGGTGGTGAAAATAACGTATAAAAGTGTGTTATATTAGGTGGGATTGCTTGGGAAGTCGTACACAAAAATGCATATTAATAATCACAAACTGATGGGAAAATGGGGAAAACTGAAAAAAGATGAAAGAATGAGAAAAGCCGACATTGAAAGATTCGTCCATTCCTAGAATGCAACCCAGTGCCACAGGATGGTATGAGTTTAAAAAGGAGGCTTCTATATTACTGAGATAAGTTTTAATGCTCTCACTATTAGCAGGTTATTTTTAATTTTTGTTTAAATATTAACATTGATATTATATTTTCTAATTTTGTTGTTTTGTTTTTGGAAACTATATTGCTTTCTTTGAATGAATGAATGAATGAATGAATGAATGAAATAAGCTTTGCAGTAGAGATTCTATGCTGTAATTTCTATTGGCAGAAATCAGTAATAAGTTGGCTCATTCTTTCTGACTGAATTCCAAGTGAGTTCCTGTTTTGTTTTGCGTTTGGTTTGGGTTTGAATGCCATTTACAACCATGGATGGTTTCTAATAGCGTGGGTCTTGGTTCGCTGTCCTTATTGATAATGCTGCAGGAACCTAGGGAAGCCTTTTTGCTGCCATCTTCTGGCTAATGTATTTTAATGCACTTTCTTTTTTACATTTCTGTGGAGCAAGGAATGGACACCTGCTAATAGTTTGACTCTTTGGGTTAATTGTGAGTGAAGCCAAATACATTCATTGGCACCTCTAGACAATGAGGGGATGTGGGAAGATTTTCATGTTGAGAGTACCATTGTGGGGTTGTCTGTTTCTTCCTGTTCCTGCCATTGTTGATTAATTTAAATAAATCATTTTGTTTTATCACATCTCAGGTGCTCACGTGAGCGGGGGTAGTTGTCAGACATCTATTCTAGGGTCCCAGGTCCTCCGTAGTGGGGGCTGAATCCCTCCTATGGCCAGATATTTACTTACCAAGATAGGCAAGGGTCAGGGAGGCATATTTTGGACTGCATTATTTTAAGACTATTGTCAACACCATCAGGTGAAATTACCGGTAACAGAAAAATCAATTTCTAGCTTCTAACTTGCAGTACTTCTGTGTCCACACCTTGCTGCAACGGTAATTGACCGCGTGTGCCAAATGCCACATGTAGACAGTTGTGATGGAGCCACCTTCACTGGACATGTTGACAATGGCAGCTTTGCTGCAGCTCATCCCATTCTGGGGGCTTTCCTGAGATGCCTTCCTCAGCAAGGGCAGGAATGCCTGGAGAAGGAGAGAAAAGAATTACACACAGTTGCATCCTTCATGTAGAGGACTGGGCATCTTGTCACCAGTTCAAAGTTCAGTGTATGAGTGAAACCGTGAGCCCAGCAGTTACTTGCTGGTGGTATACCAGAGTTCTCTCATGGTTCGTCCAGAAGGGAGCTGCAACACCTGGTTCAACAAGTGCAACCTTCCCCTATGATCTCCACAAGCCCGAAGGATGCACTTTAAATGTAAGTTTCTCATGAAGCTGTTAAAGTTCTGTATCCTTTCTCTATGAAAACAGTACAGTTTTGAAAGATTAGGGGCCCTGCAACCTGGCTAGAAGGTTCTGTGAAGAAGGTACAATAGGATGGCCTTACCTGGCTCATCATCATGGGGCCAATCACATTGGTTTTGTACACCTCAGACATGTTCTCTGGTGTCTCTGTCTCAAGAGAGCTTAGCTTTAAAATCCCAGCATTGTTAATCAGAAGATTCAGCCCAGCTCCTTTCAGCCGCTTGGTGACTTTAGTTGCTGCAGCCTTGATACTGGATGGGTCACAAGTATCTACAGCAGCAAAGAATAAATCCCATTTTTTAGGTAAGATCCTTCTCTTTTTGTCACAGATCAACAGAAGCCTTTTTGTGTTGATAATATTTAGAAGGAAGGATCTTCTCTATAATACTTATGTACATCTCATATTTGGTTCTTGAGAATTAAACAAAGTCCATCTATAACTTTTCCTATAGTTATTGTCTCTTCATTGGCCAGAGTCCTGTAGATGTTTTGATACGATATCAGTCAGTGATTTGCATATTATTATTATTATTATTATTATTATTATTCTCCACCCATCTGATTGGGTTTCCTCAGCCACTCTGGGCGGCTTACAGCATATATTGAAACATAATAAAACATTAAACATTAAAAACTTCCTGATACAGGGCTACCTTCAGAGGTCTTCTAAAAGTTATGTAATTCTTTATCTCCTTGACATCTGAAGAGAGTGTGTTCCACAGGGAGGACGCCACTACTGAGAAGGCCCTCTGCCTGGTTCCATGTAACTTCGCTTCTCACAATGAGGGAACCAGCAGAAGACCCTTGGAGAAGGACCTCAGAAACTATTTTCAAATCTATCACTAATCAATCTAACTTGTATCTAAGTTACTTTACTTGGATGTAAGCTCCATTGAACTCAGTGAAACTTCCTTATGCGTAATTTATCACTTACACTACTCCAAATGACCTGCAATGTTCTTTGCCTGTACCAATGCATGAATTTAGACCACAAAATTATGATTTACAAAAACTGTGTTCCTCTGTTGATCTTGTTCAGCTGTTAAAGCTTGATAAGTGGTTCTGTAATATGACAGAGTACTTGGATTTATTTGTTATATTCTTTTTCTTTTATAATTCAATAAAACCTTAAACAAATCTAACAAAACAACAAAAATAGGGAATGCACTTTTTATTTGCTAAAAAGTAATATTTTGAAATGACCTTGAATATCAACTGTTGTTCATATCACTGTGGGAAAAGTGAATTTGAGGAGGGGGTGACAAACACATACCTAGTGGGATGATTTCCACTCCCTGGTGCTTGGCAGCCAAATTCTTCAAGTCCTGAAAGATACAGGGAGTACAGACTTAGGATGGAACAGCAAGTCCTGAAGTCTGAACTATTTGAAATGGGATAGGAATGGAAAAGATCAAGTCCCATCTGGTTTTGGTTTTCAGCATGGAGAGCATTTGCAAAAGTGCCCTGCAGAAAGTATGTCAGCTTAAACTTGTGCTTTATAAAGAGATCTACTCTGAGTGGCAGGTCCTTGGGTGGGTTTAAGGTCACACAAACTATATGGAAGATGGAGCAATCTTGTTTTCTTTTGCTCCGGACGGTAGGACCCAAACCAATGGATTCAAGTTACAAGAAATGAGATTCCAACTAAACATCACAAAGACCTTTCTGATGGTGAGAGCTGTTCTACAGTGGAATGGACTCCTTCAGAAGGTGGTGGATTTTTCTTCATTTGTGGTTTTTAAGCAGAGGTTGGATAGCCATCTGTCAGCATGTTTTAGTTGAGATTCCTGCATTGGAGGGGGTTGAACAAGAGGACCCTCATGGTTGCTTCCAGCTGTACAATTCTATGATTTATACAAGGAAATGCTGAGGGGAAACTTCTTTAGACCTCGCACCCACCCATTCATAATTTAATAAGATGAAATATTGCAGTTCTAAGCAATTTGACACAGACAATGAAGTTAATGTGTTTGACTATTTAGTGATATTCATCATATGGTATGTATTTCGGAATGTTTAATCTGAGTTATTTTTGTAATTTCCAACACCCATTGAGACAATTCTGTTACATGCTCTTCAAATCACTGGGTGAAAGGAATCAACCATTTTCCCTCCAACTCCTCTCTTAATTCTGCAAAGAAAAGGGTGTATGTGTGTAAAAAGGGGTTACTAATCTGTGCTTAAGTAAACCTGTACTTAAGGTACCACCCTCACTCTAAGAATGGAAAATATAAAAAGCCTTGCCCTTGGCACTATCTTCTGGGCATCATGGGGAATCCCCTTGTTTCTATGCTCATCCCAATGCACAGCCTGGGGCTCACCTGGGCAAGTGGTCCATCTGGATCCCGGCAGGTGGCAAAGATCTGTTCTGGACAGTTGTTTTTCCGCACCAGCTGCCTAACCAGCTCCAAGCCAATGCCCCGATTGGACCCAGTCACCAGGACTCTGCGTGCATTCAGCACAGCCATCTCTCTTCCCAGCCTGCACTGAACAGAGTACCGTAATCGATTTGTCAGCCCAACCGCAGCACCAAATGTAGCTCTCAACTTATCTAGCAAGGCTTACATAAGCTGCTTGTTCTTCTGTCAGTTCATGTTCTGCATTTGGCAACAGCCCAGTGCCTTGCCAAGTTCCCACCTGGCAGACTGGTTTTTATTGAGTCTCACTGTAATAGAAGGAAACAGGATAAATGGGGGAGGGAAGTTGGCAGACTGAATTTAGAAGTTCTCATCTTCCTGTGTCTGACTAAGAAAGCTCAGTGGCACCCAAGGATGGATATTTTAAGCACTCAAGTCCTCCCCCAAAAGGTTACATAAAGTGCTTGCCCCCTGACTCTGCTCAGATCCTGTGTCTGACAAACTGGCAACAGACCAGGTACAAAAAGACAAGAGTGCAGTCAGATATGCACTCTGGACTTTAAGAAGGGTGATTTCAAAAAGCTTAAGTGAGATCCCACGGTCAGAAATACTCAGAGAGGAGGGATTCCCAGATGGATGGGTGAAATATTGCAGACAATAAGAAAGAAAAGTGGGAGGCATCTAAAGAAACCAATGTGGCTGCATACAGAGCTTGCAGATAAGCTAAGATTTAAGAAGGGCTTGTATAAGAAATGGTATTAAGAAACGGAAGAAAGCAGAAATCATGAAGGAGGAGTATACACGAGTAGCCAACAGCTGCAGGGTGAATGTCAGGCAGACCAAAGCTCATAATGATCCCAGGCTTGCAAGATAGGTTAAAATTAATTTTTAAAAAGAGGTTTCTTCAGCTATGTTTGAAGCAAGAAGAACAAGCAAGTAGTATGTCCTCTGTTATGTACTGAAGCTCTCACCCTGGGCCAGCAGGGGGATACTGTAGATAGTTATGCAAATGAAGGATCGAAAGTGATGTTCAGTGATTGGATAGTTTGTATGCAAATGAAGGATCGAAAGTGACGTTCAGTGATTAGCTAGTTACAGAAAATGGTTACTGTTTCATTCTAGTGGAGCTCTATATGACTGAGCTCCTCAGTTCAGTTCTGTTCCAGCTTACAAATAAAGAGCTGCTTTGGAAGAATCGCTGTGTCGTCTGATATGTTCTCCCACAACTTAACATCCTCTGCATGGAGAAGATGGAGAAATGCTTTGGATGACAGGGAGAAGGCAGAACTGCTCAACACCTACTTTGCCTCTGTCTTCACTCAAAAGGAAAGCAGTGCCTAACCTGCTGATAACAGACTAAACAATGCAAGGAAGGATCTGCAACCCAACAGATGAAAGAGGTGGTTCCTCTTGTTGTGCTAACCCTTTTAGAATAGGCAACTTGTCATAAAGCGGTTCCTGGAGTTATCTTTAACCATCACATCCAAGGTGCTTTAAAATGTACAGTATGAGGACTTCTGCGTAGTCTTTGCTCACGGACAGATGCGTCTCTCCCACTTTGCCAAGGTCGGGAGGTACGCGTTCGTTAGCAGAGCTAGAAGGGGGAGCTAAGGCTAAGCTGACCCCGAAGCCTTGGAAGGAGATTCCAGGGTGATATGGCGTTGCTGCAGCACGAAGAAGAGGACCCCCCAGACCATTTTCAAGCTCCGAAAAGCTGAGCAAGAAGGGGGAGAACTTCTTCGGTGCTAGTTCCTGCAACCCTCCGCTGACGAGAAGCCCGAGTCCCGTGGGTATGTCTATGGCTACACTTCTAACAAACTGAAGCAAACCTAAACGATTAGCCTATTTACTTACTGAACCTGCTAATTTACGATTAAAACAAAGCGTTTGATCTTAAAACAAAGTGTTTGAACCTAAATGGCTTTTCGCAACTGACCAAGATTTACCTACAAGCTATATCAGACTGGTTTTTTTTCAAAAAAGACGTCTATTCCATTAATACCTAAGACGTTTTAGCCATCTTTTTCTGCTGGAGTTATGAACAAAAAGATTACCTGTGGCTTCATTAGTGTTGCGACAGAAATAAACCAAGAAGTCATGAAGAAGAAATAATAAAAAAAGACCCTTCCCAAGTGGTGAAATATATAAAGGGGTTTCCAGACTCTTCAGTATAAAATTAACTGTTGTTCACAAGTTAGTTTTCAACTGTCTGTTTACGCTGGCAAAAGGAATATAAGAGCAAGAGACTCCCAGAGAACGGTGGTGAAAGAGAGGGTGATTGATTACAAAGTTATAAAACTGTCACAAGACTGATAAACATCGCCTCCCCTCTCCTAAGAAGTGTGGCTATCCTCCCTTTCTGGGGATTTCTGTTTGTCTTCGGCTGTGGACTGCTACAGAGTATAAATCAATTTAGCAACAGCTAAGAGTACTTCTGCTGACTCACGCGCTCCGACATTTTCTTGGACCGACATTTTCCTGGTTTGAGGAACAGAAATAAATTGTATAAGACTGACATAGACTGACATAGATTGAGAAGGGGGTCGAAAATCGCAGAGAGGGAGTGACTCAAACAGCGACATCAGCTGGTGAAAGAAAACTTTGCACTCTTTTGAAAAAGACGTTCCTCTAATAAGACTTATAAGAGCAATTACAGGGATTTTTGCAAGATCTGCAACTAGTGAAGATCCCAAAACGCTGCATCATAATCTGCTGAAAGAGACAAGGTTTCATAAATTTTTATAGACCCTATACCCCATTACTGGAACAGCATTCCTGTTACCTCTGGAAAAGTAACATCTAGAGAGAACCTACTAGCACATAACATTATTGCATTGTACATTATTAATTGAAAATACTCCCCAGCTCTTTTCTTATTATTTAAATATACTTTTCGTATTTTCTTTCCCCTCTTTATTTCTTTACAAATTATAAATTGCATTATTATTATTACTTCTTCTGCTTTATTTTTCTCTTACCCTCCCATCTTTTCTTTGTTTCTTTCTTTTGTAATTTCTTTTGTGTTTTTGTTTTGTTTTGTTTCTCTGTTTGTTTCATTTTTGTTGTTTTTCTGGTTGTTTTTGTGTGGTTCTCAATTTGTGTGGTTTCGTCTTGGTTTTTTTGTTTCTGTTTTTTGTTTCTGTTTTTGTTTGCTTTGCCTTTCACCATCTATTGGTAGCTAATGCAGCTGATATTAGCATCAGATGTCATTAGCTTTGTTGCAAGGTGCTGATTAACTGAACCGCTAACCTGTTTAAAGATTTATATATATGATCTATTACCCTGAATGAGTAAGTGAACGCAAGGATTGCAATCATTTATTATATTTAGTTGATCTGATGAATTTGTGATATTGCTGTATTGATGCTTGGCTGTAACTAATTAGATAATTGTTCATAATCAATTTAAAATATATTTAGTGAAACTGGGAATATAAAGAATTAGTGGATACATAGGCCGAAGATGACTATCAGACTGGTAAAATTGTCATGATTGTATTAAGAAAGATTGAATTTAATTGACATTCATTAATTATCACATTGGAAATATTGACACGATTGTATTAAGAAAGATTGACTTTAATTGATATCCAATCTGTAAGACAGAAGGAAAGAGAACAAATTACCTAGTGAGCTAATTGAATTTCTTAGTGATGTATGGTAAAAAAACAACTGTGTCAGGTTCTGCGGCAGTTTCAGCCTCACAAATCAGGAGAACTTCTGTAACTGACATGGATCAATCACTAGATATGAGAGAATTAATTTTAAGTTTGAAGAAAGATATCCAAGATTTTAAAAATAATGTAAATGAAAAGGCAAAAGCAACAGAAGAAAAACTTATTTCAATGGGAGTCAAAATAGATGAAAATGTGAAAATAGCAGCTGAGTTATCAACTCAGGCCAATAATTTAGTACAAAAAAATTCAGAACTGACGAAAATAGTGCTAGACCTTAAAGGTAAAACACAGAACCTAGAGGAAGCTCAGAAAAAATTACAAAATGAAAATAGAGAGTTGAAAAGGGAATGCGATAAGATAAGGAAAGAAACAGCAGATCTGAAAGCACAGCAGGATTCAACTTTGGACTCTATTGTGATGTTGCAAATGCAGAGAAGGGAGAATACCCTAAGATTCAGAGGACTAACAGAGGACGCAAATAATTGAGAATAAAATCTCAAAAGAGCTAGCAGCTTGGTTAGACCTAGAAGAAGCAGAAGTAGCACAAAAAATAGAAAAAGCATTCAGAGTCAAATCTAATGTAGCAAAAGCAAACAACTGGCTGGCTGATTGTTTAGTCTCTTTTAACTCTATGGATTTCAGAAATAGAATTTTACACGCTAGTAACGAGAAGAAATTCCAATCGGAAGGAAATGATATTATCGTCCACAAGATTATCCCAAATCGGTTGATAAAAAAGAGAGAAGCTTATAGACCTCTGGCCGAGGCACTAAAAGCAAAGGCAGTGGAGTATAGGTGGGAGTACCCTGAAGGCATCTCCTTTTTCTTTAAAGGGAAACGTAGAAAGTGCTTGTCGGCATTAGATGCGGACAAGTTCTGGAGAAAGTACCGGAAAGACTTGGAGGAAAAAGGCAATTGTTGGGAGAATCAGAGGAAATTGAACAAGCAGTTGAGAGTTAGGAGACAGATCTAAGAAGGGAATTTATTAAATGTATACTGAGACCTTGAATGTGTAATATTTTTTTTTAACCCATTGACGTATCATAAGAAATAAAGTATGGATTATAAATTTATTACTTGGAACGTAAATGGTTTAAATGAAAAATCAAAAAGGAACAAGGTGGAACATATTCTGGTTAAGCAAAAATATGATCTAATCTGTCTGCAAGAAACTCATGTAGCAGAAAAACATAAAAGAGTATTAATAAATAAGAGATTGGGGCTTGAGTTTATTGCATCAAGTAAAGAAAAAAAAAGAGGGGTGGTAATCTATGTAAAACCTCAGCTGGAGCCAAAACTGCTTTACAATGATGAAAAGGGCCGAACAGTGATTATAGAGGTTAAGATCAATAATGAAAAAGTGATAGTTATTGGAATTTATGCACCAAATGAAAGAAAATCCAAATTCTATCAATTCCTGGAAGAAAAAGTCATAGAATATTTAGGGGGGGAAATTATATTATTAGGAGATTTTAATGGAGTAGTCAATCCAAACATGGACAGAACAATAAAGAAGAAAGAAAAGAGGCAGAACAAACACCCAACTACATTTTCCCAATTAATAGAACTCCTGAATTTGTTCGATGCTTGGAGGTTTAAGAATCCAACAGAGAAAGAATTTACACATTATTCAGAGCCACATAAATCGGCGGGACGAATCGACGTGATCTGGACAACAAAGGATTTATTAAATAATATTACAAAAGCAGGAATCCATCCAAGGACAATTTCAGATCACAGTGCGGTCTGGGTTAACTTTAAAGGGAAAGAAGAAAAGGTTAAAAGGTGGCAACTTAATGAGAGTATGCTAAACGATGAAAAAATTGTACAGAAGGCCAAGCAAATCTTAGAAGAAGAATATTTTAAGTTTAATTTAAATCAAGGAGTAGATCTAGAGATGGTTTGGGACACGGGTAAAGCCGTCATAAGAGGTTTCTTTATACAACAAAACGCATTCCAAAGGAAAACAAAGGAGAAGAAGAAAATGGAGATCTGGGAGGAAATTAGAAAAAAGGAAAGGATCCTTTTCCAAAAACCAGATGATGAACTAATTAAGCAAAGTATAAAAATTTTACGGACGCAGTTCTCCATGATAATAAATGAAGAGATAGAATGGAAGATAAAATGGTTGAGACATAGAAATTTTGAGTTTGCAAATAAACCTGGCAAACTTCTGGCCTGGCAAATAAAGAAGAAAAAGGAAGATAGAATTATCAATAAAATTGAAATTGAAGACAAATGGATTCAAGAAACGAAGGAAATTAGTAAAAACTTTGCTAGTTTTTTCGGAAAACTATATAAAGAAGGTCCAGAGACTCTAGAAAAAATAATTGATTATTTCGGCAAAAATAAACTACCAATAATACCTAAGGAAAAAACTGAAATCTTGAACTCACCAATAACAGCTATGGAGGTGCAACAAGCTATACAGAGATCAAAATTAGGAAAGACACCAGGCCCAGATGGTCTTCCAGCTAATTACTATAAAAAGTTAGAACAAGCATTATTTCGTCCCATGAAAGACCTAATGAATAATATTCTGGCAAATGGAAAGCTTCTGAAAACCTGGAAGGACAGCTTTATTACTCTTATCCATAAACAGGGAACAGATGCCTCAAACATGGCCAATTACAGACCCATTGCACTGCTAAATAACGATTACAAGATATTCACAGACATTCTTGCAAATAGATTAAAAATGGTGCTGAACGAGATAATTCATAAAGATCAAACCGGATTTCTTCCCGGAGGATTTATGCAATCCCATATTAGATGTGTGATTAATGTATTAGAATATTTGGATATTAAAATTGATAAACCAGCAGCTATTATGTTGGTGGACGCTGAAAAAGCTTTTGATAACGTGTCCTGGAAGTTTATGAAAAAATTAATGGAAGAAATCGGACTGGGAGAAAATATTTGTAAAGGAATAAATGCCATCTATTCGGAACAATATGCAAAATTGATCATCAACGGAAGAATTACTGAGGAGTGCAAAATAAACAAGGGAACAAGACAGGGCTGCCCACTGTCACCACTGATATTTATCTTGGTGATGGAAGTCTTGAACAATCAGATAAGAAAGGATGAGCTTGTTAAAGGCATCACTCTGGGAAACAAAACATATAAAATTAAAGCTTTTGCGGATGATTTACTTGTTATGACTGAAAACCCTAAAGAAAGTCTGAAAAGAGTGCTGGAATTGATTAAAGAATTTGGAGATGTGGCAGGCTTTAAACTGAATATAACAAAAACAAAAATGCTTGTTAAAAATGTAACCACAGAAGAAAAGGACGACTTAGAAAAATATTGGGCCTGAAAATCTCTTCAAAAGCGAAATACTTGGGTATTTGGATCACCCCCAAGAACATAAACTTATTTCAGGATAATTACACCAAAACTTGGTTAGAGATTAGAAAAAACTTGGTAATCTGGAGTAAACTAAAATTAACATTTCTGGGTAGGATTTCCATTATAAAGATGAATGTGCTTCCAAAATTAATCTTTTTATTTCAAATGATTCCGATACTGGGTAAAGCAGGTTGTCTCAAGATATGGCAAAGAGAAATTTCCAAATTCTTGTGGGAAGGGAAGAAACCTAGGATTAAACACCTGATCTTAATAGACATAAAAGAGAGGGGAGGCTTTTCCCTACCCGATCTAAAACTTTACTACGAGGCTGCCTGTTTCACCTGGCTAAAAGATTGGTGCACGTTGCAGGATCCGGACCTCCTGGACCTGGAAGGTTTTGACAACCGTTGGGGATGGCACGCCTACCTAATATATGTAAAAGCGAAAATTCATAAAAATTTTACCAACCATATAATAAGAAAGTCACTCTTTGCTGTATGGGAAAAATATAAAGACCTGATGGAGCCTAAAGTCCCGTGGTGGACTTCTCCAGTAGAAGCCATAGCAGTAAAACGGAAAAATACTCAGGAAAGCTGGCCAACATATAAAATACTTCTAAAAATGAGGATAACCAAATAAAATTAAAAACTTTGAGGAGATAAGAGAACACATTTCAGACTGGTTCCAATACCATCAGTTATTTGAAAAATTTAAATCTGACAAACAAAAGGGGTTCTCAGCAGAAATTTCCCGATTCGAATCTGATCTTGTAAACTCTAAAAGAAAAATTCTTTCCAAAACTTACTGACTCCTCCTTGACTGGACAGTCAAGGAGGAGGAGGTAACAGTGGCAATGGTGAGGTGGTCCCAGGATTTTGGCCATCCAATAACCATGGCCCAATGGGAAAATTTATGGAAGATCAATTGGAAATTCACAAACTGTTACACAATTAGAGAGAACTTTCAAAAAAATGCAACATCGATGGTATCTAACACCATGGAAACTTTCAAAAATGTATAAAAATGTGTCAAGTAATTGTTGGAGATGCGGAGACTCAGGAACATTCTACCATATGTGGTGGATATGTAGGAAAATACAGGTATTCTGGGAGAGTATACATGCAGAACTGCAAAAAATGCTAAAGATCTCTTTCAATAAAAAACCAGAGGCCTACCTCCTGGGAATAAGAGATTTGGATATTCCACAAAAGAGGAAGGGTATCTTTTTATATGCGATGGCGGCAGCAAGAGTTTTGATCGCAGCAAAATGGAAGAGTAATGAAATCCCCTCTATACAAGATTGGATCCAAAAGCTGACAGAATATGCTGAATTAGATGGTTTATCAGACAAAATAAAGAATAAATCAAAACAGGAATTTCTTTCTAAATGGGAGGTTTTCAAAGAATATCTGAAAAATAAATATAGTAGTTTAAATTCTGTTGCAGCATTTGAGGAACTTCAGTGATAGTTGCTAGGTAGATAGAAGAAATTAGATTTATCGAGAATAAGTTTAATTATGGAAAAAAATGTGTATTGGCAATACGTAATATGAATTTGAAATATGGAATAGACGGGAAGTTGGGTCTTTAGTGTTAAGACCAATAGATGTTTTATTGTTTGCCAAGAAAATTATGTGTCTATGGTTATTTTTGTAATTTGTGTGTAATTTGGTATTTGTGTTTTTTGTGTGTGTTTTTTTCTTGTATAAATAAATAAAAAATGTACAGTATGAGACAGGATATTGAATAATTATGATGGAAATGGAAATGGGAGTGGAAATTGGCCAATATTTGCTTATTTGTCTCATGTCTGGTAAGGAAGTCATTTCCGCAAATATGATCTGTATTCACTGTAGTTTTCACTCCATAAACAATACACAGTGGATGACACTTTTTCTCCATTTGCATTGTGTTTCCTTTGCATTGAAATAAATGGTAATGAGGACATACTTCCCTAAAATTCCACCACAGCCAACTGTGAGATGAATATTGTAGTTTTTGTCAATTTTTGCTGAGAGAAGATTCCATCACTTGGCCAGATTTGAAGGAAAATCTACCCTTCTGTATGCAGGCCTTTTTGTATATAAATTTGTCTCTGACATGGGTCTAATGGCCCTACTCAGATGAAGAATCATGCATTGCAAGAACCACGTGTGCCTGGAAACAGTGTGGAGTCTGTGATTCTGATTGTATTAGGATGAGGCAAGCTACCTTTCTTACTTTGTTCTGTACTTGGCTTTCCAAATATATATTTATATTGGACATTCTTAACTGTATTTTATTGGTAAAGAGTTCTTATCCTATGTTTATAACCTCCTTAATAAAGTGTTCCATTTATTCCTTGTGTGACTTTTTAAAGCTCTGAATCTGGTACCTTGGCTGCTTGGATACAAACTACTGACTCCTTTGTGGCTTGGGGCTCAAAAGACAGTGAGTGAACTGTTTCACTCTTGTCTTTTCCAGAACAACCTAAGTTCCCCCTGGTTTAGGACTGGGGAACTACAAAGGTGGTGGCAGTACAGCTGGACAGGGTTGGTTTTCCCCAGTCTGCTGCTCACACCTGCAGCTTGGGATAAGCAACAGAAATTATATACATGCTGGCAGTGATGAGAGGGAAGAGATAAATCCCATATTATTTACATTGTGGCAGCATGGAATAACACTTTTCATGCTGCCAATCTGAGATATAATGATCAACCTTTAAAATACAGCCTTAAAATACGTATTGAATAAAGAAATAATCTGCTGAGGGATACATCCAGGGCTGGAGTTAACACTAGACATGATGAGGCAACCACTTAAAGTGGCACATGCTGTGGGTGGGTTGATAGCAGCAGTCCTGCCATTCGCCCTGGGCCTACTAAACTACCTTGCCTACACCTGCTAAGCTAGGTTGTCCTCAAGCATGTTGCTGGGTAGGGATGGGGAATAAATGGTCTAATTCGCAGTTCTTGCTCAATTGCCCTTCTCCAAATTTTGCGGTGAATTATCCAACAAAATTGTTGTTGTTGGCATCTTTTTGTCTTGAGAGACAATGGAGTGCACTTCTGGTGGTGAAGTCAGCAGTGTCCAGGCCAGCAGTGGCTTAGCAACCCCCCCTAACATGTGGGACAGAGTTGGGGGTTTTTAGCGGACCAAAGTTCTTGAGCTTTTTTAAGGAGATCAGTCAAAGTTGTTGAGGGACGGAAAGTGTCAGCTCCCCTGCCACCCTACATACCCTGCATGACACCCTGAGATCCCCCAACACCTGCTGCACCCTGCCTCTGTCTCGCTTCACTACTGCCCAAGGGACCTCAGGGTCCAAACTTGGGCAGTGTGTATGGAGGTCCTGGGCTGCCCAGATGACAAGATCCCCTCTCAGCCTCGCTGATGGTGGTCCAAAGGAAGTCAGAGCAATAGATTTAACACCAGCTTGGCTGCAGGACTTTCTGGAAAAAGACATACAGTGGTACCTCGGGTTAAGAACTTAATTCATTCTGGAGGTCCATTCTTAACCTGAAACTGTTCTTAACCTGAGGTACCACTTTAGCTAACGGGGCCTCCCACTGCTGCTGCGCCACCACACGATTTCTGTTCTCATCCTGAAGCAAAGTTCTTAACCCAAGGTACTATTTTTGGGTTAGCGGAGTCTGTAACCTGAAGCGTCTGTAACCTGAAGCATCTGTAACCCAAGGTGCCATCCAAACACTTTAGGGACTCCCCACTGAATTTGTGTAGAATTTACTCTTATTACAGCTAGACATTGGAAAAATCTCTCTGGGGGGAATGTAGACGACTGGTACAAAGTGTGTGGGATATCATTCTATTGGAAAAACTAATGAATAAATTATTATTGTTAACAGATCAGAAACAAAAGGATAACTTCACAACAATTCGGCATGATGATGATAATAATAATTTTATTATTTACAACCTGCCCATGCAAGCATTCCAGATAATAACCAATCCCCAACAATAACTTGATATAACTACAAAAGCAAAAGATCAGAAACAAAAGGATAACTTCACAACAATTCGGCATGATGATGATAATAATAATTTTATTATTTATAACCTGCCCATGCAAGCATTCCAGATAATAACCAATCCCCAACAATAACTTGATATAACTACAAAAGCAAAAGATATTATTATTGTTGCATTTTTACTGCTGGGGGAGACAGAGAGGAGCTTGTGGGTGTTTCTGCCTCTGGTGTCCCGCTTTGGGACTGTGCACCCTGAGGCACTTTCTTACTCCACATCAGGCAGCTAAATATCTTGAGTTCACCAAGGAAGTACATCCCCCTGCCAATTCACAAAAGTCCCAGTGTCTTTCTCCGAGAGATGGGAAAGGGTCTTCAGGATGCTTTGCACACTCTCATTCACTGAGAGTAACTGGAAAGAAAGAACAGTGACACAGGGACTTGTGAGTAAAAGAAAAGAAAAGAAAAAAGAGTGTCAAAAAACATAAGTAACATCAACTGAGAGTACAGGGGACAACATTCACGCACCGTCCATCAAACACAAACAGAGAAGCATTCTGGATGACTGCTCTCTATATCTGTGGATAAGGGTGATCCAATAAGACATTAATGACCCAGTGTGGTGCAATGGTGAGAGTGTCAGGCTAGGACCTGGGAGATCAGGGTTCAAATCCCCACTTGGGCATGAAGATCATTGGACCACTCATTGCGTCTCAACCTATCCTATGTCACAGGTTATTGTGGGGATTAAATGAGGAGAGGAAGAACCACACGTACCACCTTGAGCTCCACAAGCATTTGACAATAACACCAAAGGCTTCTAGAAGTCAACTAGAAATTTTCTTTTCCCTTCCCTTCCTTACTATTTTACTCAAAAGTCAGCTCCCATAGTGTTCACTTGAGCATACTCCTAAGTAGATCTGCCATACCTTGCCTTGTCTTCTTCCCCTCCTCTTAACGAACTTCTAATATCCCCACTCCAGCTAATCAGGCTGCAATCACTAACCCCATTTACCTAGGAGTAAGCCCCATTGAATGCAATAGGAACTTAGTTCTGAGCAAGACCAGGCTAGACTTTATTCTGTCAATAACTACCTTGAAAAACAAATGCTAAATCAAATGGCCTTTTGTACTTTCTGTACTTTGAAACCAAAGCCCAACCCTTCAGCTTGGTAATATTGTTCCTTTGCAGATGTCTTCCCAACAGTTATTCATTCATTCATCACACACTTTTGAATACACCTCCCCATCACTTTCCAAACCACAAACATTCAGATTCTTTTTTTTAAAAAGGGATTATGTTTCACAAGAACAACAGAACCCTTTCATTCGCTTTAGTTAATCAGAACTAAGAGTTCTGGGATGTGCTTGAATCCTTCCCACAAAATGATGATAGTCAGGAAACACTGTATGCTTTTAATGCTTGTCAGTTGCTATCAGCCACAATAGCCCTTGTCCAGACAATTAGCTCTGGAAATAAATAGTAGGGAATTGGCATTACCTTCACAGGGTGGATTTAAACACAGGAATAAAGTAAAGGTAAAGGGTAAAGGGACCCCTGATCATTAGGTCCAGTCGTGACTGACTCTGGGGTTGCGGCGCTCGTCTCGCTTCATTGGCCGAGGGAGCTGGCGTACAGCTTCCGGGTCATGTGGCCAGCATGACTAAGCCACTTCTGGCGAACCAGAGCAACGCACGGAAACACCGTTTACCTTCCCGCCGGAGCGGTACCTATTTATCTACTTGCACTTTGCACTTTGACATGCTTTCGAACTGCTAGGTTGGTAGGAGCAGGGACCGAGCAACGGGAGCTCACCCCGTTACGGGGATTCAAACCGCCAACCTTCTGATCAGCAAGTCCTAGGCTCTGTGGTTTAACCAACAGTGCCACCCTTTTCCACCCGCGTCCCTTTTAAACACAGGAATACAGCACTGTAAATGAGTCAGAAATTAGATTGTTTTCACCAAAATAAACAAATTCTAATGAAAGTTAAACAATTCTCACTCTCTGGCACTATCTGATGTTGCATGTTTAAAACACATTCAAATCACATTATTGTGATGAATGTAGCTGAGTCCATAGACTGATTCTTGACTTATCGGGGGCATCTTTCTGGTCAGAGTTGTGGATCCAGCCACAATTCAGCAGAGAGTTGAAATTTTAAATGGCTTAAGCATTCCTAACACAATGCTGGATTGTAGCCCACCAGTGTGTGTGACCATTTTCTTGCTGGATTGGATCATCAGACCAAAGGCTTTCTTATTTTTAATTTTATTTTAATATTACTAGAGAATGTCTTTTAAAATTCTTTTGAAACTACAAACAAGTTAATAAACTCATTATCCATCCTGACCCTTATTTCAATGTAGGCCAAACGAATTAGATAATTGCAATACTCTTTGTATGGTGATCTGATTCTGACACAAATAACTTACCCCTCCACCTGTCATGTCTGTCTCCACAAACCCAGGATGCAGTGCAATGCACAGGATTTTGTCATTAGCATATCCCAGGGACTGGCACCGCGTCAGCATATTCAGGGCAGCCTAAGAGTGAGACATACCAGAAGCATGTAGCTGAATGATACAGCTAAGGATGGGGGATACCTTTTCCCCCTTTTGTATTTTAATTTGAACCAATCTTATTTCCATTTCCCAAACCAATATTTAACTGAAATGCTGCACTTCTGTAGATTTTGCAATGTAGTCCTTCACGAAAGACACAGGTGGTTTCTGTGGCTAGTTGTACCACTTTTCATCTACAGTGGGTTTACCAGCTATGAGCTTCCCTAGATTAGGAAACTTGTCCTGCCAGGCTTAGCTAGGTCAGTCCTTGGGAGGAAGGGTTATCAAGCTCTTTGTTCTCCCACTTTCACCCATTCCACTTACTAGTCAGGAGGTCTAAGCTGGATGCTCCAAGCTCAGACTGTGTGGCTTAAGCAAGCCACCTTTTGTGTTTCTATACAAATAATTTAGAAACTCTCACCACTTAGGAACCTAATTCTCACTTCCTGTGTGTTATTACTGCTGTATGAATCTGACCTTTGAAGAGGTTATAAGTAAACCATTTTTAACTTACCAAATGTTTGGTCTTTTCTATGCTAAAGGAAGTGGGGAACTTTGGAAGCAACTTAGAAGGGGGTATTTTAAAGGTCTAACAAGCTATATTTCCCTGCTTTACGTTACTGCATATTTTGTTATTTTAAATCCATGCTGGGGTTCTCTAACCAAAGAGTACTTGCCCCAAACCTGGATCTAGCGATCCAGAGAATTCTCTTTTTATGATTATACCTTAACTTATTTGTCTTTTAAGCAAAATACCAACAATATCATAAAAAAACAGAAATATCCAGAAGCATCAAAATAGTCACTCTGTCAGTCACCCCGCTAAGATAGTCAGCCAGGAAAGCCAATGCAGTGTTCCAAAATGGGCCAAAAAATGGGCCAGATAATAATGTTCATTCATGAGTCTTTGCGGTTGTCTAGCCTCTTGGTTCTTGAGATACTTCCCCTCCCCCCCAAAAAAAGCCAACTGGAGACTGGCGCATAGTCATGAAGGTCAGGAGATATGTAAATACTTATATAAAAATGTATAATTACCTGGCCAGCACCTTCAAGGCAAAAGAAACATGCCCCTTGGATAACTGACTACTAAACCAGTGTTCTTTAAATTGGATGCACAGATTTTATTGGACCACAACTCCTATAATCCTCAGCCTGCTTATTCAATTGTCAGAGACAAAGATGTATCTAGGGGAGCATGACCAGTTCAGTTCACCGAGTGCAGAACGTTAGGCGCCGCAATGACATCCAATGGAAGGCAAGAGGTGGTGGGGCCTGCTGGATATTAGTGTTGCACAGGGCACTGTAAGCCCAACAGCACCTGAAGTCCCAAGGTTGAAGAACACTGCACAAAACTGACTACTTGTCTGTGATGTGTTGATACCTTGCTGCAACGGTAATTGACAACTTGTGCATTCTCCCACAGGAAGAGATTTGTGATGGAGCCAGCATCACTAGAGATGTTGACAATGGCAGCTTTGCTGCAGCTCATCCCATTTTGGGGGCTTTCCAGAGATGCCTTCCTCAGCAAGGGCAGGAATGCCTGGAGAAGGAGAGAAAAGAATTGCACACAGCAGCACATGCTGTAGAGAAGACTGGCCATAGTGCCAGATTTAGGGTAGTGCAGGCAGTTCCCTCCACACAGGGCACTGAGCCAAGGGGGCACATAACAGCTACAACTGCTACTTCAACAGGTTCAATCTTCCCCCATCACCTCCATTACCACGAAGGTTGCACTGTTAAATATTATTCACTCATGCAGCTATTACAAGCTTAGTTCCATATCCTTTCTCCATGAAAAAGGCACAGCTGCAGAACACCCCATCACCAGGAAGCAGTGACATCAGGCCACCTACTTCTCCAACATTAAGGGATCTGCAACAGGACAAGAAATTTCTGTGAAGGAGGAACAACCAGGTAGCCTTACCTGGCTCACCATCATGGGCCCAATCACATTGGTCTTGTACACTTCAGACATGTCTTCCGGTGTCTCAGCTTCCATAACTAAGTTTCTCCTTGCAATTCCAGCATTGTTTATCAGAAGGGTCAGCCCAACCCCTTTAAGCCGTTCAGTGACTCTGGTTGCAGCATCCTTGACGCTAGAGGGCTCAGAAGTGTCTTCAGCAGCAAAGAGAAGAATTTCATAAGTCCAACTTTTTCTCTCACTACAAATCAACACATTATAAGCCTTTTTCTTATGATAATATTTAGAAGGAAGAATTGGAATTTGATATGCATCAAATATTGTTCCATTTCCACCCCCTGAGATTTAATTGCCAGAAACTGGAAGACAATAGATACAGGTAACTCACATTTTATGCAGGGGTTACATTCCAGGGATGATGTGTATACACAAAAACACATATACACCCTTGGAGCTGCCTCTGTGCAAGCAACCTTACATTTGGAGCCAGGACACTAAACAGTATAACCTCCACCCAGAAGGCAAGTCTGAGAGCTTAAAAGCTCTTTCCATGCTGGGAAAACCCTGCACAAAAAGAGATTTTAAGATCTCTGCCTTCTGTGCATTTAATTTGTGTGATTTCAACCAGCTGGCCTTCAATCACATAAAGTTGAAATTGCGCATGTTAAGCACACATAAGGTGCAAGTTACCTGTGTTAAATATAAGAAGCCCATGTTGGAAAAGATTTAAGAACTACATGCACTTTCAAAGATAATGAACATAATAAACCACAGCTGGGCACCCTTGGCCTTTAGTGACAATAGAGAGCCTAGGATAGGCAAAGTCAGCCTGGAAGGTTCTTCATTGAGAAGGCTGCCAGCTGCAATTCAGTAATGGATGGAGAACAATAGGCCAAGGGAAGCTCTTTGTGTGAGAGAGTTTTGGTTGATACTGGAAGCTGGAGACAGAGGCTTGCCTTGCTCTTCACTGGACCCAAAGATGTGCCCTGACAATCTTCCTGGAAACCTAATGGGGAGGCCAGATCTGTGGAGTGTTAACACTGTGAGCCCATCCATCCTATGCTCAAGTTGTATATATGTGTGATAAAATAAAACCATATACCCCAAAGGCACCGCAGTTTTAGTTGACCTTCATTCCAAGAAAAGCAAATCCCAGGAAAGCACTGGAACACCTGGAGTCTCTCATTGCTCAGAGACTGGGGTGCATGAAATAGCATGTTTATTCACATATTTTTTTTCTTCAGTAGCTGTAGCTGCCTAAAGGCAATGCACAGCTACCCAATAGCAACAATCCCACGAAGGATTAAGGTGCAGTCTTCTGGCAGAGGCCCAGAACTCTTTGAACTAGTATAAAAACAATTTTTTTCTCAATATTGCAACACCTACAAGTTACTCATAATATCAGAGGTGGAGTCATTGCCAGGAGTACAAAGGTGCCTAGATATGGAATAGTGTGTCATATAACTGAAAGTTATAATGCAAATAGAAAGGCTCAATGATGTTGAGTTTTGCTCTCTATTTAGAGCTGAACTGGATTGTGCTCGGACTGTTTAGGGGTTCCGCCTACAGTCCGTGAGGAGAATGGCCCTTTCTCACATCATGCAGTTCATCATTTGATGTGGCAGAAAGGAAATGAAAGAGTTAAGAAAAAGAGATGAATCCTCAGTGTGAGGATGCCTCTCAGCAACTGTTGACAATGGAGTTGACTTTTATATATTTAGGTAAGTTGTTTTTTAGAACATATCCTGCAGGAAAGTAGTCTTGCGAAATGACTTTGAATCTCAGCTCTTGTCTCTGGCAATGTGGGAAGAGGGGGGCAAGGCAATGGGGGGGCAAACACATACCCAGTGGGATAATCTCCACTCCCTGATGCTTGGCAGCCAAATCCTTCAAGACCTGGAAGATGCACAGACCATAGATTTAGGATGCAACATCAAGCCCTGGAGGTGGGATTATTTAAAATTGGAGAGAAGAAAGTAGATGATTTGGGCTGTGTACACACTAACCCATTCGTAACACAAAAATGTAGTTTTTCCATAATCTGGAATAATTCATTTTCATTCTTAACAAACAGTTTTCAGTCTAGATTAAGGTTACCAGATGTCCCCGTTTCCCTGGGACAGTCCCAGGATTTACAAATCAGTCCCCTGACAAAATCCATTTATTTAACAGGAAGTTGAAAAGTGTCGCTGGATTCATTGAAAAAAATCTGGTATCCTTAGTCTAGATTGATTCTAGATCCTGCTGTCCACAAGAGTGGAGGTGGTTACAAGATATGCTTTTGAAATACCTCTCCTTGGTTAGGTAATCAAGAAGGAAGTGGTGATAAAGCCATGGCTGTGAACACTCTATACCCTTGAAAGGCATTTGAAGCACCAAACAAAGAATTCTGGTCGCTGTTGTTTACCCTTCACAGAACCACAGTTCTCAGCTCCTTTACAAAATTCAGTGCCAAGAATTGGGGGGGGGGGGGAGAACTTCAAGGTGCTTTAAAGGTATAGTGTATACATAGGCTTAGGCTGCAAACACACATTTTATTAAAGAATCTAGGGAAACTGAGTACAGTGGTACCTCGGGTTAAGTACTTAATTTGTTCCGGAGGTCCATTCTTAACCTGAAACTGTTCTTAACCTGAAGCACCACTTTAGCTAATGGGGCCTCCTGCTGCCGCCGCGCCACCAGAGCACGATTTCTGTTCTCATCCTGAAGCAAAGTTCTTAACCCGAGGTACTATTTCTGGGTTAGCGGAGTCTGTAACCTGAAGCGTATGTAACCTGAAGCGTATGTAACCCGAGGTACCACTGTACTTGTTTTTTCTATGTGTTCCACAAACAAAGATCTACTGAATAATTTTTGTCCTGGTTTTGATTTTGATTGCATAAGTGTTGCTTGCCTCTCCCCACCCAATTAACTGCAACTCGTGGTTTTAGCTTTTATTTTCAGATTAGTCACAGGTTGCAAGGATCGGTGGGTTACATAAGAGATTAAAGACTTGGCTAAGCACAAGCTATGAACCAACAAGGGACATGCCTTGTGCACCTTCCTTTTGAAGGACGGGATGGGCCAGCACTGGTGTCTCTGTCCTAGGCAACGGAAGCAGGGTGGGTGCTGGCTCAGTATCAGATTTACTTCTACCAGCCTTGCCTGAAGGGGGAGGCTTGTACATAATAGGGGAAAGTGACAGAGGTGGAGAAGCAAGGGGGGCATATCTGGAAGGGAGGTAAAGGGAGGCATTTCTGAGAGCTTACCTGAGTCTCCTTCAGAGGGTGGATCTCCACCCCCTAACCCCAGGGGCTTTCCTTGGGATCAGACACATCTTGGGGCTTGGAATCCGTAACCCACACCCCACTATAAGTCCCTACCTGCAAGCTAAATGATACATTACCTCTTTGACAAGTTGTAAGGCTCTTTTTCCACAGTCTTCCAATCCAATTGCATACGAACGAACATTGCAATTGTAAGCACGTTGACACAGACAAAATCCTCACTGAAGCGACTATTTAGTAATGTTTAACTCACGTTATTTGTTTCAAAATCTGAGCTGTTCTTGTAATAGCCAACCCTCAATAGCATAATCACTTCTTCCTTTAAATGTTCTTCAGATCAAGGGGTGAGAGATACCAAATCTCTTTCCTACTCGTTCTTCCCTAATTCTGTAAAAGAAAGGGTTGTCAAAGCACTCAAGGGGGCCACTAAATTGTGTTTAAGCAGTCAGACCCTGGGAATGGGAAGTGCAACAAGCTTGCCTGGGGCACTTGCCTGAGGCACAAGTGTCTTGGCACCACCCTCATTTCTGTACTCATCCCAGTGTGCATCCTGTGGCTCACCTGGGCACGTGGTCCCTCTGGGTCCCGGCAGGTGGCAAAGATCCATTCGGGCCGGTTGCTTTTCCCAACAAGCTGCCTCACCAGCTCCAAGCCAATACCCCGATTGGACCCAGTCACCAGGACACTGCGTGCATTCAGCACAGCCATCTTTCTTCCCAGCCTGCGCTCAACTGACAATGCCCTCTGTTGGCTCAGCTCCAGTGCTAACTCCAGCCCTCAGTTTCTCCAGCAAGGCTGTTATCAGTGTGTGCTCTGCATTTGGCAAAAATCCAGTGTTGTTCAACTTACTTCATGCAGAGGAGAAAGGAAAGAAGCTGGGGTTTGCCACTAGCAGGCAGGAACAGATTAACAAGTCTTGTTGCCTGGTGGGGAAGGGAAGCTGACAGGGCAGAAACAGCAGTCATTTAAGAAAACACAGTGGCACCCAAGGATAGCCGATTCTGACACCCAGTTCCATACCCTCCAACTGCCCTGATTTTGCTGGGATCACCACAGAAACACTGTAGCCATCACGACTCCGTGACTTTGTCCTGAAAGTCCCAGATCCCAGAGCGGATCATGCCACACACCAAGTGCCTCCGCCTTTCCCTCAACCTGTTCTCATTCATCATTTGGCTTTCCCTGATCGCCACTGCAAGAAGCCCTTCTCCACATCCTTTGCTGCTTTTTGGACTCCCACCCACCCACCCCGCCCAGTGATCCCGGAGTGTGCACTTGTGTTTGGCTGCCTGCGTGTTCCCCACACCTCCACCTCCTGGGCCCTGTCAGTGTTTTGCATGGGGGGGGAGGCATTGCCATGGATGCCAGGGGGGTTGGTGGGGGTGGGCAAAGAGGGCTGGGAGTGGGTGCACAAGTCCTTGGTCCTTTAAAGTGGGAAGTGCCAGAGTCTCATCCATAGAAGTGCCTCCCACCTTCTTCATCAGGGGTAGGCAACCTAAGGCCTGGGAGCTGGATGCGGCTCAATTGCCTTCTCAATCCGGCCCACAGACGGTCCAGGAATCAGCATGTTTTTACATGAGTAGAATGTGTCCTTTGGCTGAAAAAGGTTGCTGACCCCTGTTCGTCATCCCAGGTGTACAGAGACATCATCATCATCATCATTCACTGGCTCAGCTCAGCACCCTGTGCAGTTGAACTACCTGCACCATCCTAAATCTGGTGCTGGAGTGGGGGGGCGGGGGCGGAATGAAGTATTATTGATGTAGACTAGAATGTCCCTATTTTCACCTGAGGAATGTTGAGTGGTGTGCAATTCTTCCCTGAAGTGCTTTGCTGCTAAGTCCACTTAGCAGGACTGGCCCAAGACATTTTGTCACCTGAGGTGAATGACAAAATGGCACTCTCCTCCCTGCCAGGGAAGGAGGATTGAATAAAGAGCTACATCAGGAACAAGGGGGCCGGGAGAGGATAAAGATCTAAGTCTGGCTCTGCTACCCCTGTGGACCCTGCTCCCCAAGGTGGTCACCAACCTTGCCTCATGGATGGAGCAGCTCTACCACTCAGCTCCTTTGTCAGGCAGACTGGCAGCAGCCCAGATACTACATGACAAGAAATAATGAGAAAGAGATTTGTTGGGAGCTCCCTTCATGCACTGGCTTAGCAAGAGGCTTTACAAGTTTGGCATGCTGCCTATTTAAAGAGAGAAGTTGGGAAAAGCCATTGTTTTGTACCTTGCTTTCTGGGTGACCTTTGGACAGAGTGGCGTTTCTGGCTCTTCCTGTTATGCTCAGCTATAACCCTTATACTTTGCAGCCCACTTTAACCCTTCCACTTCGAGAAAGACAACTATGATGCAGGGCTGAACAAAAGTAGCCGTGGCTGTGACCCAAATATAGCCTTGGGGGCGTCCTCTTGCACCTCACCCCAAATGCTGTTAGGAAACATAGCATATTGAATTACATGGAATAGCAACATAATAAATGTATTGTTTAGTTTAGTATCACTTAATGAGGATAAATGCCAGGTCATTAGATAGGCAAACCTACTTTATTGAAACGCAAAAAGAACAGCTTACAATATTAGGAAATTGCAAATCATAGTAAGTTCCAATCATGTTTTTTACAGTTACTAAAATTTAAAAATTATCCAATATTTGCAGAATTCAAAAAATCATTTATTACTGCAATCAACCATTTCATACTTAGACAGTTAGCCTACTAACTTTTTCTTCCTTACATTCATTTTGATGATTTTAATTGCTCACATAGCTTTGTTTACTTGCTGCCTCCCTCTGCCAAACGGTTGGGCCAGCCCCTGAGGGAGGAACATAGGAAGGAAGCTGCGGTATACTGTGTCAGACCATTGGTCCATCCTGCTGAGTATTGTCCACACTGACTGGCAGAGGCTGTCTGGATTTTCAAACAAGGGGCATTCCTATGATTCTATATTCTTGGAGGAATCAGGGTTGACCACAGAACCTTCCGCATGCAAAGCAGAGGCTCTGCCGCTGAGCTGTTACAGCGCTTCTCCAAATATATGCATTAGGTATAGCAAATCTCTAGCTGTGACCCTTCAAATGCTTTGGTGGGGGAAGAGGAAGACTGCCCCATTGACTGGTTTAGCCTCCACATGCCCTAGTCCACCAAAATAACCCTTTCCAAACATTTGAGGCTGGGGGAAAGGAGACTATCTACTCAGCCAAGCAATGTTATTTGGATTCCAGCAATCTCAGTGAATAGTTGTTATTCTGCTTTTTGCTTGAAGCAGAACAGCAACCACTGGCTGTTGCTAGGTCACCCACATCTGGAAGCATCCATAACATGTGTGCAGTGGAGGCTAACTAGTTTGAATAAATGAGTTAACAGATGACTTGCACTGTTAAAAAGAAATACAAGCAAGCGAGACTGCAAAAGCCACTAGGAATTAACCTCATGACACAGAATAGTTCAAAGGAAGGCTAGATGGTGAGAGTTTCAGCTGAATATGTATTTTTTAAAGAAGTAGAAAAAAAGCATCTCTTCTCAGGTGTTTTTGTTGCCTATGGTAGTGAGAGGTTCCTTCTGCAGTGCAGACAAGCAGATTGTTTGGTGTTTTACCAGGGAAGGACTTTCCCATCCAAGTTCACAAATGTGCCATGGTCTTTCTCAGAGAGAGAGGGAATGGTGTTCAGGATTTCTTGCACACTGCGGTCCACAGTCAGTGGGGGCTTCCCCTGGAAAGAGAATAGGGAAAGTGACACAACAACTTGCAGTTAAACAGGAAAAAGATATTATTTTACAAACAAAATTGGTAAAACTGGTTTGTCATAATTCTTTTAATAATAATAATAATAATAATAATACATTTATTATTTATACCCCGCCCATGTGGCTGGGTTTCCCCAGCCACTCTGGGCAGCTTCCAGCAAAACATAAAAATTCATCCAGTATTAAAAGCTTCCCTAAACAGGGCTGCCTTCAGATGTCTTCTAAAAGTCCGATAGTTGTTTATTTCTTTGACATCTGATGGGAGGGCATTCCATAGGGCGGGCACCATTACCGAGACTACCAAGTTTACCAAGAAACAGTAAACTGCTATATATTAAATTCAGTGGATGTTGCAGGCGTCTAATCAAGATGGTATATCTATAGCTTCCCCTCCCCTTCAATTTCTTAAACTATTTACTGAAGTGTTACAGCTTAAGTCTTAAAGCTTAGGTTCTGAAACAAGGTGGTAGTTTCTGTCAGTTTCCCAGCCTCCTATAAATCTCACTCCTGAGGCTCCTCTATTAGTATACCAGACCAGAGGATCACTGCTACACCCCTCCTAGCTGGTTTTGGGATTACTCTTCTCTCACCAGAAGAGCTGTTCCCTTCTTACCGAATTGAGACCCAAGCAGAGTGTTCCTTCACAACTCCACTTCTCCTGTCTCAAATTCAGCTACCCAGTTCTCACTTGTCTGTAGTGCTTTTCTTCTAGAAAAAAAGGTGCAGGTAAACAACATGAAGTTGTTACAGTAAATGCACACTTTTAACCTATGCTTTTCTTCCATAAAAAGTTGCGGATACTGCGTACCCTTGAGTACCACCAGTAGAAAAGCAGGGCTTGTCTGTATACTCTCAAAAGACACTAATAGCTGTCTTTCGATCTAAGCTCAGAAATTTATTTCTCTGGTTGTAGATCTTTCCCTCAGGATGGATGTTACACACAAAGCTCAGAGACTATCCTCTTATCCAGCTGAACACCAGAAACCACAGTCTCCACTCCTTTCCTTTTTCTCTCACAAAGTGCTGTCTCCAACCCCCTCTGGCTAGCTGTACCCGCAGACAATCAAAGTGAGTCTCCAGCCCAGCACTCTGTAAGCTACACCACTCTGGTGGAATTCCACTGCCCCACCAGACCTCTGGTCTACCTGAGCTTTCCGTCATAACAGCCTATGAGAGGAAAACAGAGAAATATTCTTGATAGCTCTTCTACTTGTGCATTGATAAGGCTGGTCTGATAGACATTACATACATCCAAAAAGTTTCTCACAAAGTCTGCCACCAAAGGATCCTAGGGCTAACCTACACTGGACCTCAAAATTTGATGTTCCATTGCAGATGCTGTTGCTTTCCCAGGGGAATCAAATTCATTTTTTGCCCCCCAAAATTTATTAGTTTTCTCTTATAACACATAGACAAAAACACAAAAGAAAAACATTACATTTGACACAACATAAAAACTTAACAACAATAAAAATACACAAAATAAAAGAACAAATTTTTCGTCTTATTCCCTGGTCTATTTACATTGCTAAGAAACTTCCTCGACACCCTCCAATCTGCATTTCATCATATTACATATTTAGCAGTTCCCAATTTCATATTTATAACATCAGTATCTTCTTTCATTGCAAACTTCTTAACCTTACTTCCAATTGTAATCCATAATAATCTTTATTATTAATCTTTTCTATCCCTTATCCTAATCTGTTACTTCTAGGGATTTCTTAATTATCTTATATTACAATATCTCACTAAATATTCTTTAAATCATGGGAGATAAGTCTATGGGTGTCATTGCAGCTTTGGAAAGACAATAGACGAGTGACTTGTACTGTGCAAAATAAATGAATGTCTTGCACAGTGAGAAAAAATAATGACAAACATGAATAAGTCAAGAGAGAGCACACATCCTCATATTGATTAGTACCTGGTTAAGGGGAAGCAGAGACTAAGGATATATTGATTGTTCCCGCAACTAAAGGGTGGAAGAAGTGGGGATGTTAGAAATTTCTGCTGTGAGCAAATATAGAATTTACTCAGCTCTCCAGGAACAGAATTTGTTGAAGAAAAGCAATCTGCATTTGTTTACAGTTTGTTTGTTTGTTTGTTTGTTTGTTTGTTTGTTTGTTTTTAAGCACACTTTGCTTTTCCTAAGGATGTTATAATGAAGCTTAAAAGAGGTTTAGAACACTATAGGGAAATTGTAAAGTGAGGAGCCTTTAGCTGCTTCATTTACTTGGAAAGAGGGAAGTGAATAATACAAGGTATCTGAATGGCTTGAGAGAGGGGCTGCCATTGTGTGAGACTCTTAATAATGGAAAGCCTTATAGTGCTGAGTTGGTTAGGAAAGTAAAAGGAGTGGGTGGATTTTTAAATAGAAGTTTAAAACACCCACCCACAGTAAGGAAGCAAATTCCAGAAGCACAAAAAAAAAACTTTTAAAGGCAGCACAGACCTTAGGTAAAGGTAAAGGTACCCCTGACCAACAGGTCCAGTCGTGACCAACTCTGGGGTTGCGCGCTCATCTCGCTCAAGAGGCCGGGAGCCGGCGCTTGTCCGAAGACAGTTTCCGGGTCACGTGGCCAGCATGACTAAGCCACAGCTGGCGAACCAGCACCAGCGCAGCACACAGAAACACTTTGAGGTGCTTTCGAACTGCTAGGTGGGCAGGAGCTGGGACTGAGCAACGGGAACTCACCCCGTCGCGGGGATTCGAACCGCCGACCTTTCGATCAGCAAGTCCTAGGCTCTGTGGTTTAACCCACAGCGCCACCCAGACCTTATTGTTTTGCAATTGTCTATATGTGTCAGGTCACATGCTGATAGTTTCTAGGAGCCACAGGTGAGAGTTTAGTGCAGGGTGGAGAGCAGAAGTGGACAAACTAGTCCAGAAGGAGTATGACATGTCCCCCACCAGAGGTACTACTCCTCCCCTAACACCCCATACATGAATCACCTACCAATTTATTTCCCATGTCTGTCTGTAACCACCCAGGATGCAATGTGATGCACAGAATGTTGTCTTTGGCATATCCCAGGGACTGGCACCGGGTGAGCATGTTCAGAGCAGCCTAGGAGAGAGACATACCAGAAGCAGGTAGAAATTCAATTCTGTTTATATTTTGATGAGAAGCTACTCAAACCAGTACACAAACTGAAATACAAAAATCTCCTTTCGAAATTTACACTTATCTAAATTTTGTGGCTCTGTTCTTGAACCAATGTGTACAAAAAGCATATAGCATACATTGAAAAGTGTACATAAAATTCTTATATTTGTAAAAATAACATACAAACATGTATCAGTGAAAACTGCATCAAAAATGTGTCTGTTAAGAAAAATTCGGAGTGATGATTTTTAATACGAAAAATCACATTACAGCAGAAAGGAAGATGATTGAATTTAAGGCTGGGAAAATGAGAAGCTGCAAGAAACCAGAAATTAGTGACATATGTCCATTCCTAATTATGTATACTTTTAAAAAAATATATAAATTATCTATACTTTTTTTCAAATACAACTATTTAATTATGTCAGTTTGTTTTAAAAGTATGCTATCAGTATCTTAAATAAATATTATATATTTATTTTTAAATCTATTATTTTATGTAATGTGCTTAGAGATTCTTTTTAAATCTATCAATCTATATTCTGTTAAATTAAATAAATAGGCCAGCATGCACTAACTCTAAACAGATGAAAGTGTCTGAATGTTACTAACAAAAATGGGTACAGTCAAGATAGGATGGATTTTCTAAGAACCTTTTCAGCACCCTAAGGTGAAATTAACTGAGAGTTATTTTCAAACTTTGGATTGCAGAGCCAACCACCGTTACCTCCATACCTTGCTACAACGGTAACCAATGATTTGCCCTACATTCCATACAAGGACATTTTTAATGGAACCAGCTTCACTGGATACATTGATAATGGCAGCTTTGCTGCAGCTCATCCCTTTCTGGGAGCTTTCCTGAGATGCCTTCTTCAGCAAGGGCAGGAATGCCTGGATAAGGAAAGGGTAGAATGAATGTTGATTATTATTAATTTATGAATCACCTTTTCCATTCATCTAAAGGCAATTGACAAACATACCAGAAAAACAGATAAAAATGGTTTTCAAACAGTCCCCCCCCCAACTAGCAAAAGACAGGTTTAAAACTAATAAACTTCTGTTGTGATATTCAATTATTGACTCATGCCTGTATGCATGAAAGAGTTATCCTTAGCCCTGAGCACAAGTTGCCAGTGGCTGTGGCTTAACAGGCTTCCAGCAGCCTTGCTTCCCTCCCTTTCTCTCTCTCCTGCTTCCTGGAACAAAGAGGCATGTGGCTATGGCTCCCAGGTGCAAGAAAAATAAAGTGGATTCAATTAGCCCTCATCCAGCTTATCACTGCATCCAGACCCCGGTCTAGGACCTGTTCCACCATTCCTGATTCTGAAGTTACAGACAAATAGAGCTGGACCTTGTGTGAGATCTCCATATGGCCACACCCAAAGGTTTCATATGGATGTTAAATAACTCTGGAGACATGTAGTGTCCTGCAGCACTCCATAGCTCAAGAATAATCAGATAAGACTGCAACTACTGCAGAATAGTGCTGCTGGTACCAATCTCTCATAGACCGTCTATGGTCATGAGAGATCAAGCAGGAGCAGCAAGGTTGCACTCTCTCTGACCCTCTACTGATAACCAAGGCTGATTCAGTCACAAATCAAGTTCTGAACCTGGATTGGAGTAGGTCTAGATAATTATATCAGTGAGAAGGTCAGTGTATCTCCTTTCCAGTTCAATGTTCTCACTGTGAGGACAAACATAAGCCCAGGAGTTACATGCAGTGGCATCCCAAAGTTCTCTTGCAGGTCACCCAGGCAGAAGCTGTTCATCAGGCGCAACCTTCTCTCATCACTTTACTTCCATAACCACAAATACCGTTAAAGTTTGGTGTGTCATGCAGCTATAAAAAGTTCCTCCTGTTCATATGTTCTCAATGCAAAAGGCACACCGACCCATCACCCCAACAACCAGAAAGCAGCAGCATCATGACCTTCCAAAGTCAAGGGCTCTGCAACATGCCTAAAAGTTTATGTAACAAAGAGACAAAGAGTCTTACCTGAGTCACCAACATGCTTCCAATCACATTGGTTTTGTATACCTCAGCCATACTGTCTGGTGTCTCTGTTTCCAGAGTCCTTAGCTTTATAATCCCAGCATTGTTTATCAGAAGATTGAGCCCAGCTCCCTTCAACCACTCTGTGACTCGGGTTGCAGCAGCCTTGACACTAGATGGCTCGGAAGTATCTACAGTAGCAAAAAAATTTTAAAGGAAATGAAAGTGAATGAAGATCTAACCCTGCAGACCTCACCAGCACTGCTATTGCTCTGTACCTGCAGTCTTCTTGCTCTGGAAATCCAGAGGACTATGGATTAATTTACTTGGCACATTTTTATGCATACATGCCATATATATTATGTATAGCAGATAAAATGCACGCAATGTACAAGCACATGTTTGCTAGAACTGTACAGGTATCCCACAGAGAAGGCAGCAAGGTGTCATGAGCTCTGCAGCACCTTGGGTTTGAGCCTGGGACAGCAAGCCCTGACATAAGGGGAAGAAGAAAAATTGGAGGGGCTGAATTGTGGGATCCTGGGTTAGAGGAGGGGAGATTTCCCCTTTCCACCCCAGTCTCAGCTGCTTCAGAAGGGGAAGCAGGGGCGCTGGCTCTCCCTTGCTTCCCAGCTGAGGCTGGGGAGGGTTGTGAGCCACCAAAGACACAGGAAGCAGCAGTTGAACCGGAGCATGCAGTCTTGTTGCCTAGAACCAGGTGCCACCTTTGTAGACAGGAGCATACTCACCCAGCCCAATGAAACACATGGTTGCAAACCCAACATTCCATCAAGGCAAGCAAGTGCCATGAGTAAATCCACCACACTTAGTCTTTAATAGCTTGGTAGGTGGGGCATGGAAACTTGTTGGGACATCTTCATCACTTCCGTCCAATTCTGAATTTATTTTGTTGTTCCTGAACTTCTGAATCATGACTCCTGAGTAATTTTTCTGCTGCTGAGCCTGCACCATTATTTGTCTGAATAAAGGTATTTCTTACTTTTAAGTAACAACTTCTGTCTACATGTGTTGGACAGAAATAGTACCACAGATAGCTCTAGGTAACCTACTTGCTCAGATGAAGGTTAGGACCAGACTGAAACCTTTTAAATCTTGACCTCCAGGGACTTCCGGGTTAGCGCCTCCGGCAATGGCAGATTTCCTCTGATCAGGAGGAATCTGCTTCGTGAGAATTAGGGTCTGGACTGCCACGGCGAGGCAGAGACCCACTAAAAACCACAGGCGGGAAAAGCCTGTGGACGTGGGATTCGGCTGGCACCTTTTGCGCCTCCCCTACTCGCGGGGAAACCCGGTTTCAGGGATCCGGAGCGACGTGGGGTGAATGGCGCGGTGCTTCAAATCGACTGCTCTTTTCACGGAGTGAAGCCACATTGCTGTTGCCGGAGAGCGCTGACTTTTTCCTGTGGACAATTGGATTTTAAACAACTGCCCGTGAGTAGAACGGAAAATCGGACTATGAAACTTCTTAATTTGGCACTGAAGCGGGAAGGTCTAAACAGGAAGTCCACCTTCCGCTTCTGTAAATAGATTGAAGCAAAGACATTGCAAGCTAGAGTCTGGAAAGTCGTTTGTAAAGGACTAAATTTCCATCAGTTAAAATTACTAAACCCCCCTTGGAAGCAGGAGAAGAGGGGGGAAATCTTAGACTGTTTAAACCTGCAGAAGAGAGAGTAAAGAAAGATAAATTTCCACCGTCTTGAACCTGGGAGCGGGGTGTCAGAGACAGACGTTTTGGGAAGTTCATTGACTGTGGATAAAACGTTTTTTGACAGATAGTTAAAAAAGAGAAACATTTTGATTCCAATGTTCCCTTTTGCACTTAAAAGGAACAAAATATCTGAAAAAAGAAAGAAATTTTGTTGCTGGATCTGCTTTAAAAAAAAAAAAGACGGATACAAACAGAAATTGTTTCCTCTAGAGGGAGCTTGTGAAACTGTTGCTGGAGTCGATCTGGGGATTTCCACAGCTGTAGAGATTAAGATCGTGAGACCAGACATTGACCTTGAACAAGAATGTGCCCAGAAGAAGCTTTAGTGCTTGTTTTTTGCAAGACAAGTGCTCTACTGGAACAGTTACATGAGAAGATGGATTTGATGACTGTTGCAGTTGGCAAATTTGGACAAACAGTGAATACCCATATAAAAACCACTCAGGAATTAGTCCAGGAATGTGCCTTGACAGGGCAAGTTGTGAAGAAGATAAAGGAGGAGGTTGTTGCTGAACCTCAAGTAATAGAAATGGAGAGAGCTGCGGCCTTGCAGGAACATAAGTTGTTGTTTTTGATGACTGAACCTGGAGAAAGTCAGATTTGGAGAGATGGAGTACTGTTTGGTTTGGAGATGAGAAGTTGGATAGATCCCCCTATGCAGGGATGTTTTGACTTCTCGTATTTGGTTTTGGGCCAGGGGGAGTTTGGAGTTGTGGGGGTCCTTAACCTTGGAGGGACTTTGAAACATGCCTTCAAATATCTTTTGGATTTCAGAGCTGACTATGGAGAATGGGCTGACTTGTTGAGAAGGGATAAAGATATTGTCAAGTTGGAGTCTCCCCGAGAGAAAGGAAGGAAATTAAGAATAAGATCAGCAGAAGACAAAGTAAAGTGCAGGTATAAACATGAAGAAGACCTGCAGAAGGGACATGGAAAAGACTTAAGAGCCTCGGATAGAAGGTCACCAGGTTGATGGACTAGATGGAAGGGATAGAAAGGACTGATAAAACCCGAGACCAGGAAGAAGAGACGATGGATGAAGATTGGAAGAAAGTTTTTAAAAAATTCATTTAGAAAATCATTGTAAAATTAATGAGTATTAGAAAAATGTTGGAATGAAACTATTTGGCTTTAGTAGAAATGTTAAAAGGAATTATGTATAAATAAGTTTTAAGTTTTAAGCTTTAGGGCTTTTCATGGTAAGATAAAGTTAAAATAAATAAAGGTAATTTAATGACAGAATATAGTGAAAGATGGAAAGGATTTGCTGAGATAATTAATAACTAGAATACAAAAAAGGGAGGTGTGAGGAGGTCGATGAAACAAGTTAACGGAAGATAAAGATTTGGGAATATTGGATTTGTTTTTAAATTTTTTGTTTGTTTTTGATTTTGGTTTTGATGTATTGTGTATTTTGTTTTTTCTTTTTTTCTTTTTATTGACTTGTATTGTTCAATTGCTTTTTTTGTCTACCTTTTTTTCTTTTCCTTTTTTTTCTTTTTTCTCTGTAGTTTTAAATTCTCAATAAATATCATTTAAAAAAAATAATAAATCTTGACCTCCAGACTACCTTTTCTAGCCTCCACCCCATTGTGAACAACTTCAGAGCCTTAAAGGGCTATCCTTCTGACCTGAAGATGGACACTTCTCTTGTGTTCCATAGCCTCCTAGTGCACTGCTGGACCAGCAATGTGTGGTGGGAGGCATTTGGCTCCTCAGGCTCAGGGAAAGACACTCATAAGTGCCCTGGCTTTAGGCACAATGCTCCCCTGGTCCCCAACAAGCCCCTCAGAGACTTGAACTTTGTCCAGTTCCTTAGCTAGTATCTTTGCAGCCTCCCAACCTGTGTCTGGCTCACTACTAGATTCAGGGGTCATGGCATTAGCAGTGTTTTATAGGCATTGCTATACTTGTGAAAGTGAAAAATGTCTCATTTCCCAGCTTTTCCATTGTTATTCATTTTTAACTGACACACAACATTCCACAACTACAGTCCTCACTGGATGATTGGGCTTTCCCCCTTTTTTATATCATTAAAAATATATTTGTTGTTCTGAGAAACTCTCAGTGTTGGATTGAGAATGCTCAAGGCCAGGCTTTGCCTATACAGTTGCCAGTACTTAATGCCTGTGTTTGTTCTATTACATTGCCTGTTTACTCACTATGCATGCCAGTTGCTGCAACATACTGAATTTATACCAAATAGAGGAACATACTCTCTCTCTCTTTTTATCTACCTGGCAGAATATTAGCTTTTCTGCTTTGGTCCTGGATCCAACACTTTTTTCGAGTTCTTGTATTCTAAAGTTGTTTTGAGAAGGCATTTACTGTGGCATTAGAACTCCTCATACATTCAATTTTTTCTGCAGTTTCTACATGACATTGTTGGCGTCAGAATGCCAGTCTGCATCTCCCCCCTCCCCCTGCTACTACCCGATTTAGTCTAGATCTTCCCCTTTCTGTGGAAAATCCAAGTGGTTAAGCAAACAAACCCAACCAACCATACTTATTTCAGCCAACCACCTGTTTGTGACATCTAAATGACTGATTTGCAGTATTGAGCCCCCATCTGGAAGCTCCCTAAGTGAGCACTGGAGAAACAATGCACATGTAACCTGCAAAATACCTTGAATGAGATGGCCTTGAATTCTAGCTATTGTAGACAGTAATTTAGGATGAGGGAATTTAAGGTGGGGTGGGTGGAGAGAGCAGGCACTTACCCAGTGCAAGAATCTCTACTCCCAGGTGCTTAGCAGCCAAATTCTTCAATTCCTGAAATATTTAAAAAAGGAGAGAAAGAATGGAACTTCAAGTCCTGCATATGGGATTATTTGAGACAGGATAGGAGGAGGAGGGTGCTTTCCCACTAGGCATTCATGTTGTTACCATGTTTCTTCCTTCTGTGTGACAGCAAAGAACAGATATTTGGGACTCAAACCCAAAGTCACAATAAACCACAGGAGCAACTGGACCAGTAAGAGTAATCCAATAAATGGTTGATTGTCATATCAGATTTATTTATTTGTCCCCAGTCATTAGATCATTAGAAAACAAAGATTAACAGTAAGGCAAGGTAGCAGAAATAGAAATAGTGAACTTGGAAGCAAATCAACTACAAAATAAACGCACTTAGAATGCTGAATTTCCTGGACAAATCACAGCATGCCCCTATAAAAAGGTTTCTCCTCTTTACAAACAGTGAAAGGAAATATAAAAATGAATGAAATAGTATGAATTTATGCAGATCTGAACAGAATTATGTATAACCAGAATGAAAAAAAGCCTAAAACTAACTTAGAATTCTGAATCTCCCTCACACAACTTTTATTAAGAAATAATTTTCTTCTGTCATCAATTATTGCAGATAGAAAATACAATTTTCACAGTTGCATGTTGATCCTCGGATGAAGGACAGTATAGAAATTTCATGTTTGGTAACGGTTACCAATTGTCAGTGAAAGAGTGTGCCTTTGAGGATGAAGTCAAACCATTGGAGAGTTACAGCGCCTGCTGTGGCAGTAGAGACCAATATGGGAGAGACATGTTTTGTTGCAGCTGGGGCAAATGAAGGCATCCTGTGCCCTGTGGAACACCCTCCCACCAGATGTCAAAGCAATAAATAACTATTTTACTTTTAAAAGACAACTGAAGGCAGCCCTCTTTAGGGAAGTTTTTAATGTCTAATGCTGTACTGTTTTTAATATTCAGTTGGAAGCCGCCCAGAGTGGCTGGGGAAACCCAGCCAGATGAGCGGGGTATAAATAATAAATTATTATTATTATTATTATTATTATTATTATTATTATTATTACTATTATTATTATCCTGTTTTGCTGATGCAGGTGTACCATGAATGTTTCTTCTTTCTGCATTCCTCTCAGCAGCCATTCCTCCTCTGGTCACTGCAGTAGCTATACAACTTGACTGTCTCCAAGGGATTCTCACACAGCAGGGTTAATGTTGCCAGCCTTCATGTCATGTTTGCAGACAACTCCGTTATGCAGAGTTGATCTGCCAACAGGCCAATGGGCTTCATATTTTTTAAAAGCAATATTTATCACCTATACCAATGCTAACAATTTGCAACACTGGTTGCAATTTGCAACACTGGTGCAGTAGTTATGGAATTCATGTCTGCATGATATATGGATCATTTACCGTATTTTTCGCTCCATAAGACACACTTTTTTCTTCCTAAAAAGTAAGGGGAAACGTCTGTGTGTCTTATGGAGTGAATGTGTGGTCCCTGGCGCCAAATTGCCCAGGGGCAAAAAGCAGATCATGCTTTTTTTTTAAAAAAAAGGGGGGAGTGGGTGTTGAAACAAAGCCGCTGAACATTTGCCGATCGGGGAGAGAGATAAGGGATGCTAGAGATAAAGGAGGCTGCCTGGGAGGGGGGAGGTAAAGACAGCAAACTTGCAAAGGGGGGGAAACAGGAAGACTAAAGCAATAAGGAAAGAAATTAGAAGAAAAGGAGGAGCAAAAAACTGCTCCAGCTAAGGAAAAGACGCTAAGGCAAACAAGAGGGAAGGAAGTGTTGAAAGGAAACAGTTGATCAGTGGGATCGGAAGAGAGATAAGGGATGCTAGCGGAGGCTGCCTGGGAGGGGGGAGGTAAAAGCCCATGGATCCTCAGGATTTTTACATTGGGTCACCCCAAATTCACCATCAGATCACATGTCTGTGGCCACAGCATGAACCACAAAAATCATACATCCACTGTTTTGTTCAGAATATTTTTTTCTTATTTTCCTCTTCTAAAAACTTATGGTCATGTGCGTCTTATGGAGAGGAAAAATACGGTAATGAGCTTAAGTTTTTCTTGTCACAAACAGCATGCACTCAGTCATTTGACAGGGCAGCACTCTTGCCTTTCCCCATTTTATTGGTCAACTTTCTTGTTTTCCTTATGCTACTTATATACAAACTTATATTTAAAAATTGTTTAGCAATCTCCAGACTCAAACTTTTTGCATGCAGTTCTGAGAAACCAGATTTCACCACTAGAGATAAAACAAACCTCCCCCAAGAGAACCACAAGTCTTAATCCAATATAATTTTTGGCTTCTATCCTCCAGCAGTTAGGCATAGAGGAAGGACAGAGCACTCACTTGCCTGCTTGCAATTCCTTCTTGCCTTTGGCTACCAAGCATGTGTTTATATATGACTGAGCAACCCTGATGAAAAACAGTGTTATTTTCTAATATATGAACAGAGAAAGAGCTTCCATGTAAGAGGGTCCAAGTATGATTTTCAGAAAAGATCACAAGGAACACTTGCTTCTGGTTTCATGCAGTTTTGTTTCTCCACCAAAAAATCAATTCCAAACCACTTCTCTCTCTAAATTAAAAGAACAAACTATTCCAGCCAAGAGATTAAAAATAAACTTGTTTGCTTTGAGCCATGCAACAGGAGAGTACAAAACTACATATCTGCAATCATTTCTCGGTTCTGCATTTCTATGTTGCAATGCTACACTGCTGTTTACAGCAAAAGAGGGGTTTGTGGCTTGTTGTGAAGTCCCTAGGAAGGACTGCCTAGCAAGGAGCTGGAGAAAGAGGGCTTCTTGCTTAGCTGGGGAGAGGAACTCCCCAGATGAAAAATAGAGTGTTATACTTTAATATATGGATTCACAAATCAGTTTCCTGGCACACTTGTTTCAATACAAATTATTATGTTTAGCAATATTCTAATCCTAAACACTTTGACCCAGAAAAAATAACCACTCTGCTCAATGTAATTGACTCCTTAGTAATCTTCACCCCAGGGTATGTATTTCAGAAGCTTTGGATCTGAATTATTCTTGTTATCTCCAACACTCATCAGGATATTTACTTCTCTGTTTAAATACTCTTCAGGTGGGAGTAATTAACATCTTTCCAGCGTTTCGTTCCTAGCTCTGCAAGGAAAAATTTCAGCAAAGGTACCCCAAAAAGGGTAAACAATCTGTGCTTGAGCCGACATGCAAACTATCTCCAAGCCACTTAACCTACCCCAGGAAAGTGGAACTTAAAGAGCCTTGTGAGGCACCTCTACTGACCAGGGCACAATCTCCTTGGCATCAAAGGGAAACCCACCCTAAGTTCCACCCTGGAGCTCACCTGGGCACGTGGTCCCTCTGGGTCCCGGCAGGTGGCAAAGATCCATTCTGGCCGGTTACTTTTCCCAACCAGCTGCCTCACCAGCTCCAAGCCAATACCCCGATTGGACCCAGTCACCAGAACACTGCGTGCATTCAGCACAGCCATCTCTCTTCCTAGCCTGTGCCAAACTGACTAAGGTCTTTGCCAACCCAACCCGAATGGTAAATCTAGCCCTCAGGTTCTCCAAACAGGATTATATAACTGCTGACGAGACATTGAGGGACAGGAATGCCGTTGTGTAAAAGAACTGAAGGAGAGCAAGATCAGACAAGGGGCAGGAGAGACCCTGGTCTTGGTGGGGTATCTATGATGGAGTCCTCTCAGTCTGAGGCTTGCAGCGCTGCATTCTCAGGCGGGAGGGGCACTGGGTCCACAAGTAAGTTTGACCCACCCTCTATGCAAGATAGGCTTTTGAGACTATGGGACTCTTTTACTTGGTTAACATGATTAGAATAAGGGAAGGGTGATGAAATGATAACAGGCTTTGGGGAAAATTGAACCCTGCTTGCTTATCACTTATTCAAATGGTAGGGTAGTACAAGTTTATGCAACATATAAGGCAGTGATCTCCCAACTTTCCCACTGCACTGGCCTCTTGAAAATTGCTGGGGGTCTTGGAGGACCACTTAATGATTATTCTGCCTGTTGTAGCAATTGTAATGCACTGTGTTAGCAGCTGTATGGTTTTTAACTGTGCTCATACAGACACACCACAGGCCACCTGAATGAAGGTAATGGAGCACTCCTGGTCTGTGGACCACACTTTGGGAAGGAGAGGTGAAAAGAGCAGTGGTGGCTGATGTAGGTGTCTTTCCCCGCTTGATAAAGGGCATGCCTACAGCATTGGCACTTTCTCAAAATCCCTTATGTGCCCACTGCTGAAGGAAGGAAGGAAGTCCTTTGGTGTTGGCTTCTTGGATGCCTTTTGGACAGAGCAGAGGTTAATGTCTCCTGTTGTGTCCAGCTGCAGCTTTTTAGGGTTGGCATAGTAGTTCCACTACATTTTGAAATAGACTTCCAAAATGCTTTAAAATATACACTATGAGTATATGAATCATGGCTACACCTGCCAACTGAGTGTGGTGTGTGAAATGGCACCTAGACACCACTTCTGGAAGAGCAAGAACATTTCAAAGCCAGGACCTGACAGGTGCAAAGAAGCTGGAGAGATCAGGATTGAAGCTGGTTCACAATTTTGAGCAAAGTTGTCAAGGTTTAATGTAAAGGATTATGGGCTGGTATCTCAATGCAAAAATGATATACGATCACATTGCATTGTATAAACTTCCTTTTGTTAGGGAGGAGATTGTTGGCTCATTGCTCAAAAGCAGTCACTGTTGGCTCATTGGAAGAGAAAATTGAAGCTGGCATCTTTCCCACTCCACCTTCGCTGGGACGTTGTAAGTTCGATCTGCGTGAGAAAATAACAACTTGTTCATGGGTAAGTACTTTTTTAAAAAATGCACTGAGACTCCAGTGATCTCTCTTCCAAAGAAAACCAAACCCATTGTCCCTCCCAATATTACGATGGGTTGTGTCATAGGGCTTTGGGGGGGGGGTAAAAGTATTGTAATTTGAGTCCCCTGCCACACACATATACCACAATCCCATCCTATGCAAACCATCTCCTGAGTCATGAAAGAAAAGTTTCTATTTTAATTCTGAAATTTTATTTTCTACATTTCTGAAATTATACGATGACCCACGTGGGGGGGGGGTTCCTCATGTTATGATGGGCAAATACAAAGGCTACTGACTCTTCCACTGTGGTGTAGTGGTTAAGAGCGGTAGTCTCGTAATCTGGGGAACCAGGTTCGCGTCTCCAGCCTGCCAATATTCTGCCCCTCAGTCCCCACTTGGAGTGCTACCTATCTCCTCCTCCTCGTTGCATGTCGAGGTCCCCAAGCCACCCCCCAAATAACTCACAACGCACACTTAATTTTTGTTTAAGGTTTTTGGCATAATTTTGGCCACAACTTTATTTAAATACAAAACCGTGAGTGGTTGTTTAGGCATTGGTTAAGACTATCTGTCCCCCCGCCTGGGGACAGAACTGACTTCCGGGCACCACCGAAAGCCAGTGCGGGAAAACAAGTCGGGGAGAAATGGAGCTGAGTCACAGACCCTCAATTCTCACCCGCATGCTCCCCGAAGGCTTGCCGGCCCTAGTCCCATTCCAGGGATTGGATGAAAAGATGGCAAGCCCCAGGATTCCTTTAACGGAATTCCCTTTCCGCTGCAACCATGGAGGGGCAGGCCCAGCCTATCCTAACCCCTCCTCCACCAATTTATAACCAATGCCTAACCGCAGCCTTACAAGTTGTGACGATTTGCTACGCAGTAGGCAAAAACCAAATGGCCCGGCCAATCAGCCAGATGGACAAAATTCCTACCAGGCCCCTGCCCCAACGTCAGACGACCTCATGACAGGCATAGCAAGGTCAATGCAACAACCCCTTACTTTAGGGCGGGTGGGCGGGTGATCCATTGCACGCAGCAAAGAGAAAGCTCCAGGCTGCGTGCAGAGTATTTAAACATTTTACCCCGCCCACCAAAATTGCAACATAACTTTTACCCGAGCAACCCAGTGAACCAATCACTGCCCCAGGCCATCTTTAGAGACCCTGCCTGGTAACAGAGGGGTGGCTCGGCAGACCCCACCGCAACACGTGCTCTCCATGAAGGAGAACACACTTTCCCAGAACTCCTTGTTCTAAGCTTCTGTGTAAAATGACACAGAGTATTTAAACATTTTACCCCTCCCACCAAAATTGCAACATAACTTTTACCCGAGCAACCCAGTGAACCAATCGCTGCCCCAGGCCAACTTTAGAGACCCTGCCTGGTAACAGAGGAGTGGCTCGGCAGACCCCACCGCAACACGTGCTCTCCATGAAGGAGAACACGCTTTCCCAGAACTCCTTCTTCTAAGCTTCTGTGTAAAATGACACTTTCCCCCATTGGCACAGCTTGCTTCTGACGTTTTTTCAATCACAAACCTTTCTCTGTCCGCAGGAACCATGACAACTCTGTTTTGCCTAGACCCAAGGATGTTTAGTTTATGTGTTGATGACATTGTTTCATATTAGCTTGCAGTCAGCTAGTCTGGGCAGGCTAATTTGCATAGGCTAAACCCAGTTCAGGAGAACTGCTGCAACCTGTAATTTCCCATCCATGTCCCAAATATTATCTAAATGCTACCACATTGCGAATTTCTAACTCTAGATTTGTAACAATCCTTCACCCCCAAAGTAGACTTGAAGGTATGCTTTTGTATGTCGTCATAGGGTGGGAGCCACTAGAGTTACTACTCGTCCCCTATACACCCCTTGTAATTATTTGTGCAAAATCTGGCAATACAGGTGGCTAATCATATATAGCCCCTAAAATCAGAAGAAATCCTTAAAATTTCCACAGTATATCTGGTTTTCAATTATTCTGCCTGAGCACAAGACATGTTAACTCTCTGACCTATCTTCACAACCACAGAATGTTCTCTATGGCATGCTTTGCACCTGTTCTAACCATATCAGTTATCTCCTTCACATGTTTTGAACCACAGAATGTGCTCTTATCTTCTCCGTCACAGGAAACTAAAATTTAGAATTTTAAACAAAACATCAACACATGCTCTTAGTAGGCTTCTGTTTAAGGCAGGCTTCCTCAACCTCGGCCCTCCAGATGTTTTTAAGACTACAATTCCCATCATCCCTGACCACTGGTCCTGCTAGCTAGGGATCATGGGAGTTGTAGGCCAAAAACATCTGGAGGGCCAAGGTTGAGGAAGCCTGGTTTAAGGTATATAACTAATGGGCAATTTCCACTCGGGTCAAGCATCCTGAACTAAGGTATATAATACCTAAAACAGCCCCAAAACCCCTGTAAGTATCACATATGAGTTCTTATGCTTACATCTAAGAAGCTTTCATATAAGTGTATAGATTGTTCTAGATCTGTGGGTGCTAAATGCTTGGGTTTAATAAATTTTTAGGATTTTATTTGAACTGGTATGTTAGGACCGGTAATAGTCAGACTCATGTGTATTTTGTTGGTTTCTATTTCCTTCACTGAGCAGCAACTGCAGTCACAAGACAGGTGTTTACATTCCACAGTCTGTACTGTTGGAGTTTCTCACGGGAAAGGGAGACTGGATGTGACGTACACTGGTTTCCTGTTTTTCACTGTGTTTATTCTCTCCGTGCTGTTGAGGGAGAGAGGATGCATTTTTTCTGCTCTTGCAGAGGCAAGATGTCTTTCTGTAATATACCAGCTTTGAACTGTAAATAAAGCAATATAGAGTATGTATCACGTATTCCTCATCCTTCCGCTGGGCACGACAGACTCTGCTTTAAATCAACACGTGGTTATGGACTCCAGAGGTCGAATCGGAGTGCCGGCAAAAGGATCGGAATGCAGAGGGACGGATCGGAAAGGAATCTGCTCTGCGCGTAGAAGTGATTGATGAGGTATGTGCTACTGCTCCGGGCAGCCTGCCAGCTTCAAGTTAATGGCTTTATGGCTGGACTTTGAACTTTTAAAGCCGGTTTTGCCGGGAATAGGCAAAAGGCTCCCAGGCACAAGTCACTATGCTGGGGAAATCGAAAGTAACTTTTAAGTGTGCCTTTGTGATAAGGCAGCTGCAGCAGTGACGCAGCAAGATTTAAAGCAGCATATGACGCTGAAGGCTAATGCCAGAGTCATGATGGCCCTTCAGGATGCTTGTAGGATTCCTAAGCTCAACAAGAAAAATTACAGCGACTGGGTTCTGTATGCAGAGGCAATTCTGCGGAAAGAGGGTTTGTTTGAGGTGATTACAGGAACCCCCCCAGTTCCAGTTACAGATGCATGGGAAGCTAAGGATTCCAAAGCAAGGGGAACTCTTACATTGATAGTATCCCCAGAAGAGCTCTGTCTATTGCGTGATAAGACCTCAGCCAGAGAAATTTGGGACGCTCTGAGAGAGGCTCACTTAAGGACAGAAGCTGGATCAACTATGTTTTATTTTAACAAGCTGCATAATATGGCTCTTGCTGAAGGTGGAGATGTGCGTTTACATCTGATTGAGATGCAAAATCTGAGACATGAGCTGCAACAGAGAGGACTCAACTTTCCAGAGGCTGTGTATTCATTCATGATACTACAATCTTTGGGTTCAGGTTGGGAGTCTGTTGCAACCCAGATTGCTGTGCAACCAACTGCTCAGCTGACAGTGGACTTTGTTACTGCCGTGATTTTAAATGAAGCAGATCGCCGGGTGCTAGCTGCATGGGCAAGGGGAGTCTTCACAGACGTCATCCCATAGTGCAGTGGAACCACCAGATGGCGCCAAAGCTTTGAAGGCAGTCAAATGCTACTCGTGTGGACGTCTAGGCCATATGAAGAGGGAATGCAGACATCCCAGGGCCAAGACAGAGCAGCGCAGCGAAAGCTCATCGCGCGGAAAAGGCCGAGGCAAAGGCAAAGGTCCGGTGTCTAGGACAACGCAGCACAAGGCTATGGTTTCACGCTTCACTCCAAAAGTTGCAGAGGTCCAGAAGACGTCTAGATCTTTCTTCGTTATTGATTCAGCGGCCACCCACCACATGTGCAACGATAAGAGACTGTTTGTGTCTTTTACACCGCAGGAAGGTGCGATTCACCAGGCGGATGACCACACTATTCCCAGTAAAGGCTACGGAACTGTTGTTCTTCACAGTTTGGACTTATCGATACAGAATGTGCTTTACGTGCCAGACGCCAAACATAATCTGCTCAGCGTTGGACAGCTGAATGAGCGGAACATTGACGTTTCCTTCAAGAACAAGAAGTGCATCATCACAAAGAAAAATGATTATGTATTGCATGCAGAATATGTTGATCATTTGTTTGTTTTGTATTATGATGATGTGGTGCAGGATGACACTTGTTGCATTGCAGGTTCTAACAAAAGTTTGCATGCAGAATGTATTCACGATTTTCATCGCAAATTTGGTCATTTGCATTTTGAGGCAGTATCTAAAATGCCTGCCTTGGTTGAAGGTATGACTATTAAACCCTGCAGGTACCACATGAAGTGCAAAGCATGCGCAGCAAACAAGGTGAAAATGGCTGCGAAAGGTAAGGTGTCTAGTAGGAAAGCTACAGAACCATACCAGGTTGTTCATGCTGATTTGGTTGGACCATTAGCGCCCTCTTTGGGTGGAAATAGGTACTTCATGGTTCTCATTGATGCATTTTCTAGATATATTTTTGTGTACAATCTCAAGCAGAAATCGGAGGCTTTTCCTAAGTTCAAGGAATTCTGTGCTTGGTTAGAAAATGTGCATGGTAAGAAGATAAAGACTCTTTTCAGTGATCGCGGGGGGGAATTCACTTCTCAGCAGTTTGAAGCTTTTCTGACTGAGAAAGGAATTCAACACGATTTGTCTAGTCCTCGCTCGCCATGGCAGAATGGACTTGCGGAACGGGCAAATCAGACATTGCTTCAAGGATTAAAAACCTTGCTGCATGATGCCAATCTTCCAGAGAGTTATTGGGCCGAATCTCTCTCGTGTTTTGTTTACAGTTACAATCGCAGGCTATCTTCAGCGATTGGTTGTACCTCTATGAGAAGATGTTTGGCAAGAAGCCATACATCAAACACATGAAGATTTTTGGTTCTGACATGTGGGTTCACTCACCACAAAACTCCAAGTTAGACAAGCGTGGATTGCATGGTATCTTTCTAGGTTATCAGAAAGGGTCTTACAGAATAATGATGACTGACTCTAAGACAATTAAGCTCACGAGAAGTGTTGAGTACAATGCAAAGTGGGGGAGAATGTGGGAATTTTCCAATGTTATCCTGATGACGGTGATGAGACTGAGGATAGTCAAAAGCAACCACAACAACCCACACCCACTGATGAAGGTTCTGAGTCTGAATCTGAAACTGAATCGGGTGATTCAGAGGATTTCGAGAGTGCGAAAGCCTCTATGCGACCCTCTGAAAGCTCTGATCAAGAATTGGAGGAACCATTGTTCACAATAGGTCGTTTTTCTCCTAAGAAGGAAGAGGAGAGTGTTGAAGACTTAAGGCTAATTCGTAGGTCACAGAGAGCCACAAAAGGCAAACCTCCAAAGAGATTTGCGGATGAGTTTGCTAAGATAGCAGTAACAGCTGTTAAAAGCTCCAAGAAGGTATTTGAACCTTCAAGTTTCCAAGAAATCCAGGGTTTGGATTCAAAGGAAGCTGAGCCATGGTTAAATGCCATGAAGGCTGAGCTTGATCCCTTAGAAAGGAACAAAACATGGGAGCTAGTTCCAGTAGTTCCAGGAATGAAACTGCTTTGAAGCAAATGGGTCTTCAAAGCGAAGACAGATCAAAATGGCAAGATAGTCAGACACAAAGCCAGATTGGTAGCCAGAGGTTTTGCACAGGTACCAGGTGAAGACTATCACGAGACCTATTCACCCACAGTGAGATATGAAAGCATTAGGCTTATGCTCAAGCTAGCTGCAGAGGAAAATCTACACATTAGTCACCATGATATTAATACAGCTTTTCTGTACGGATCTCTAGATGAATCACTTTATATGCTTCCACCTGATGGCGTACAGGTAAAACAGGGATTTGTTTGTGCTCTGAAGAAATCCCTTTATGGTCTCAAACAAAGTGCACGGTGTTGGCACACAAAACTCACTGAAGTATTGTTTTCTCAGGTTTTCAGCAAGGGAAAGCT